AGCGTCAATTTGATTCTGAGTGGTGGATGGTGGGGGGCCGGGGCCGGATGTGAAACAGCCTTCCGTTGGAAGAAGTCGGTGCTTCGTGCTTTTTTCTCCTCCGCTTGACACCATATACGATCTGCTGTAAATAGGTAAACTTGACTCAGCACTATCAATTGCAGGCTCAGCTACCTGTAGTTGCATGGAAGGCACCGAAAAAACGCTCGTCATGGGCTCACAGTTCTTCTCTCTTCGCGATTCTCTTCCGGAGCTCTCACCGCCTTCTACAACAACAGCTGCACTCACTTGTTGTCTTGCTTGCCATTGGCGGAACAAACCCCCAATTGAATGAACAGCTGTCACGAACCTGACCTAGTTCCCAGCAAGAAAGTCCGATGTCAAGTTAAGGTTGCGCAAGTTGCCGGCAGCGGGGAACTCAACCTTATGCCCACCTCGCTGAGCCCAATGAACACCGTCACTGTTGATGTTGGGGAGGGATCCTGAACTTCGATTCCCCTCATGCCCTGGACTGTCCAGCTTTGCCGGGCTGTTAGAAGCGGACGCCCCTTTTGTCAGCAGAATTTCAGGTACTTACCCTCAGGTCCATCGGAGACGTGAGGTGACTGCGTTTCCATGCTGCGAGCTACATACCTAAGCGTCTTATGCATGCTTAAGTTGGGAGCAACGGGGACGAGGGGACGGGTATCATGCTTCAAGCTGTAAGTGGACAGGATGGGCCCGGGCGTTGCTGCAGCCACCCACACGCGTCCCGAAGTACACCCCCTCACTCCCCTCTTGACCCAACCATTGCGATAGAAAGCTTACAAATTGAAAAGAAATGAAGAGTCTGGAGAAAAGAGAGTCCAGAATTGAACTTTAGTTTTCTTCTTCTTCTTCTTCTTCTTCTTCTTCTTCTGTTTTTCTTTTCCTTTTTGGTTGTCTTGTACATATCTGGAAGTTGGGTTTCTGGGAGGTACTTGGTCTGCTTGATGGTCTGGCGGGAGTGGGTAGAGGTATGCCACACATCAAGTGGTATTCTCAGGCACAGAAAGCTAGGGACTGCCGCTGCCGAAGATGCATCTTGATTGGTGGATGCGTGACAGGTACCCGATCCCAACAGGTGACCAGCATTGACAGAGGCGGCCAACATGTCATCAAAGCACACAGAGTTACTAGAAGCCAAGATGATCACTACAGTGCCGGATGAACATGTACATCGGTATGCTCGCCAGCCATCTGGCTGTGCCTGATAGGAAAGCAGAGCGTTGATGTAAGTATGAGGGATCTGTACCAGGTATGCCCACTGATGTCGTTTCTAGAAGAGCGGGAGGAGCTTCTGTCTCATTTGATAGGGCGATTTACCAATTATCCAAGAACTTCTGACCGACGAGACTTGTGCCGAGACGAAACAAAGACATCTCTGCCATGGACAGCGAACACAGTGAGTCCCATAGACCCCTCGATGGTTGATCGCCGACAGCGGCCAACGTCTTACCTACGATATCTCTTGGGTAGACAAAGTCGAGTGTCTTGACCTGGTTGTAAGTCAAGCGCCGTTCACACCCTCACCCCGCCTATATGCGCCAGAATACCCTGTCATCCCTGCGGGCTCCCTGCTATGATTCCTTCATCGTTCCCCTTTCATCGTGTTTAACAAACCAACCAAAGGTGAGAAGCAACGATCTGCGATCTGCGAGAGCAACTGAAACACCGAGTTCTCAAGTGTGGGCCCCTAGCAACAGAGTAGTGCACGAGCCATTGAATGGCTCACAGGTAAGGTAGCGTTCGCTTTCAGACAGAAACATCCCTCAAATACTCCTCACTATCTAGGCTCTCTTGGGAATGACGACCCCTCGTGCATCCTGGGGTCTAGTCCCATTATAATTCCCCGCGAACGGGCGGATCTTGAGAATTTGACTGCGTGTTCTGCTCTTCATTTGCCGCCTGGTTCTTGAATTTTCATCCCATACCATCGCAATTTTCTGCAGGTCGTCCTCAAAATTCAACTTGCGTGATTGGTCCCGAAGACCGTCCAAAACACCGCTCGGTTGTTGCCGCTGTGTCCTATATTTCCCGGTACTCTTGCCGATTTTCTCACGACATCCGGAATCCGGGCACTTCTTTCACTACCCAAAGACTACGTCTCGAAATGGGGCAAAATCTAAAACTTTCCGAATAACATACAATTGCGATGCGTCGTAATTCTCGATTCGCATTCAATTATGACCGCAGCGTTTCACCTATCACTTCTCCCTGCTTTCCGCATCTCTTTCCCCCGCATTGGCAAGGCGGATGAGACTCGGGAAAGTCATGCCAGGGGCATATGTTGACATCCAGGGCAGGTCTCAAGAAAGCCGACTTGCATAACAAAGAAACACTTCTGTAAGGTACGGTATGTTCCACATCAATGGTTTCCACTGCCTCCTCCCAAACATCGATAATCTGATTAGATCTTGCGGTTGAGGTGGTTCCCAAGGCCTTCAGCTAAGTGATCTTCCGGGGGTTGGTAGCAATACCTATCAATTAATAACCCCAATGATGTTGAGGTCTTGAGGTCCATCCGACTCCAGACTGAAGAGCATTAAAAAGCCATAAAACTTCTTGCTACACACATTTTTTCCAGCAGTCCTCGCAAAGCAGACCAACCTGCAACAACAGCAGTGGAAGCATCTGCATGTCGTCGAAGGAGAAAGTGGGGCTTCCAGAAGATGGGAAGCACGGACGGGACAATGCCGTATCAACGTCCATATCTCTTCGGCGGGCCCGTGCACCAGTTCCCTGGACGGGAATTCCCCCGTCACAAGTTCCATGTCGCAAGCTCCAGCTCCAAAAGCTCCAATTGTGGCCACATCGCGCCAACAACGCCAGCAAACTACACCATGGCGAACGTGATCAACAACCTCTTTGGCGGCGCAAAGCCTGCCAGCGTCATTCCAGACAAGTCGGGCGATTCTGGTATGTGACTTTGTTCTGTAATCCTATCTGCCGGACACATTTGGAAGCACCGTCATGTGCCCGTAATCGTGCCCGCCAACCGCCACGAACGGCCTCGATGTTCATGATGCCCTGGTCAGGCACGGTTGCTTGAGCTAGGCTCTAGATACCTATCCCAGCTGCTCTACCCACCAGACCTCGCATAATGCCGATCAATGGGCCTCTGCCGCGCTTCCAGAACCCCCAGACGCGACTCAAACCAGGTGGAATGACTGACCATTTGAACCCCAGACTTCGCCGACTTCGCAGAGGGTGCCGACCCGTCCCCCATCCCCATCAGCCCCATAACGACCACTCTCGCCGGTGCCCAGCCCGAAAAGACCGCCGTCCCTTACACAAAGTGGTACAATGTGCACGAGCGCCACAGCCTTTCTGAATTCAAGGCCGAGGGCTTCATTCTGGCCGCCATCATCGTTGTGCTGATCCTTCATCTCTTCGGTGCCCGTCTGAACCGCTCCAAGGCCAAGAAGTGGATTCGCGCCCATGCTTCGACATTGGGCTCCGAGTTCGCTCTTGTTGGCTTCTCTGGCGTACCCAGGGCTCTTTCGGACAAATCTGGTGATGAGCTCACCCAGGCTTTGGCTGACGCCAACGCCCAGAAGGGTGACGCCATCCTCAAGGAGAAGAGTCTCTTCGAGTTCGCGACCTACGCCACCGGCCGTGTCAACGTTGCCTTTGTCGATGTCAAGCTCACTCTGGTCAAGCGCTTCAACCCCTTCGTCACCCTCGCCGAGAACGTCATTGGTTTCTTCTGGGACAGCTATGCTCAGCCTAGCGATTCCGTCGAGGCCACCTTGTATCCCTTCGATGGTAAGGAGGCGCTTACCGTTCCCGCTATGCCTGGCGCGGCTGAGCTCCGCCAGAACGACAAGAAGAGTACTTTTGACGGTTTTGTCTGGGCCATTGTCCACAAGGAGAGCATGAAGCAGGTCCGCGACGAGCGCTACGACGTGTCCCTTACCTACACCAAGGACAACAACAAGCTTCCCCAATGGTTGACGGTTATGACTGAGAGCGCTGAGATCACTGATGCGCTGCTCACCCCTGAGCTGATCAAGGCTGCCGAGTCTGCTGGTGACCTCCTCGAATACCTCATTGTTTCCGATCAACCTTTGGACAAGCCCAAGACGTAAGTTTCAACCCGCCTTTCTGCCTACAAATTAAATTACCACACAGTTATTAACATATGATCCCCTTCACAGTGTCGAGGAGACCAACCCCCGCAAGCGCATCTTCCTCAAGTACCGCCTCCCCTCGGACAACAACTACGAGCCTCTCCTGCCCATCTTCCAGTACTTCCTCCGCATGACGGACCAGCTTGTGCAGGTGGCGCACTTCCGCCCCGAGGTCCTCCGCAAGGTCAAGTCCGTTCGCGACGAGATGATTAAGGGCATCCAGAAGGCGAGCGAGCAGGAGAAGGCCGAGGAGCTGGCGGTCGAACGCGAGAAGCAACGCAAGGCCAAGCGTGATGCCGAGTTGGCCGCCATGGACGCCAAGGCGCAGAAGAAGTACCTCGAGAAGGAGAGGGAGAGGGAGGCCAAGAGGCAGACCAAGAAGATGACCACTAGGGCCTAAACGTCCTGTTTCTTGGGCTTCTTCGAAATGTGTATGTGTGATGACTATGGAATGGAATAAGGGGGTAATGGGTTGGGGTTCGGATGACCCGGCAACGTGATGATGGTTTTGGCTAGGGATGATGACGGAGGCTACGATCAAAGTATAATAATAACGTGTATATGCGTCTGTATGTTGTACAAGTATGTATAAAAATAATGTGAGATGGGTTGATGAGTAAAGTGTGAACTGGGAAAAGAAAAGAAAAAAAGAAAAAAAAAAGCCTGATATGAAAGACATGAAGTGTGGTGTCTATGATGTGTGAGCCCTGTTGGTGTGAGCAGGTCTTGTGCTCGTCCTCGTCCAAAGACCATCGCATAATTTTCTCCTCTATCCCTTCCCTTATATTCCTCTGTCTCATATCGCAGGAGCGCGCGGAACAGTGTGACAAAAGCGACCTTCCCAGCATAGCGAATCCGCTGTTCTGCATCGGTTGGTAGGAAAGAGCTTGGTTAGTATCAGCGTTCTCTGACGGTGATTGCATGCATAGGCTCCGAACATAGAGAAACGGATGGGCAAGCGATTAGAGTCATAGCATGACTTGGAGCTGAGATGAGAATGTAAATCAATGTAGAGGTAACTAAGCAGACGACTCCCCCGTTTGATCCTCAGACAAGATTGCTTGCACTCTCTTCACCTTGTCTTCAGCCGTCTGTTTCTTGTCGATTCTGTTGGAGTGGAAGAGAAGGGGAAGTAAAGGGTCAGCAAGAGCAACGCAACGCAACGCAAAGCAACGCATGCAGGGATTAAGGTTGAATATCGAAGTGAAGAGCCCATACAAGGACAAGAAGGAGGAATAGAGTAAGAGGGGGGAGAGAGAGAGAGAGAGGCCGGGGATTAGAAAAGAGCAAAACATACCGAGTCCCAACCCGCATAGACGTTTGTACCCGCTTCACGCCTCCCTGGTGAACAACCGCGTGGACTTGGCCGATGACTTTCATTACCTCATCCCAGGATCCTTCAACAGTAGTACCAGCCGAGTGCATTGTGGACTTTAACCCGCTGGCTGCCAACACCCTCTGCACCTCAGCCACCTCCTTGGCGACGGATACGTTGCCTGTGCCAACCTGTTGCAAACAAACAACAAGGGTTCAGCATCTGTTCTTCACGATGATGTTTATACATATATGGTTGATACTCACCGGAATCAAGCAAAAGTCTACGTAGCACGACGCAGGGGTTTCGATGTTGGAGTAATCGCGGAAACTCATGTTCAGGTAGGAAGGATGTTTGATTGTGATTTGAAGAGGTTTTTGGAGCAACCGGGAGGTGTGACTGAGAAGATTTCGGTGGTGAGCAGGTCTGAAGAGACTCATATCTACCTCTAGAGCTAAAGGGGAGAGAATAGGACGTCCGAGCACGGATCAGATGTTCAGGTTGGTGGTTGTTGGTTGAGGTAGGTGTTGCTGGGGTGGGTTGCGTCACTGTCACTGCGGCTTGAAGACTTGAAGTTACTTGTACAGCTGGACGGAGCGTGCCTTCCTGGGGATGAGACCTTGGATAAGCGAAAAGCCCAAAAGACGGGAATTAAGCTTCAAGTGAAGAACTGTTCTTCAGTACCTGTATATAGAGAGGCTCAAGTCTACATTGAGGCTTCAAACATTCATCTACCAACTTTCTCAACGAAATGTCAATTCAGGTTTCGCTTCATTGGCAGCACCGGCTCGAGGCTGGTTCATGATAGCTTATCCTGCGGCAAGATCTGAGCTTCCGCTATTCCCTCGTGAAGATGCAAACTGGATAACCCCACACTTTTGCTTCCTATCTGGAGTCTGAGAGCAATGAAAGAGGTACCTGCCCCTCACCCCACTTATAACTCGTGGCCTGTAAAGCCACTCATCATACAGCCCCGGGGAAAAGGAGAAAGTGGTTTCTGTGAATGCGTTCATATTGGACTTTGCTATCCTTGAAAGGAGACAACTCGGCTTGCAGGGGAAGTACGGAGGTCCAAGTCTCTGCCCAGCAACTTTACTGTGTCGACATAAATATGAAGGCATTGCGTTGCCGGGGAACCCTAGTGCTGGAGTCGATAGCGCTTGTTGGATGTCGTCAGAGGGCGTTCGGCATAATCTCAAGGTTTGCTGGTGTTGGATCAAGAATGCGAGAACTTTGAGGACAAACCCATCTCAGACATTTTGGTGGTGTAGTCTAGATATCAGGACGTGTTGTAGCAGGCTGTTAACGGAATTGTTGACAGAGAGCTTTGGAGATGACCACACGATGTGGTTGATCAGGCAGCACGGAGTCCCTAGCCGAGATGACGGGGTCCGATGTTATGGCCCAGGGTTGATGATTCTCTTGCATACAACCTGTACAATCGCCGTATCTCATCCGCTCTAACGCGCGACATCGTGACCTGTGACCTTGATTCCGCAAGACAAGTTTAAAAAAAACTAAAAACTTTGTGTCTTGGTCCTTGACTTTGTTGGCGCCACGTTGTGAAGTTTCAGTTGGGTTGATAGCTGTGTAAATGCTGTCCTCGCCCCAGCATGTGCAGATGTTAGTGCGTGATACCTCCGCGATGCCAAGTCCATTGTCGTCTAAATGGTACATACAGGGGCAGCTGGCGGGCACCTGCAGTGTTGCGGAATGGACACCTAGCATGGACTTGGGCACTTGCACCTGCAGGACAACTGCTGCGAGCCTGCTGTCAGTTGCCTCAACCCGCCATGGCCGCCATCCTGCCCTGTCGTCCCACGAGGCCGCCTAAAGAGAACTGCCTGGGTGTTAACAGGACGCGTTAACATGATGGCATGCTAGACTAGTCCATCGCTAGAGAAACAATCCCGGACGAACACGCCAACACCACCCAAACACCCAAGCACGTCCAAGGAACGGCACATTCGCTACGACGAGACCGACATAGGTCTTCCCCCATCAACCATAGGCCCATCGCCCAGCAAGCCCCCCCGACCGCGAACCCACCGTCATCCCTGCGATTAGACAAGCTGGAAACCGGCCCCCGGGACCCTACTGACTGCCAGTCCCGTTGCTACTACACTACTGCCTACCAACATCTGGTTTGCTCTTAGACACTTCTTTGTGGTGATCTGTTGTTAAGCGATTATGCATTGCTTGTAGACGGCCTCTCCCTCCTTCGATTGCTATACCTACCTAGTTTCGATGCCGTGAAGAGCTGTCCAACTCCCAGTCGAGTCGCCTACCCACCGGTATCCTCAAACGACCGTCCCCTCCTTGCGCCCCTCGATCCAAGGCACCACCGCGTCCGTTGTCCGAGTGTCAGTCACTCTGCCGATTCTCCTTGCTCGCCAGTGCCCACCCCCCCTTCCGAACCCAGACGAACCGTACGGCCCATAAAGGTTTATAGGCCAACAAACAGCCAGCGCGATGGCTTCGTTTGGACACGCGGTGCCGGCGGCTGCCCCGAGGCCCGGTCCGTATGGAGCAGCGTACGGGGCCCCCGTGGCGGTCAGCGCCCCTGCCGCCCCAGCAGGCACCTTTGCACCCGGCACCAAGATCCAATGCGGCTCCCACCGAGTTGTCATCCAAAAGTATCTTTCCGAAGGCGGCTTCGCACATGTCTATCTGGTCAAGCTGCCGGCGGCGGTCAATGGCACCGACCTGGCCGTGCTGAAGAGGGTCGCCGTGCCGGACAAGGAGGCCCTCCGCGGCATGCGCACCGAGGTCGAGACCATGAAGCGCCTCAAGGGCCACAAGGCCATCGTCACCTACATCGATTCGCATGCCTCTGAGATGCGTGGCACTGGCGGCTACGAGGTCTTTCTCCTGATGGAATACTGCAATGGCGGCGGTCTTATCGACTTCATGAACACCCGCTTGCAGCACCGTCTGACCGAGCCCGAAATCCTCAACATCTTCTCTGACGTTGCCGAAGGTGTTGCTTGCATGCATTACCTCAAGCCGCCACTGCTGCACCGCGATCTGAAGGTTGAGAACGTGCTCATCAACATGGTAGGCAGTGTCAGGAAGTTCAAGCTATGCGACTTTGGCTCGGCCGCCCCGCCTCGCCCAGCCCCGACTACCGTTACAGAGTGCCGCCTTGTGGACGAAGACATCCAAAAGCATACAACGATGCAGTACAGGAGTCCTGAAATGGTCGACGTATACCGCAAACAACCCATCGACGAGAAATCAGACATCTGGGCGCTGGGCGTCCTACTCTACAAGCTGTGCTATTATACCACACCGTTCGAAGAAGGAGGGACCTTGGCGATTTTGAATGCCAGCTACAAGTTCCATACCTACCCTGTTTTCTCTGACCGGTTGAAGAAGCTCATCGGTAAGCATCCCGTGGCCGCCTGTTCTTGGACCTAGCACTCATCCGTTTTCAGCCTGGATGCTACAGGAGAACCAACAAGCCCGACCAAATATCTATCAGGTGCTCCGCGAAGCTTGCGCAATGCAAGGGAAGGAGCCTCCTGTCAAAGACGCAAGTGTTCCTGGTGCCTTCTGAGTGTGCTTTCGTCCGGCAACTAACCTCTGTACAGATCTACACGGGGACGCATGTCGACACGAGGAAACGCGAACACTCACTGAGTCAGGCTAGGTCTCCCCCAGTCGTTGGCGCTGTATTTGCGGCCCCGGTAGTCCAACAACAGGTTATTCCCGAAGTCGAGCGGATGCGACGAGGAAGGCTCCCTGCCCCGTCTCAACCAGTATCCCAACCGACAACGCCCAGTCCCGGGCCCGGGAAAGTCACAAATGGTGACCCATTTGCTGCACTTGATACCAAGCTCCCACTCAAGAATGCCGACGAGCTGTCGAATAAGTTTCCGACGCTGGATCAGTTTTCTCTTCTACATGATAAGGGGACCAAGTTTGACTTCGACAGTGGTGTCCCTCAACCTCCACAGCAACAAAAGGACATATCGCAAAGGGTAGCCGAAAGACTAGCGGACGAGGTGTTCAAGGTCAAACCGTCACCGTCTTCGACTCCTGGGCCGATGAGCCAACGTGTATCGCTGGATCTGAACAAGGGAAATCCGTACGCGGCTGCTATGGAGTCTCAGCGCATATCACCATCCGTCAACCCGGCTTCCACACTTCCGAGGCAAGGCGAGCCAAGCCGTGCTTCAACCATGATCTCAAATATACCCGAACTCAAAGCGATCTCTTCGCCGAATGCGCAAAGTCCGTTCCAGACTCCTCCAGCAACTAGGCCTAAGATGGTTTCAACTGGAACCATGACCGAATCACCGCCGCCGGTATATCGTTTCCCACCAGCAGAGCATCACCGGGCGGCTAGTGTCCCCCGGCAGCAAGAGACTGGTCCCACGTCATACACACGCGCTGCCACAACGGTGTTATTATCCCCTGGAGCCGCCGGATCGCCAAACGCTCCGTTGCAAGGGCAAATGCACACTGCGCAAGCGCATCACCCCAGGTCCTCGAGACCGTCACTTGAAGGTGGCCGCCCAAGCTTCGATGCCTTTGACTTGCCGACAAGATCCAAAGAGCCGGAGAGCAGTTCATCCCGGTCACGACCTGCCAGTATCTATCTTGAATCAGACCTGACCTACTTGCGTGAAAAAGAGGCGGCTGCAAAACCACTGCACTCGCCGAGCCTTTCCGCGTCCAGATTCTCATTGGACAAGGGTCCCCCCTCGCCAAAGCTGGAGGAGGAGCGCAACATTCGGTCCAGCGTCGAATTTCTGCGCTCAATGGAGGATTCCGATACTAAGAAGAAAGACAAGGGTACCAAGCATCATTCTAAGCGCTCAAGCTTGAGCTCCCTTAGTGCCGGTACCAAGAACCTCTTTGCTGGAAAATTCGGAGATGCATTCAAGAGATTTGAAGGTGGCACAAATAACAGCGGACCTCCGAGGTCGCCATCTCCTCTGAAGGATGTTGATGCAGAAGTCGACCGTTTCAATAAGTTGACACCAATTGCGGGATCCGAGGTAAATGACGACAGGAGCGATGATGGCCGGCGATTTGAAGACGATCACATAGACGAGATGACTCCCGAAATGCGTCGGGAGGAAGAAGCACGCATGTTGGCAGCAGAAGAAGCTCGTGTCGCTGCTGCGCAGGCCGAGTATCGTGCTCGCGTTGCACAGCGCACCGGTACGGGTTCAGCAACGGGCCCGACACCGCTGCCCAAGAGCATTGGCGGTGTCCCTCGCGCTGTGTCTATTCAGAACAAGGTCCAGAGTCTCCTGGATGAGAGCAGCCGTTCGGCGCCAGTGTCAAGGACAGCTCACGGCTATGGCCACTATACCGATGCCGATGCCGGTGGGCCTCGTGGCTCGACTGACAGTCTTGGAGATTCGCGGCCCGCGATTGCGAAGAAGCCCATCGCCATTACCGGACAGCCTGTGTCCGGATCTTTACCGCGACCCCCGACCTCATCCGGCATGTCCAGCATGGAGCAAACTATGACTGGTCGCGCCTCCATAACCGTGACGGGGGGGAAACCGGCCGCACCTCCGAAACCCACGCGACTTACCGCAAACTTAACAGCCGGCGGTGGAGCTGGCTCGCCGCCCAGACAGTCCTACAGCACCAGCACGATAAGCCTGCACAGACAGCTGGGGCCCGGGACCCCCTCGAGCTCATTAATAGACAGTGATAGAAGCGACAGTATCGGAGCGAGAGCGGGGGGAGACTACAGCAGAACAAGCAGAGAAGCGCTGGTCGCCGTCGAGGGTTTGCCCGGGCAAGATTCCCCCATGCTACTGCAGATGTCGGCGTCCGAGAAGGATGATTATATCAAGGACTTTCAAAAGCGGTTTCCTAGCCTTACGAGTATAGAGATGGTCGAGACGGATGTGGGAGCTAGGTCTGGCACCAGGGGTGATGGTGAATGAGATGTTGCCCGCTGAGGATCGCCGGTGCCGCTGATGAAAGAAAGAAAGGGGACTGATGATGTCGTGCGACAATTACACACGGTCATGAAGCGTCGTTGAATGCGCTGCTGTTTGCCTGTTCTTGTTGATGTTGTGACACTTTACAAGTTAGAGAAGGAGTGATGATGTAACGCGCTTTTCCGCAAGACAGTTATGCCCTTTGTTGAACAGGCATGCGCGCACACACATGCTATCTATAAGCACAACTATATCTATCGATCCATTAGTACCATATTTATAATTGCAATGCACATAGACAACACACTCCTGAAGTGGGATCGAAGTTTTAGCAAGAAATCAGGTTCACCGTCGATATTGGGGTGAAAGATGACGTTCTGTCCCTAGAGGTAGTCTTGCACTCTCATTTGCATTCATCCATCCATCCATCCTTCCTCCATCTATCCAACACTGCCACTGCCCCTCTTCCCTCCTCTCCCCTCGCTAGACCCTCCCTCGCCTCCTAGGGACACACACCATATCTATGTGACCTTCTGATCGAAATTGCAACCCTCTATCTTTCTCTGTCACGCTAACACCACCCCACTAGGTACATCGCACTGGTTATCTTATAGCCTATATCATCACCATTTAAGTTCCACAGTGTAGCTAGCGACCGAGGGAGGGTGGGAGGGTATCGTATCCGATCCGTTATATATTTCTCACATCTGTTCATTATTTCGTCATCTATGGCTGTGCCTCGAACTCCTCCATTCGTGAATGACCTATCACGTCGCTTAGCTTTTATTTTCAATTTTTTTATTTTCCCCCCTTTCCCCTCAACGTCTTTGGGTACTGCGTACACGTATAAACAGGATTTCACCACCAGGTTTTCTATATCACATCACAACAAACGAACCAACTTGACTTTTCTATGATCATCACTTAACTGTAGTATGTTATGTATCTGCGCCACACACTGAGCCAAGTTTCTTTGGTCACATGCTAACGGTGGTCACAACGGTCAAAAGTCACAGCCGATTTGGTTTGGTTTGGTTTGGTTTGGTTAGTCCGACACTGGCACATTGCGCCCACACTAGGTACATACTTAAACCTATATTGGTATCAATATTCAAAATTCGATATTCGAGAGTCTCAAGTTCTTGCCCAAGATAGATTGCTCGATCCAGGCTGCCCACAGTACTACATAGGACGGGCCTACGTGCGCCCGTAGGTATTATGATGCCTACCTAGTGAAGAGAAGATAATAAAGTAAATGTGTAACCCCCACACCTATCGACCGGGCAGGCAGACTCGGCAGAGTAGGTAGGTCCACCACAATGCAGGACTGACTGACTGACTGACTGTCTGGCTTGCGGCCGTTGAGTGCTCACTCAGTCAATCCCCGGCGGCGAGTTCGAACCAGTCAGTGTTCATGGCCACAGTAAGGAAGCTCAGTAGATAAATATATAAGAAAAATAATTCATATCGATGCATCGCATAAGGGTTTTCTTCAGATGGCTGAGATAAGGCCTGAACGATGTCCTCTGATAGGATCTTAGGGCCGGGGTAGAGCGGGGAGTTAGAATTGTACGTAGTGACAGCAGTCAGCCAGAAATCCCGTCAGCGCTCACTCACTCACTCACTGTCCGCTCCGTCCGGGATTAAATCGGAGGGTTGAACCGAGTGGATCAACCTCCGATCATTCGCGCGGAGGTGGCATCCGACTGCGTAGTGTATGTATGTATGTATGTATGTATGTATGTGTCCAATCCGTCGTCCCACACCCATTTCATACTTGTGTGTTGGTTAGGTTGTTGCGGTATAGTTAGTGTACATACATACATATGTACCTCCGTTGTGGAGTCAACTCGGGGCGGGGCCGGGGTCGTTGGGCCGCTGGTGAGGGGAGGGGGCGGGGGCGGCGGTCGGACTCGGAGCGGTTTGGCTTTTGACCGGAGTTACGGAGGAAGAGCCAGGTCGGGAATAGCGTCAAACACTGACCACAGCCGGACTGGCTCACCGGCGTACGTCTAACAAACAAGTATGGGGTATGGGGTAGTCTAGACCTTCTTGAGTATTGGCGCCGTCGTTTCGCTGCCGAAAAGTCACTACAAAAGTCACCACCTCCACAATCCACATTGTCTCGGTGAAATTCCAACAGATGTGGATTTTTTTTGGTTGGCTTGTCCCAGATGACATCAAGGTTTGGGGGTTGGGTATGGGGTTGGGATGGAGATGATAATGCCCCGACAAGGCTATTCCTGGGGCAAATTAGTTAGTAGACAGTCATAGAGCTACTGTGGGAAATGTTTTCCAAGAAATCGTCAAGCGCTTTGACAGTGTTGGAACTATTGACATACGTAAGACAATAGTTTTGGACCGGTGAATCAAAAACTGCCATGAGGTGCCGGCAACCGTCGAACCGAGGACAGCCGAATACCCGGGGCTGGTCGTTGTTGGAGCCATGGATGAGCATGTATGAAAGGGGAGTTTTTAGATAGCATCATCAGGTGAAAATCTGAAGACAATGGTGAGTGCTGGAATGGTCTGATTCTCGCCGTTATATATGATAACCGTAAATGCAATGGACAACTACAACAGCAAAGATGACCTCCATCCGTCCAGAACCATGATTACGTGCCTGCTTATCGAGAGGTATATAGACGTCCCAATTTGTTGTGTTCTATGAATGACCTGCTTATATATATAGCTGATGAAAATGATGATCAAAAAACACCAAAAAGTGGCATCAACATTAAATGAAAATTGATATACAATGCTTTTAATCAATATCTCTTCTTTTGCGTGATCGTCGCCGCCGCCCGTGAGGGCTGGTAAGAGATTGAGTGGGATGTTCTTTCTCCTCTGTTTCTTAAGAGTTCCGCCTGCCTGCCTGTCCTGTCCTGTCGTAAAAACTTTTTGTACTAATATCAAAATATCCCAAAAATACGCCACCCCAGATGAGCAAATACTCCCAATGTTGAGGCAATCAATGCAAAGAAGCGCCGAACGATATCCAACCCGGCCAAAACAACCCCGGTTTTTAGTGTGCCCATGCCCAAATCTGGTATGCCAATGACACGCAGGTAACCAGTAAGATGCTCAATAACAATAAAAGTGATGTTGGAGAAAAGAAAAGTAAAGTGTGTTCTTTTGTCGGAAGCAGAAAGAGAAGCAGAAGAAGCAAACAATGACTGTTACCTCCCTACCAAGGGGGTGACAAGCTCAATGCTCTTCGGCCTCGAGTAGATCCCTGGCCTGCGGCTTGGTAGCGGTCGGTCATTAAACGCATCTCCCGCACCGCCATAGTAGTGGCCCTCATACGTAGAGGAGAAAAAACCGGACTGCTGGTTCGAGTACGAGTTGTTGGGGCTGGCGGCCGAGCTGCGGTTGGAGAAAGGCCAAACGTTCGCGTGGTAGTTGCCTACAGGCGGCGGAGAGGGGGGGCTGGCTGGCCTGCTGCCATAAAGGGAAGATTTGAGGGCATTGATGGCTGAGGACTGGCCGGTTCCCGGGGTGGTAGGTGGGGAGACATATGTTGAGTTGGGACGCGATGGAGATGCGCGGGGGATGATGTCTCGCGGCTCTGAGGAGGCCGAGTAGAAAGGGTAGTAGGTTGGAGCGTTCGACCCGATCCAACTGCGAGATGAGGATGAAGAGGCACCGAAACCTTCTTGGTCGCTTAAGCGGCAGCTAATGACTTGGGGTTAGTCCTTGAGATTCGGCAAATTGGTTTGGGGGCGGTTGTTGGAACTTACTCCTTGGAGCAATAGAGGGATTGGTCGTGATCGGGGATAAACTGCTTCTCGCAAGACATGCTATAAGACTGCGTGTCAGCACAGAGCACGACCCTGGAAGGTTATACAAAGAGGTGGAAGAGCAGGCAGGGATAACATACCAGAACTGGGGAAAGCTTTCCCGCTCCTCCTCAAACCAACGCTCTTCTTCCATTTGCCTCTCACGATCCCTCATGTTCCTGCCCAGCTTCTGGGAGGTTTGAGGGGTTGTGGTTCTCCTTGTCAGGGTAGGTCGGGTCGAAGGAGCTTTTCGGACGTCGGTCATCGAAGTGTTGCCAGAAGCATGCCCGGACCTTCGGCGTTGATGATGCATGGAGGCGGTTATGTGTGATTGGTGGGGGGGTTAAGAGGTGAGTGAGGTGAGCCCGAGGAAGCGCCAGGGGTTCACTGGGTTGGCTTGTTCTGCTCAGGTCCCTTGGCAGCGCAGCGTGGTTTGGTGATGAGATGCGGGGTCTTCCCAAGAGGAGAAGTCTTAAAGTTGAGAGAAGCTGGGGATCCCTGGAAGGCGGGAGGAGTGAAGGGTAATTCAAGAGTTTTGGTGTCCAGCAAGCCCACAAACTACCATTCGTGGAATGACGAATCCGTGCAAGTAGGTGTCGTATTGGGTGGCAAATACAAAAGCTGCAATAAGACAATTTTCTTGCTCGTGCTTGTTTGTTGTTCCTGGCGCTGTCGTGGGACTGGAGAGTCTGTGAGGGAAAGTGCGCAAACCGATAGCTTCAACGAACGACTTCGGGAGACCAAACGAGGGTGGTGGCGGTGGTGGTGGTGGTGTTAGACAAGCGAGTAGGACGGAAGGGGGACAAGGAGGTAGATCGACCGGCTATTAAACCCGTAAGGTGTAACAGGTGCAGGTCAGTTGCTTTATATGCAAGTCGGCGTCAAGTCGCGATGGGGTTGCGCTAGTGACCGGTTTGTTTCTCCAGATCACAGTCCAGGAAACAGCTTTGCACGGTTTTGCGGGGCCCCGGATTGTGCGAGTGAGCTACTGTTGACTTGTTTACGGTGGGGATGGAGTCTGTAACTTGGTGTTTCGCTTCTCTGGGTCGACAAGTGGGTAGAACAGGATGGCCGGTGGTGACACAGATGAGGGGCGTCGACACACGGTGTTGAGTGTTTCGTTCGGGATTTAGTTGCGGGTACGCTGTGTCGTTCGAGAACAAGGTTGGGCAGCCCGACTACTATGTACAAGTTTGTAATGTGGTCTTGGGTTCGGCTGGCAGAGGTTGTGTTTGGGCGGACGTCAGTTGGCGTCTGTGGATGTAACCGTTGGATAGGTATGGAGTTGGGTTGACAAGCTACTAGTGTAGAGCGAATGTGGTGAGGTGAGGTAGCTGCACAGTGTATGTAGGTTGTCTTGATGCTGCTGTAACCGTTGGCTGCTGCAATGCTGACGGGATGGATTTGATTTTGAGCGGAAGGGATCTTGGGGCGAGGAACTGGCGGACGTCTTATAATAAGAAAATGAGAGAGCAAGTGTAGAGGTAGGGCGTGGTGTAGGTAGGTTCTATGTAAAGGAGGCCGGCAGGTGCTTAAGTTGGTATCTGCCCGCGCAAGGATGACTCTTTACTAGGTTGTCACTGAACCAGACCTTCCTTTGTAGCCTGTATCTACCTAGGTATCTGCCCCTGTCGGTCCCCTTTTGGCCCTTTTCCATGTTCCTTCTTTTTTTTTCGTTGGTGGTCTGGATGGAGTCCCGCCCGAGAACGGAGATCAGCAGGGCTGGGATGTGGACCAATCGTCTTTCACGGATGCTTAAACGTGTACAGTGTACAAATATGACTATCGGCATGAAGCACTCTCCATTATCTGGCCCGTCGTATCTCCCCATCTCCAGGAGTTTATTTTTTTTTTTCATTGTTCCCCAAAGATTTTATCACCTGAATTTACCGCCAAGGATGCTAGTTCGATCGATTGGCCTCGTGTCTCGCCTATAGTAGTAGGTGGTCAGTCACTCGGTGGAGTAAAGAGGATAAATAAAAGAGAAGCAGCGATCTGGACCGTCTAGGGAAGCCAGTTAGGTCCTCTGTATGGCGCTCGCTGTTCTTGTCGCTGCTTGGAGTGGTTGACTGCTTGCTGTAGCGATTCGTAAACCAAGTCCACAGGTCGTCATCGCCCCGGCGGTGCGCCTTGGACCAGCCCGGCTGGGAGGTGGGGGCCCAGTTTCGGTTGAAGCTTCCTCCTCAGAAGTGAGGGGGTGCTAGCACTGCACTTGCACTGCAGGGATTATAGGGGGTTTCTGATACTGTGCTGACTGTTTTTAGTTGGAGGGGGAAGCGGAAGAGGGGCCGACACCTAGCATTGACTCCAGGAACAGGGCGCTTGCTTCTGTCCATTTCACTCTCATTCTTTCCGCAATCTCCAAACTCTCCGCCGGTCATATTGGCATGGTATTAAAACTGAAAAATGAGCAGACCCCGATGAAAGGGAAGGGTCCTGTCCCCGCCTGTTTTGTCATCAATAGCCGAGCCCTGCGGTTCCGCGCCCCTGTGACAAAAGGTGTGGGGTGATGGCGGAATCTGCGAATGACACGGTTGGCAGACAGGCACCCGGATGGCCAATGTTGCCAGAATGTTGTGATATTTTCCATTCAAGGTCCATCGGCTTCCCTCCTTCAGGATTCACAGGCTCCCATCTACATACTACACTACACTACACGTCGGGTGTAGGCTGAATGGCACGGGGTCCCCACAGCCCAGAGGCCGCAAAGGTGCTTCGGATGGCTCCGTGTCAACACTCCTACTTCAATCTTCACTCTGCTTGGTTCACCACTCTCCTACACAATGGTAGCAAACATGTGCCGCCATTCACGGGCAGCGTGCATTCAATCAACTCGGCCCTCGGGCTTATCGACGATCCCTTGTGTTTTAAGACATTCGCTGTTTTTACTTAGTGATCATCACAGGTCCATCTCCCGTCTGGTCCGTTAAACGAGTGGATTACAGCGACACTACGTACCTTAAACTTGGGTTCCAAGACTAAGAACGTCCTCCAAATTTAGCCTTTGAGACCGTACACAGTGAGAACCTGAATGGCCAAAGTAGACAGCAAGGTGCCCCATCCCACCATGAACCCAACGAGAAGAGCACACGCAATAAATGGATCACAACGACCAGAAAGCCTCCAAGTTGAGGTGATCACGAGCCATCGATTCTGGGGGTTTCAAGCTCCTGTTCGTCGGCCTGGGCTTCGTCCACAGTGCTGAGGTATGATCTCCGTCATCACTCCTCCCGAAATGCCCGTCTTGATCAGCCATCCCCCACACAGGCACAGCCAGCCTTCCACCCTCTGGTCACCACCAAGACCACGCACGCAATGCTACACGTGTGTCGAGATGCTGATGTCGTCGCCCACATTCAGCCTCTTGGGCGTGCTGCCTAATCCTTGCTTCTTTCTCACAGCCTCAACCTGACATTCAGTCCTTTTGAACACTCCACATACACCCTCAAACGAATCTCTAGGTATACATACCCTACTTTTGGGAATTCATCCTCGTCCCTGCTGACTGTCCACCGGTCTACTCGGCTGGGACAAATTGACTGATAACGAGGTATACAAACGGTCGTTTCTATCTCAAGGGATCCCGAATTAATATTTTACTGCCAAGCGCCCGAGCGAATGATTCAAGCCATCGCGTCATCCGCATTCTGCGGGGAACGACAGAGCACAGCATTGTGGCTTGATCAATGGCTATCTACCACTCTCAACTGCACGTGTAATTATTGACTGCACTGTACATGATGGCCGGGTCTCACGACTCATTCAATATTCCCTATCCATAAACCCGATGCCGCTCTCGCACCTCGCACAGAGCATCCACTGATAATGATAAGTTGCTTGACACCGACAAACTGTTGTCGTGAGCACCAAGCAATGGTCATTGATAGCGCTCCTGTTGCTATCCATGTTGCCCGCAATATTACATACACCAGTGACTGATTTCACACACTCTCTCTTGCTTCCCCACGACTCGCTGACGGGAAACTCCATCTGGAATCCACTTCACATACAGCGGAGTGGAAGCCGGAGGTACGGAGTGAAAGTACCTTTCCTTTTGCGGAGAGCCGAACGCTGCAGAGCCTCCTGCCATCGATCGATCCCTTTGTTCCCTCCTGGGCAAAAGCGAGCAAAACGGCGAGCGAGCAAAACTTCAGAGACCAAGCACTGCGTTGTTCACGAAACATAGCGACCCAAAGTCCACTCTTTCGCACGCCCAATTCTCCAAATCTGCATTCCGACTTTGCCAGCACGCTCTGTCACAGGCGTCTGGAACCCGACGATGTCATCCTCACCCACTTGTTGATGCCACTTGGAACGGCCTCAGGGAAGCCAGGTCCACCGCCCTCCGCAAACCAAGGCATTTCACTCGCAAGGAAGCAAAAAGTTTTTTTTTTTTTTTTTTTTCTCACAGTTACATCGGCGCCCGTGCGCTAGTGTCCCCGATTTGGGTACGACTACCGCCTCCCGCCCCTCTTTCGGCGGCCAGCCCTGCGTTGCCCTGCCTGCCTGTGTGCCTTGCCAGCAAATGCCCACGGTGTGGTTACCACGGCGCCTTTCCACTTTGGCGGTGTCGAGCCCACTGTCACGACAGCAAAACAGGCGTCAGGCATGAACCGAAGGGAGAGGCTCCATCGCCCATGGCCCATGTTGTGGGGAGAGCTCCTCGCTGTTCAACAAGCTCTCACTAACCCCGGCCTACCCCACCCGTGCCAATGCCGCCTTTTCAAAGGACAGCCAGGAACGTTCCTCAGCTCCTGACGGCCCGGCTGCAGAGTTTGCGGTGCATGGCATGGAGATTGGGTGAGAGGCTTTCTCCCAGATCGGACCAGACAGCGGGAATGGAGCCGAAGCATGTTTGGTGGTGCCATGCTGCCATGATCTTCCGGGGCACCAGTCCCGTCATCCGCCGGCCACAAGTCAGTCTTGCCAGGTCTGGATGGGCAAACACTGTAAAGTGTACCTGTCGTCTAAGTCTCCATGTTTATTCCGCTCCGTTAATGCTTTCGGAAGGGGGGAATGGCCGGAATTTGCCTCTTCAATATCGAGCCGTTTTCAGCCGACTAGAGGTTTTTTTTCTTTTTTTTTTTTTTTTTTTTTTTTTTTTTTTTTTTTTTTTTTTTTTCCCAACCGAAACACACCGTGATAGGGACCCGGCGGCGTGGGGGTCGCTCACGGGGGCTTTCAGGAGATGGAATGTTCCAAAACACCGAGAGCACTTGTGGATCTTGACAACACACAGACAAACCCGCCCGGCCGACAGAGAAACCATCGTGACATTGTCATGTTTCAGCGACATCAAGATCCCATCCTGGGAGACACTGTAGAAAAAAAATTTCTGCATCTGGTACCTGAAAGATCGAGACCATTGACATGGCCCATGCGTCCGAGTCCATGGCCCATCGGCTTTTTCGTAGATCATCGAACCATATGACAAGATATCAAATTCCTGTTGGAAAAACTGCCTTCAACATTGCCGAGAAAAACCACCGGATGACGAAGTTCCATGATATAGACCTTTTCCCAAGCATAGCAAAGCGACCACAAACTGAGAGGGTACACAAACCGGCACCGCTCACTTTACATCTTGACTGAGATGTTGGTAGCACCACAAAGCGCCCCGCGGGACCGTCTTCCGAAAAAGCCAGGGTTCTTGCTCACCGGCTCATGTGGGACAATGGACAGCCGCAGGGTTGCGGAGGGCCAGACCTCTTGCAAAGCGTTCGAGAACAAGACAGGGGCATGTTTTGTCTTGGCCCAGGCATTCTCCAGTAGGGTTGCAGAATCCATCTCTTTGTTGGTGGTCGTGTACACTACTAGTGTATACACTACATAGTATGTGCTACAGGTTTCAGGGTACACATCTCAACGGCTTTCTGAATCCGGCCCTTCCTTATCACCCCCTCACGAGGAAATCACCAGTCCGGTGATATAATTGGCTTTCTGCCTCAGCCAAGCTCTGGGTTTGGACGGGAACGAGAAGATAGGCGGCAGGCCAGGCCAATGAGCCTGAGGAGTGCGGGCGGGCAACGACAACGGTCGATGACAGCCAACGTCAGGAAACGCTCGGGGAGCTTTACGACTCTGTGTCACGCGAATACAGTCGATGATGCCTTATTACGCATTTCGTTCGACTCTGAACGCCTCTCTTGAGTATGGTTAAGCAATCACCCTCTCCAATGCCATCCCGAGAATGGACGACGAATTTCTAGGCGGATGGCTTCATTCCTTATTCCTTCGTACCTAGATGACGGAGATAATTGCATTCAAGGACAGTGACCCCGCTCGTTGCCCTTTGGTCTTGCGCCCCTCGCTACTCGAGAAGCGGTTACTCATTGACAACAGCCAATGTTATCCTGGGCGCAAGAATTCGGCACGGCAAATGTAGACACGAAGATCTCGCTTATGATTTAGCACCGTCCAGCCTGAAAATGAAGCAATGATGTCATTCTTCGAAACTATTGTCTGTACTTCATGGAAACCCAGCCATCAATGGTCCATTAACATGCAGGCCGTCGGATGGCAATGTCAGAGAGGGATTACGACAAGATGCTTCCGGATCACTTCCGCAGGTCGCCAACATCACCCGTATGATGGCGCGAGGTGATGCGATAGGCCGAGTATACCAAGGCAAAGAGGTATATCTCTTTGGTCCTAATACTGCGGTATGACGATGATACGCATCTTGGTTCGAATTATTGTCTGGTCCTCCCCACCATCATTTATCCCTCATCCCAAACAACACTTCTCCAGTCTATCTGCTTGGCTTCCATCCCGCTTACATGCCGAGCTGTCTCGAAGAACCTGGGGAAAGAAGGGACCTCCGCGCTGTCTAACGGGCAAAAATTTTTTACCGGGCCGCGCTGCAGGTACGGTTGATATTAGGATGGGTGATCCTTGACCCGTCGATTGCAGTACCCTGGATTCGGAAGCACATATGACATCTACGAGACACGGCGTATCTTCCTTTGTTAACATCGACGGGTACCCATGAGGTTACCTAGGTAATGACCTGGGAAGTTTGAAGCTCATAATCAAGCGATACTCCAAACATGGCAGGAGCCGGTCACAGAAGGAACTACCCGAGGCAGATAGTCTCCTGTAGTGTACGGACTATCTACCGTCCAAGCTAATCCAAAGTCCCCGGTCCTTTCCCTTCTCGGATTCCCGCCGGTGATAGATGCTGCCGGCCTCCGGTGTAGACTGCATCACAAGTGGTGATGATACTTGCTCATTGGCCTCAGCATCCACAACCGTCCGTGACTGACTGACTCTTTCACATCAACCGGCAGGTCTTCCGGAATCACATCCCCTTTGACTTTGACATTGACTAGTCGCTAGGCCGCTCCCGCATCCACAGGTTCTTCAGCCCGGCTGCCCGGATCCAAAGGTTTGGTGGTACCAAGTGGTTGGGTACACTACACAGGTCGAAGGCCCGTTCGGTCATCTCCGACATCGCAAACGCAACGATTACTGTATCCATGTTCCGGTCTGGAACACTGCTGCAACAATTTCCTTTGATGATTCGATTGCATTGAGAACCCTGGGAAAATCTCTTCACCTTCACCGTACGTTTTGCATTTGCAAAGGGTCTGTTTCAACTAATGCCTGACACCGTACGGGGCTGCTGCTGCTGCTGCTGCTCCCTTCAGACTCGGAAGAGGGCCACGATCGTGATGCTCGGGAATGCTAAAAAGGGAAAACCGGGGCTCCAGACGTTGCGGGTCTCTCTTAATGAGACCAGACTTTTAGAGACATGGGGGTGGTGCAGTCCATGTCGATTCCTAGCACCCTAGTGGGCTCCCAATCTTCTATCGCGAATCGTGACAAGTGATCATAGTGGACATCATAGCGGAGCTTCAGAAGGCCTTTGGAAGATGGAAAGGTAAGAACTCACTACAAAGGTCATTTGGAGAGCTCTTGGGTCCCATCGCGTTTCCCAAAAGGCGAACCGTGATGGAGCTTGTGGGCTATGAATAGCATCAGAGAGATGATCGAGTTTGAGGGCATTATTTACGCATCGACACTAGAAACCAAACATCGAAGCATGCCACACTATTGAGTATTGCAGTAGCTCGCTTCGTTGCGATCAAAGAGCCTCAATGTTCTGCATGGGACTTTGAACCATCTCAAACGTGGAACCACGTTTTCAGTATCTTTGAATCTTCGAGACATTCGAGCACCCGAAATCCGCCCCATACAAATGGCGGTGTACTGACTTGTCAAAGAGAGAAGGTCTAGAGCGGTGTATGTTAATGCATTGCAAGCATTTTCTCTCAAACAAAGCAAAGCATACGAGGCGGACGAGGGCCTGAGCACTTATACTCCGCTTTGGAAGCTGCCGATGATGCCGTATTCAACTTTCTGGACGTCCACAGTGTCAGTATGTTTCCCCGTACCTGAAAAATAACATGGGCCAAGCTGCCCCATACCGTCTTGTGGACTCACAGTGTTTGTAGGTAAACCCACCTGCCTCTCCCAGTTTCCGGTGGATCTCAAAATCTTGAATTCAAGCGAGTTTGGGTCTTGTGTTTGGGAATGTTGCATCATCATGGTGATTTCCGCGAAGTTGGAAACTGGATTGCAAAGTTATATCCATACGGCCGAGGAAAGCCGCTGTCAACTGGCAAATCCTTACCGCAATGCAAAGTCAACAGCGAAAGATACTTTCGTCAAGAAATCTGGGAGATCAAAACAGGACAGGACAAGTAACAGCAACTCGATGTGTATCGCGTAAAAGGCCACGGAGTTGGACAGCTATGGAGAGTCCTCGAATAATGGAGGCCATGTGAACACCCATTTTCTCATGGCGATCACCATTCATTCAAGGAAATTATTCGGTAAGCTTTCATAATCAACATAGTATGTGCTGGTTTGTTAGCTCAGTACCCTGGAAGAGATGCCTTCCGAACTGTCCTAAACCTTTATGGACTAACTACTATGCGGTAGATGATGGCTAGGTACGGATTCAAAAGACATCAATCAACAAGCTTCGATATGGCATATTTTACCTTGGAAAAAGCATGAATACAGCATACAAATGCGTAGGAATGTTGCTCCATGTCTCAAGCTAACATCAGACCAGTATTGAACTGTACACGTGTACTCTTTTTCGTCTGTCTATCAAAGAGTCTGGACTGCGAGATCTTCACTGAGATCTTCGTCAATCACACATTACCTACAATTTCTGGAAGCCATCCCACAGCGTAACCGAGGAGAATAGAGTGATCATCACATGTTCTGGAGACGTGATGTTTCAATTTTTGGAGGAATACGTCCAAGATAACGCGATATCATCCTCTATCAAAAATCCTTGGAAGTCGAGTATGTGACTCACAAGCGAGGGGAATTCTACACTACACTACTCCGGTGTTCCATTCTTATCCTTCCAAGGCAGATTGGTTTGCAAAACACTACTGCGTTCGTACTGTACGTCCAGGATCGTTTCTTCTCAAATGCCGAGCAACTGCTGTAGATCTCGTGCTGATCACCAGAAAACGTGGTCAGGTGGATGGCAGAAAAGAATAAACCGAACCCATTTCCAATGTCATTCTTTCCACAGTCTGCAAGGCACACTCGTAGTAGTGCAAAAGGCCATGCACGCGCGCACAAGTTTCGGTGCCTCTCGGCGGTAGATGAAGGCACGCGATAGGATACATGGTTGAGCTGTCTGTTGATGGAACACCTCAAGGCACGCTCATCAGGTGGAATCTTGTGATTCTCGAGTCTACCAGGTGCCCGGAGAATAGGCCGGATGAAAATGGTTGGCTAAATTTGACTATCAGAGTTGAACATCATGATACCTAGAAAACTTCCGTATTTCTTAGTTGGGAAACGGAAACGATGTTCCTTGCGGCAGAAGATGCCTCCAGTCAGTGTTGGCAGGGATACACCTTTTTTAAGCTTTCTCTTCACCTCATGCAGCAGAGGAATCTGGGCAATACTGAATATGGAAAAGGAGGGCAAAACCAAATACAATGTTAACTGGTAGATGCGAGGGTGTTACCGTGGTTTGGCGGTGCCGTTACGATGTGCAAGTTGAACCTGTCGTCGAATCTCTTGCAGATGCAGCGCGTAACCCTAACCCCGAAACTTGAACCCTAGAACTAGTCGTTAACTTCCATCTGAAAACTTCGAATGCGTTTTCTGAAAGCGGAATAATTCGACTTTAGCACCACATATGTCGGACATAGGGCAGTGAAGCTCATCGATCTTGAAAGTAAGGCAAACTATTGACGCAATCCTGCCGCGTTGCGCCATCAAGGCCGAATTTTCTCCTTGCGACGTGCATCTCAACGCACCGCCGCACACTCTTCACCTTGCGAACGAGCCGACTCATCGAACGAGTGGCTTTCTGCAGCTCACCTCACCGTGACACTTGCAAATACCCGACTCTACCGTCATAAAGCACCAAAGCCTTCAACAAGAAATCACAATGAATCGAACCCAGGGATCCAAACCAAGACTCAAACCCTCCAACCCCCAGGCAAAACTCCCTAGCAACCCAAAACCAACCACTACACAACCCCTATCATCATCAAATCTTCTCATCCTCCAACAATCCCAGGACCCCCAATCACTACCAACCACCAAAACCACACCCTCACCACCCTCAAACCCCTCAAACCCCAAATCACCCTCCTCCCTCCTCCCTACTTTAACGCCCGCCCTCGAGATCCTCTCCCGTTTCCACCACCGCAACAAGAACCAGCACCGCCTGTCGAAATGGTGGGCTGAGGCCGACATGCTGCGGCGACACCTGCGCAAGCTGATTGAGGCGGCGAACGTGTGGTGCGATAAGGAGCCGGAACGAGAGGGGAAGAGGAGGAAGGAGGAGGCCAGGAGGAAGAAGAAGGAAAAATATGAACGGTTGGGGAGGGTTGAGAAGAAACAGGATGGGGCGGGGCAGAAAGGAGGAGAGGGAGAGGTCAAAGGGGAGGATAGAGAAGAGGAGGAGGAGGATAAGGAGGCCAGGGAGGTTAGACTGAGGGCGGAGTATTTGAGGGGGAAACTAGGGCCTAGAGCTTATTTGTGAGTTTCTCTTCTGTTCTTGGGTGGGATGAAGAAGGGGGTGATGGCGATGAAGGGGAGGGGATGAGAAAGTGGTGAAGAGTTACTCACTCACTTCCCAATCTCATTGTCATCTTCTTCCCAAGACTGCCCCCTCAGAACTTATCTTCTACACACAAGACTAACCACCCAACAGCGCCTTCAGCCAACTATCCGCCGACAGACAATTCGCCCACCTAGGTCTGTTGCTCCTAGGCGTTCTAGCCCAGGTAGACAAGGCACTTTCAGCATTCGCCTCGGTTCCAATCGGCGAAAACGACGACGCTGCCGCCAACGAAGCGGCAGAAGACAGGGGCCCAAATCTCAACGCTACAGTCATGGGTCAGTTAGCAGACGATGTGCCTAATCAACGGCATAATGACATCGGCGTAGCGGTGTCGAGGGAAGAGTTACTTGCTATGATGTTGGAATCCACCGCATCCGGACCAACGGAGGGCAGCTTGGCGAGAAGAGATGCTCGAGATCAACCACTGCCCACCACCGAGACTGACTTCGGAGCACCACCACCACCAGTAACAGGAGAGAACAGACAGGGCAAGAATAAGAGCGGGAAGAAGAGACCAAGGGACGATGAGGATGATGAGAACGACGATGAAGATAAGGATGACTTCTCTTCCGGATTGACACCACCAGTATCCGAGAAGAAAAAGAAAAAGAAAAGGAAGACAGGAGATGATGGGACCGACATCGATGACATCTTTGCTTCGTTTGACAAGCCCAGTCAGAGAAAGAAGAAAGATGAAGCGGAGAAATCAGTAGTAGCTACAAAGACCACAACCGTCACAACCTCGATAGCAACAGCAACAGCCACGAAGGTGAAAATGACAACCGACCCATCGGTACCAACTACAACAACTACAACAACAACAACAACGTCAGCAGAAGCCGAAACACAACACGGCAAAGACGATCTTGACGACATTTTCGCCTCCCTCGAGAAGCCCAAAAAGAAAAAGACAAAAGTCAAGAAGACGGATGACCTAGATGACATCTTTGCCTCCTTCGACAAGCCCAAAACGAAGAAGAAGAAAAAGAAGGCGGGGGCGGGAGCGGACGAGTTTGATGATATCTTTGGGGGGTTATGAAAAGGCGTTGCATAGTTGACTAGGTACCTACGTAGTATATTCGCCTGTTATTGGTGACGGGTATACTGGGTTTGTAGATACGAGTAGCTCTGGTTTGCCCGGTCTTAGTTCTTGATGGTTGTTGGGCACTTGTTGCAAATCTTCATTCAAGTACAGTTACCATTTCGATGCATTTTGAGGTTATGTTTGTTTCAAAGGCTATATGGTTATCGATAAGTGCTTAGTCTTAGCATTTGCCTCTCCCTTCTGGTTTTCTCATAGCAATACTATGTCTATATACTACACCACCACGCTGTCACATTGTTTACTTGGCCCCTGGCAGCTTTCTAGGTGAACCAATCGAAGAGAGGTCGAGTGAAGGCTTCAACACAAAGAGCAAGATGATTTGATCCGCTACTACTAAATGATTTACTAGGTATAACATCATAAGGTGAACATAAACGATCCAGCTTAAACATTGACCAAGACCCAGGATGGCCACGTCCTATGTTCCGCAATCGTCCTCCATCCATACCCAATAATCGAACGTGTGTCGTATCCCTTTCAGGCATGGCAATACGGCCTATTCCTACCCAACGTGTGCAAGTCCATAACTCATAACCAAAACGCATGTATCACAAAGGCCCAAGAATAGGACGTGACCTTGGAAGACCCAAACGGGATAAAACTTGAACTAATAAACCTTCTTTCTCGTTATTCCTTTCTGCTGTCCTTCCTAATTCATTTCAGAAATATCCTTGACGCCGTGTCCACATCACAATATCGACCGGGGAACACACTTTCTCCTTCTTCGTGCTTTCCTTGTATCGCTGATCTACTCTCTCCCTCTAGAATCTCACGAATAATGGATTGGGTCGAATCTAGGGTTCGCATTGCAACTCCGCTGGTGTTCTATATCCGAGAGTAAGACCAGATGCGGGCCCGCATATCACCAGACCCGGTAGCGAAGTACCCAACACCGTTGGGACCAGTCACTGGGCTGGGCGCCACGGAGATGACCGAGTTCTTGTGTCCCTGGAGCATGAGCTGTGTATGGCCGGTACGGGGGTCCCAGAACTGGACACCGCGGTCCTTGGAACCGGAGAGGACCCATTGCGAGTCAGGGGTCAGTGCAACGCTGAGGACGAAATCCTGTGACAAGTGATTGACACGTTAGCAAGGTCGTAGAGGAATAGCCAATGGAGATATTAATGTGTAAACGTACTCTGTGGCCCTCGAAGGTCTTAATGCAGCGCCCACCCTTAGGAGGCGCCGAAGAAGGAATACCACGCGGAGCACTAAGCTCCCACATTTTGATGGTCTTGTCCAAACTGCCACTGACAAGATTGCGGCCATCAGGAGAGAAAGCAACACTATAGACGCTATCCTTGTGGCCGTCGGGGCCCTCAAGACGCTCCGCAAGGTAGCCTCTCATGTCCCAGACACGGACGCTCTTGTCCAGGGATCCGGCAGCAACGAATTGCTTGTCGGGCGAGATAGCAACAGTCGTGACACCATCTTCAATAGAGAGGACAGACGTGTTCTGCCCGGTTTCAATGTCCCAAAGACGGACGGTTCTATCGCCACTACCGGAAGCAATAGTGCGACCATCGCGAGAGAAGTCGAGACTGTAGATATCTTGTTCGTGGCCATGGAAGGTGTTACGAATGGTCCTCGACTGAATATCCCAGACCTATATCAAGCATGTTAGCAAGAGAAGACCACAACAGTTGGCCAAGACATTGTTACGTACTCTGATGAGCTTGTCCTCGGCCCCAGTGGCAAGATACTTGCCATCAGGGCTGAAGCAGACGCTTCTGATGTAAAGATCTCCAGTAAGATCGATGTTTTCGTCTTGCAGGATGCAAAGCTTCTCGCCAGTCTCCACGTCGTAGATCTGAGCGGAACGGTTGCAGCCGGTGGCAACGTACTTGCCATCCATGCTGAACCTCACGCAGCAAACAACGCTCTCATGCTGAAGAGTGTGAACCAGCTCAACGTCTAGTACCCTGGGAACGGCCGCGTTGAAGATAACCCACCAATCGTCCTTCATCTTCTTGATGTGATTCGGAAGGCGGTCGGGATCAAGCTCGCTCAAAGCGTTGGTCTGAGAAGGCGGAGGCGGGGGAGGCTGGTGGTGCTGAGCCATCCGGGTATGGTCCGGGGTAGGATGGGTTGGGACCTGGGGCGACTGAGCAGGGCCGCCGTTGTACGGGATCGGAGTGTTGATTTGAGGAGTAGCCGGGCCGCCAGCGGGAGGTCTGCCGATGCCACGTTTGCCGGCAGGGCCAGGAGAGGCAGTGCTCTGCGGCGGCTGGGGAGGAAAGTTACCAGGTCCCTGGGGTCCTTGATACTGCTGCTGGAAGGGAGGCTGCTGAGACGGCGGCGGGGGCGGGGGAGGAGGACCCTGAAGCCCAGGGGGCGCAGGCATATGTGCTGGCTGTTCTTGCTGCTGCGGTGGAGGGGGAGGAGGGACCAAGGCCTGCCCTCCCTGACCTGCCATGATCGCGCTAAAGACATTGCTTCCCAAACCGATTGCAGGGGGCTGCTGCTGGCCAGGATGCTGTGGAGGCGGGTTCATGTTGCCGGGAGCGCCTCCGCGGGCTTCAAGCTGGCGACGCAGCAGCGCAATCTCATCCTCGTACCTGACCAGATATTGTCAGCCTACTTCTTTCGAGTCTCGGATATGCTTAACTGGCTTACTTTTGCTTTACGTTCATCTGGTGCTGCTCCATCTGGAAGACTTTCTCACGGATGACCTGAAGCTCCTGAAGCTGCGTTGCCACTATTGTCTGGTCAGCCGGGTACACCTCCCAAAGCCTAAGTCGCTGATTACAGGCCCGAAACAGCCCGCGTCACCATGTACAGGTGGATTCCCTCATCGCCAGACGGGAGGATGGCCACCCAGCGGAGGAATGTGTGGAGGAACCCTTACAGTCATGCTGGCAGGTCTCGTACTGGCGAGCTTGTGATTCGAATTCCATTCTGATGCCATCGAGGAGCTCGTTGAGGCGGCCCATGTTCTGAATGGGCGCGCCCGCAATGGGTCGGTGCGGATACATAGACATCTTGCGTAGTTGGGGCGGTTGTCCGCGTGCTATGTGTTGGTGAAGCTGATGAGAAACGGACAGAAATCCAAGCCGGGAACGCTAGGGCGGTCGCGCAGGTTTGCGAAGGCTCAAGGCAGCAATCGGCTGAAGGAAGCGAGAACGAGGGATGCGACCGATGATACAAAGGCGGCTCGTAAGATGACGCAGCTGGAGTGCAGCCGGCGTGAGGTCGGAACGAGCGTCGAGCTACCGTGCGTTGGGATGGCGTGCGCGCGGGACGGATCGCAGCGCGAAAAGACGCAAAAGATGGGGACCGCGAGGGGGCTCGGAATCCCTAGTCGAATGGCACTGTACACAACCAAGGGCCAATGACGGGATCCGAGGGGTTGATGGGGATGGTGATGCTGGCGTTGCGCCAATTCCGATGTTTGTTGATGGGAGGACTTGGGCGAAGCAGTTAGGGCTGCAGGCTGCAAATGCTGGTGTTGCTCCGGAGTAGAATGTTGCCAAAGGGGGGAGGAGAAGGAAAAAGAAGTGGAATGGCCAGCAGGTGGCAGAAATGACCTGGGCGTGCGGGTTCTGGGGCGGCTCCCGGTGTGGATTCCCATGGACTTGCAGCGACACCACTCCCACCTCCAGCGGCTGCGGGCCACTTGGGTCTTGGACTTCCTTCTTGGGAGGACAGGGAGGCGGGCTGCCGACGGGCTGCGGACAGGGCAGCAAGCTCCAGTTCCACTTGTCAGCCTGTGGCCTGTGGAGGGTGGCACCGGTCACGCAGTTAGTACCTACCTAGTGCATGTAGTGTAGTGTACATCGGACGGAACTGAGGTACTTTCGTCGTATCTTACGACCGAGAGGTACGTGACTTCCTTCTCAGCTGTCGGCAAATCGACAAGTCCCTGAGTTTGCAAAGTGCTCCAGACAGTACCTCGCATAGTACCTCGCATGGGCCATGAGCCACCCGCCATTGCTACGAGTTCCGACATGGATAGCAGGGTTTAGGGTTCCTTGTGTTACCTGCCTAGGCGTAGAATATGGAATGGTAAGGCCAGAAGCCAGGCCGCCGCGGCGCTGTGCGATTGTGGAGAGCATCTGCACAAGAGTGGATCTACGAGATTCTGGAGACCCAGTCGTCAGTGTCCGTGCGCCAGTTACGTAGAGGTACTGCCCTGGTCACTGCTGTGATGGTTCCATTCTCGGAAAGCGAAAGAAGGTCGGCCCGGGTTGGGGGAGTGCATTGACGGACTCACCCCTCGAATGTCTGCTCACCGCGTCCCGTGGTTGGGCTTTGTCACTTACGAGCATAACGTAGCTGGTGTGTGCAGGTATGATTGTATACTGCACCTCTGTCAGCATCATATTTGTTAGCGCGGTGATTTGTGAGTGGCGAGAATTTTAATTTTCGTACAAGAGACGGCTGGTTTGATCACATCTAAGCCCCTATATACTGTCAGGTGTTGGTAGCACGCTAACAAGTTTGCTCCCGGCGAAGGTGTACACAGTACATTGGAAATCCTTTCCCTTTTTCATCTTCCCAAGCAAGTGGAAGTTCGGATTGATCCAGGCAATCAGCGACGTGTGCCCTGAGAGGCTACCTAGGTATGCAAACAGTGACTACCTACTGCAAGTGTCGATAAGGAAACATTCCCTTCATCCATTGGGTTTTCCAAGCTAGATGACTGCGAAGTGCCTGCCATTAGGCGCAAAACTCCAGACAAACCCCCAGGAAGTCTCCACGGCATTACGTACAGTACCTACCGTGGGGCAGAAAACATCGTCCAAGCGCTTGCACATGCGGTTTTGAAACAATGCAAACCACTACACACACACACACAACCTCAACTCCCACTGCCACCTCGATGAATGCTACGGCATACAGCACACCAAAACGCACTTGGTCTGCACGATATCGATTTAGTACCTTAATTAAGGCATACCGTAGTGACTCGGGGCACTGGGTTTTAGGTTCCCTGGAAATCAAGCATAATTTGTAAGCACACTACACGAATATGTGCTTTTTTGGCCCGGGAGAAATAGTGGGGGGGGACAGCTTGAGAGCCTAGAGGATTGTCATTCGAGTTTTCCAAAATCCTGCCTTTTCCTACGTATCTCCCAAGGGCGCTGGAGGGTGGAGAATACAGAATCACCATCTTACATAAAATTTCTGGTGGCTATGAATGTTGCAGTATGCTTCCAGCTTATGCCTGATATCCAGGGAACCTAAAACTCAGTGCCCCGAGTCACTACGGTACCGCAAAGACTCGAGGCATAGCTTTTCAATTTCTAGGAAAATTAAGTAGGGTTTGTAAGTACACTGCAATATTTATGCCCACCAAGATTTCTTTGCAAGATGGTGATTCTGAATGTCCCTACTCTCCAGCTCTCTTGAAGAAATGGGTGGGAAAAGGCAGAGCTCTAAAGGAATCTAATTTATAGTACTTTGGGATAGCAACACGTCTCCCCGACTCTTTTTTGAAAGTATAAAATCCACATAATCGGACATATGTATGTCTGATTATACCTGATTTCCTTGGAAGTTGAAAAGCTATGCTCCAAGTCTTTGCGGTAGTTTTTTTGATGGTCTTTAACCCTCAATATGCATGGAACACAAATTCGCATCCTTCAGACGACCTATCTTCTAGTACGAACACTCCCCCAGGTTCGGTTTCGCTTGGTTTTGTGAGAGCTGTGGCCACGCTCAACGATGTTTTATTACGCGCGCCATGATGACCCGCTGCGTGGTGTCTCTAATAAATATACAGTAACTGCCAAACAATTGGTCCAAAACAGGAGTACGAACTAGGACCATTGCTTACATCTTATCCTGGCAATATTCGAGCAACGTCAACTCACGAAAAACAACGACTTCCTGTTCTCCAGTGAGTTGTCCTGTGCACCCTTTTACACACCTCTTGACCCGTTTCAGATTTGAGCAAGCGCACCACAACAGGAGACATCGATCGTAGGTGTAGCCTTATGGAGCCGTCTCGTCTCCTCTCTTTCGATATCCCAGCGGCTATAAGCATTGAAACCTCTTGTTTTCTCTTTTGTTTTCCCCCCAACAAAACCCCGCTTGTAGCGCAGTTAGCGAAAATAGATCCAGGTCTCTATCGACTGTGGCCAAGTGTACCTGGCTGCCTGTCTTCGTTGGTTCCATCTTGTCATCGGAAGCACATACATCACCTTCCCCTCTTTTGTAATGTGGTACCAAACCCGAACAAACCAGCGAATCCGTCACCTCTATTTCCTTTCATCCTCCCTTGTACTTCCACGCTCTGGTCCTTTTTTTTTCGACTTTAACAGGATCTCGTTCCTGGTTCAACCCCCGATGTCGAATGAACCGGCGGACACACCGTATTTTCCTCCAACGCCCGAATGCACTGGCTCCAGCCTGGCTACACACTCCGGCCATAAACAGGCTGCTACGCGAGTCAGTAATGTGAAGGATCACTAAGGTTCTGACCAACACATGATTCTGCCTTTGCATGTCACACTGTCTCGTATACCTGGTGGCCCTTCCGTCCAGGCTGGGTGTCGAGTACGAAGATAATTCCCATGTTTCAATCAACTGTTCAGCGATTGAATCCTCGTTCAGTCGGTTTCTGTGGAGAGACTCTGAGCGTGTTAATGGTATGCGCCCCAGACAGTTGTTGCTTAGCTGGCTGTGTCGCATGCTTCGACATTGCCTCGCTTCAAGGAGGCCATCATCTCACCCAGGCAGGGAGAAGTACCAGGAGCAGGTTGCATAGCGCGATATATCCAGCTTCTGCCGGTGTTGTGGTTTGACAGAGAGTCCATGCAACAGTCACATGTATACATTGTCCTCAGAGTGCTGATTGCCAGACAAGTGGATGTTTATCTTTGGGAACTTGGGTTGACGGGACTCACCTTACCCATCCCATCGGATCAATCTGTTTCATCCGATGTCAATCCAGCAGTCGCTCCGAGGTCAGAGCGGCACGTAGGTTGGGAAAAAATAATCGGATCAAAGCTTGCCCACTTTACATACAACTGCAACAAAGACGTTTTGATGGGAACATCGAATCTGATCAGCGCACTGGCCCGATATGTAGAATGTATCCAGGTTCATTTGGATCTAATCTTATCTGATCTTACGGTGTGCGGGCCACACCATGCCGCTGTGCCCCCTTTCTCTTTCTTCAGTTCTAAGCGAGCCCCGTATGCCCCGCTGAACGCCCATTGGGAAGGGCAAGTTCTTCGCCACAATCTTGAAACATTTCAACTTTGGATTGGTTGAGGGGTCAACGAAACAAGGGGGGGCACAGAAATTGCAGTCGAGTGATGAGTCCCAAGGTCAGGTAGGGCCCGGAAGGCAGTCTTGACAGCTCGGCTCTCGGCTTTGGTGGCTCGGGGATGACGGTTTGGGAATCTGGCAGACTGTTTCAACTGGTTGCTGTTGTCTTGGCGTTGTTTCTCTAGTCATTAGCAGCCGCTATTCACTGCTGGATGCTATCAAAGCAATAATAAACTGTTCGTGCATGTTCGGTCAAAACTGAGGTTTTTCACGAGTTGCTGTGAAACGAGGAATTAGAATGCACATCAGATAATTAATTCACGTTGGCGTTTTGAAACCTTTGTAAACGAGGTTTCTTCACAAACTGAGTCTGCAGTGACAAGATTCAGGGGCCCAGGTAACCAAGAGTTGCCCCTTTGCCGCAGAAATCACCCTCAATGCTACCATAGCTGAGCTTTGGTGTTTCGCGATGGCTTCAAGGCGTTTACCATATGTCTTTTGGGTTAGCTTTGGTAGCAGATGTTCTAGTGCAGTTCTTGAAGTGTTTCCCATATATCTTTTCTTCCCGACATCATGTCAACCTAGCTTCTCGTTTCTCTTTTCATTTTCTTCGCTGCATTCACTTCACTCACTTTTGCCAGGCGCAATTCTTGTTACTGTCCGCTCATTCATTCATTCATTCATTTGTTTGGTTTCATAGCAAAAGCACCTGGCGTGCCATTCCTTCGGGCTTCTTGATACCACATCAGACTCATCAACCAACAAGCCCCTCAGTCCAATCCAATCCAAGCCTCTCATTCAAGCTCTACGCCTTACCGAGTCAAACCTTCACACCCATCCCGCTCCACCACCGCTACAAAAATGTCGTCCAACATCAACAAGAACCTCTACTACACCGTCCCGCTGGATGACGATCTCGAATCCCAGGACTACCTCCAAGAAAAGAAGGCGCCCTGGTTCAGCGTCCCCGTCCGAAGCGCCGCCGTTGCCGCTCCCTCTCACTCTTCTCCCTTGTCCGCTTTGTGGAGACTACGTCAAAGATGGTGGCCAAACGACGATAGCCGCCACCACAACAGCGGCAACACTCGTGTCGACGGCAGCCGGGAACATGGAAGAGGCTTTTGGGACCGCTGGATATGGCTCGTCCACGCCGTTCTGCTGACTATTTCCGTGACGCTTTTTGCGTTGTCTATGTGCACGCTGCAAACCACGACGAGCGCGGGTGCGGGCGCGGCGGCAGCTCAGTGTCAGTGTCAGGGCACCGGGATGGCGGAAGGGGCGAAGGGTGCTGCTGGTGCTTCGAGTTTTGGTAAGGGATTCACGGATGTTGATATTTCCTGGGTTCTTCTTGACAGTTTGTTAATACTGTTTTGTCTGTGGATTTTAGTTCCTCGCTCTTTCTATGAGGGAGAGGAGACGACGACGACAACACCTGCTGCTGTGCTTCCTGTTCCGGTTGTCGACATTCCGGAATCGCAACATGTGGATATGAAGCTTTCGATGGATGATAAGACTTGGGTGGAAGAGGAGGAGGAATGAGGAGTGGAATTGTGTTTCTGTGGGAGGGGAGATGCCTGGCTTGACGCTGGATCGAAGCTGGATGTCAGCACGTGGTTAGAGGTTGAATATCTGGGTAACATCAGGGTAACAACAGAGTTTAGCTGAAACGGTGGCTCTTTGTTGAACTTCAAGTTCCGTTTTTTGCATTCACCCCTGAAATGATGTTGCTGCAAGACCCTTGATAGTAATTCACTCGCCCAGAGCCATTTGGCTGATGGAATGGGGTTCCATGTGGTGGTATACTCTTGGAGAACTCGGCAGGCAATTGTGGTCTTTTGTGTTGGAGATCAAGATTTCTAGCTGTTCCGGAGAGCCCAGCTCCATCCAACAACAGTCAGCCAACTCACTCTGGGCGCATCTGATAAAACCAGTGGTGCCAATGCCTTTGGGGAGAATGTTCGAAATCGACCACTGGAGACAAATGGGATCTTCATCACTCTTTTTTCACCGTTGTTCGTTGCGGATCTTGCATTTGGCAAAAAGCAGATGACAGTTAGCGACTTGGACAGCGGGAGATCTCTGATCCCAAGTCTTGGGATTGTGACATGTTGTACCTGACTTTAAATGAGGGGCGTTCGAGGAGCCAGGTCAGGTCACCAATCAATCAGTTGTATCCTTTACCAGCAGACGAGATAAGATCTTGCTGTGGGGAAGAAAGAGTGGAGACAAGTGGAGGGGTTTCTCACGGCTCCGGATCGTTCCAAAACCACGCCATTTTGGTCGTTCGCATCTTCCTGCTTCCGAGAGTCAAGCGTTCTCCATTGAATCACTTTCGACTTTCTTGCATTTAGTGACTTGGCTGAGCCGTCCAATCAAGGAGCTCAATCAAGGTCCCTTGTGCTGTCGAGATCAGCTTCTTGTCAAACGTGCCACCCATCATGCAACGTCGAGGACAAGACGTTGGGTTGACAGCCCATTTTGTTATTGCCAACTTGCGATGTGAGAGCATACAACGCTTTCCTTCGTTTTGGCGAGCCAAAAGCAACGAATGAAGAACATTTTAGAGAGGCAAGAGGAAGGTACAGTCGAAGAATGCAAAGACGGGTGGATACGGAATCTCTGACGTTCGTTGGTGGAGGGGAAAAAAAAGAGGTTCTCGGATGGGTCCGGGCTTCCCTTACACTAGAAGACCTCTCACCACCACCACCACTCACGGTGCGGAGATGGCAAGACGAGCGGCCCATCCGGGGCCCAGATTTGATTAGATCTTAGGGCAAAATCGAGAAAAAAAGGGGTTATCGGTGATGATGATGTTGATGGATTGTTCAACAACGAAGCTCAATGTGGGAAGCAAATGTTCCGCATTCCTGCTGGCCTGTGAGGCTCAAGCGAAAGATTACTGCAGATATCTGTTTGCTTATCTTCCGCCTTTAAGAATGCCTCTTTCACTCACAATTCAACCCGTTCGCTTGTCACTGCACCGTTATCGCAGGCGTGCGAGAGAGCTTCTGTTGTCCTTGTTCGGAGCAACCCACGGATTTACGGGGCCAGCAAGGACAACTACCCTCGTCCCCGGGCCTTGGCACACTCGACGAAGGTCCGCTCGTTTTCGACGCGACGCTCGTTCGGGAAGCCGATCGTTCAGGGGTGGTTATGACATGAGAAATTGGGCGTGTCACTTTATTGCCAGCGACACATCTATCGGATTCGCGGCACACTCTTTCTTTCCCATTATTCATCGTCTTCTTCTGTTTTCTTTTTAAACCTTCTGCGCCGCGTTCTCTTGCCGTTGTCGGTCCTTCATTCCATCATTCCTTTTGCCTACCCACCAGGACCCACGCCTTTCTCCCCCTTGCTTATCTACAGGTACCCGGCACGGTCTTGATCCGGGCCTGGAACACAAAGCTTGCTCGGCTTGCTGTTACTCAACTTGATTCTTCTTCTTTGGCGCGCAAGCCCAACAACCACCGTCAATATGGACGTGGTCCTCGAGGTCACCGACCAGTTCATGTTCGATTACATGTACGCCTGGCTACTACCAGCACGACCTGCTCTCTATGATTTCCCCGACAAGACCAATGGCACCGCACAAGCTTTCTCGTCTTGGGTGTATGAGCCCGCGACCAAGTTCTTCTCGCTCGAGCCCTCGCAGGCGGCCTACCAGAGTATCTGGACAAGAGACAACATCTACCGTCAGGCTCTATCGCTCTTCCTAATACTATGGTGCGCGCAAACCCCTTTTTTCATATTCGAGTTGGGCGCAAACACGCTAACCTTGGCTTACACACAGGCTCTTCGGTCTCGTAACCTACTACGTCTTCGCCTCCCTCTCCTACATCTTCGTCTTCGACAAGAAGACTATGGAGCACCCCAAGTTCCTTAAGAACCAGGTCTGGCTCGAGATCAAGCAGACCAACGCCGCCCTGCCCGTCATGGCGTTCTTCACGTTCCCCTTCCTGGTCGCCGAAGTGCGCGGTTACTCACTCCTCTACGACACCACGGCCGAGGGTCCTGGTCGCTGGTACGACTTCTTCCAGTTCCCACTCTTCATCATGTTTACCGATTTTGGCATCTACTGGATCCACCGTGGCCTTCACCACCCGCTTGTGTACAAGCACCTGCACAAGCCTCACCACAAGTGGATCATGCCAACTCCCTATGCCAGCCATGCCTTCCACCCCATCGACGGCTTCGCCCAGAGCATCCCCTACCACATTTTCCCCTTTATCTTTCCGCTTCAGAAGATGGCGTACGTCGGCCTTTTCGTGTTTATCAACTTCTGGACCATCATGATCCACGACGGCGAGTACTATGCCAATAACCCCGTGATCAACGGCGCCGCCTGCCACTCGGTTCACCACTTCGCCTTCAACTACAACTACGGCCAGTTCACGACGCTGTGGGACCGCCTCGGCGGCAGCTACAGGGAGCCCGACGGTGACATGTTCGCGAAGGAGAAGAAGATGAGCACGACGACGTGGAAGAAGCAGGTCAACGAGATGGAGAAGATTGTCAAGGAGGTTGAGGGTGAGGATGATCGGCTTTACGAGCCGACCGAGACTAAGAAGTCGAAATAGAGTGAAGTTCGAGAAAAAAACGAGGAGGAATAGAAATCTCACCAGTCCCGGTTGATGTCATTTTTTCCCCTCAAGGGAAGAAAAAAAAGAAAAAAAAAAATGGACAAATGGGATTAACGAATCAGCGTCATCCGGCCAAGACCAGGCCACCCGGTCTTGTGGTTCTGGATCAGGGACCCGGGTTGAATGGTTGGCTAACACCAAGGATCTGCGACCCTTCATGCGATGTGGCATGGTGGCACGGACGGCGGTCGATGACGACTGAACCCCCGAACGAGAACGGCGGTACACCACATTGGATACGGATGTATACCATCTGGAAACCCGCCACGCCGGACCAGCCCAACAAAAGGCAAGAGGGTACTATAATACGGTACCCACAATGAAGGAGGAGTTAGTCTTATATACCAAATGATGGAATGACTGAATAGGTAACTGGATTGGGACGGACGGAGCTGATAACAACACATTCAAGAAAAGCAAGAACAGTGGTCACTCACTGTTTGTCCATTAGAAGGATTTTAATAACCTACACGTTGTACATACTTTATATCATTTTATATATACCCGCATCTTTGCACATACGCATCATGTACGGATCTATCTGTTGTCCCTCGAGGCAATGAAACATATGCTGGAAAGGTTGCCGCGTAGATGACTCTATATAATGACACAGACAGGCAAAGAACACAAGAAGATAGTTCTCAAAGGATGAGAGCCTCCGAGTAAACAACACTTCATTTGCGAAAACACAAACCTAGGCGGTCACTGTCCCCAAGTCATGCAACAACCCAATCGCTCCACTATTGCACAGGCGACAGGTACTTCCAAATTCAGTATCCTGGTAGGTATGACCAGTGTTACCAGCATGTCTTGCTTTTCCTGACATCTTCAAGGGAACAAGGCGAGGCATCACATATATGAGTAAACCGAAACGAAATGGCCAAGTCACACAACACAAGACCTTGGGTACAACATAAATTAGAAGGCCAAGCAAACGCTAAGATTGCTTCCGAGCTTGGAACCCCCCCGTTGAACCGGAGATAAGCGAAACTGGAGGCCTCCTGTCCTTCCGCTTTGGATAGTATATCTCAACTTAGAACCTCATGCAAAAGAGGAGCAGAACTATTGGGTTGGCTGAGAGCAGATTGGTTCGATAGCACGCAGACGTGAGGTAGTGAGGGGACAACATACAGAAGGGAGTCGACAGAAAAACGCTAATGGGTATTTCGGGTTCTGCATGGTTGACTAGCTTGAGTAGATACTAGATGAACTGCCCGCTATCAGACGCAACAACGTAATAGATGGGGATAAAGAAAACTAAGAGGAAGAAGCCAGACGCCCACCCCCCATCGCCCGTCTGCGCCAAATCTTGCTCGCATGAGAGAATAAACAAGACCTCCAGAACGAAAAGAAGAGAAGAGTAAGGAAACGAATGAGTGATGTTGTAACGATAGTATAACGGTCGGTTGGTGTTGGTACAGTTGTTATGACAGCAGTAGTAAAGAAAAAAGGTCGAATGAGTGTTTTAGTTGGTTCTCTCGTCGGTTCCAGCCCGTCAAAATGTATAGTGTAGTGTAGGTGTTAAAAGTGGTAAAAAGCGGTTGCGTTTTCACGGAGGGCTTGGGGTATAAGTCGAGTCGAAGTATTGTTGCTTGGTATGGGCTGTCCGTTGGTCTGTGACAGAGGATGTATGTTTCCTTTCCCATAGCTTCTGCGCACCTCGCCCATCCTTGTTGTCGGTTCGTTTCATGTATACCCCGCGAGTCGGTTGGCTGGTTGAGGTGGTGAGCTTCCGCCTTCGCGCCCATTCTCTCGTTTAGTTCCGTTGTGAATATCCCATCCATTATATTCTCCATCCCTCTCGCCATTTCTATCCCCATTGCTCGCTTGTACCGCTCACGAAAAGCTCACAAACTTGGGATCCCTTGGCAACCCATCGGCTCCAATGCCATTCGCCTTGAACCTCCTCTCCATGTACAGCTTCCTCGCGTCGTCGAACTGAAGTCTCCTCCTCTTCATGATCTTGAGAATTTCCCGCTTGGCCTCATCATCCAAGCCAGCGCGACCGTCGCTCCCCCCAACGTTGCCCGCAAGATTAAAGTCGGCAGACGACAGACCGGCTTCCATATCCTCCTCGAACGAGTTGGAGGTAAAAGGCAATCGAGAGTACAGATATTCGCCGCCGGGAGCGCGGCGCAGGTAGGGCTCTATCGCGTCGAAGGCGTCAAGGAAGGGCGGCAGCCAGGTGTAGCGGGTAAAGTAGGCAGTGGTGGAGAAGAGGAGGGTGAAGAATATGAGGGCGTAGAGGAGGTTGATCATTTTGGCGATTTGTGTCTGTCACGTTTCGTTCTTTGGAACGGGTGGGTATGGGTTAATGGATGGTTGCGAAAAGAGCGAGACTGTCGAATGTAGAATGTAGATTTGAGGACAAAGAAATTGTGATTATGCAGTGGGCTTTGCGAAAGATACGATCACGATACGTTTCGTGCTTCGGGTGGCCCGGTAGGGCTTCTTGTGCCTGCAGTGCCGCTTGCGCGCGCAGAGGTTATCTGCTGATGTAAGTCGAGTCAAGTAGTCGCGTTGCAAAGCGAGTCAAGAAACGAAGACGATTTGTCAGGAGGTGATGAACAAGGACTGGGAGAAAGAACACAAGTCAAGACATGCTTAGGCCCGGGCGGTTGTTGCAAACAAAGTCCGCGGCAGATGGTTTTTGAACAAGTTAAATTGATCACAAGATGGAACACGCGGCGCAGACAGAATCTCGAATGAATGATATCCGCCCCCCGAAAAAGGATTGCCAAGACGCAGCCATGCTTGGGACATGGGTCATGACGAATGCGGCGGGCAAGGGTGACAAGTGGACCTAAGCTGTCGCAAACTGAAGCGCAGCAGTGCCCGCCCCAACATCGCCCCGGCCCAACAGCAATTCGACGGTATGCACAGGCCACCCCTAACCCTCTTGGATGCTTGCAGCCGCCCTCCCCATCGCCCAACAAGAAGCTCGAGCTGATGACAGCTGGCTAGAGCGCCAAGCCTTCTCTACGGCAGGTGGCCCTAGACCAGGTTAGGAAACCTAAGCGAGCCCACACTGAGGCGCGACAATTCACCGTGCTGGTGCCAAAATCCAGCGATATTGTCGGTTGTGATCCCGATTTTCGAGAAGCTCGACTCTGCCTCCAGTAACGCCTAGGTCTTCTTGTAGCCCCAGATCCCGCCAAAATGTCTCTTAGCAACGTCTCTGCCGACCTCATCTGGGAGATCACTCGTAAGTTCTGATCCTGTCGAATTTCTGGTCCTGGCCGATTTGGGGAGTGTGTGGACATGGCGAAATGCTGACGGTGTTGTTTGTCCGGTCATATAGGCTCCCACAACTCTTTCCTCGTTAAGAGAAAGTCTGGTGGCGGTGTCCAGTTCTCCCGGGATCCCCTCAACCTGACCAACAAGCATTCCCGCAAGGTACGATTACCCAAAGGACGAACCCGGGCAACCAAATCGGGTCAGAGAACAGATGGAAAAAGGGACAGTTTGGCTAACGTTTGGGGAAAATAGTATGCTGGTTTCGTCAACGACAAGGTACATTGAGCAACCTCACCGACGGACGTCGAATATCCGACCGAACGAACCCATGGAACTGACAATCTTGGAATAGGCCGTCGGCGTTGTTCCTGGTGAGAAGGGTGGTGTCGTTGTGACCACCAAGAAGGCTGGCTCCATCAACAAGCCCGCTGCTCGTTACACCGTCGCTTTCGGTGCTAACAAGACTGCCCGCAAGTCAGTATACCCCGGCAATGACAGCTGCGAAACCAACAGCAGTACGGAACGAATTGCTGACATGATGCGAACCTATACAGGACCTACAAGGCTATCGCCCGCCAGGTCGCCGGCTACCGCTCCGACCTCCTCAAGGCCGCCGTTGCCCGTGCCTCCGCCATCCGCCGCTCTCAGCGCGCCGTCAAGCCCGAGCCCGCCCAGAAGCTCCGTGGCAACGCCGCCAAGAAGGCTGCTGCCTCTGCTTAAATGTACTGAGGCGTGGAGGACGATGAGCATGCAGGGACACTGGGAGACGTCTGTGTATTAAGCCTGGAAAGCCTCGCTGACAGAGGCGGCGCATACAACATTTCATGCATGGGATTGGGGTTCAAGGGACAGGAAAGGGTTGCCAGTCCCGGATTCCAGGGATGGCCATGGCGTTTGATATCCAGATGAATCAATCAACCCTAGCAGGGTCATCGACGAACAACAACAACCACAATTCTGTTCTGGGTCATGTTGTGAGCTTTCAACATATATGTGATTTCATGAGGGGAGTTGGACGGGTCACCGGCCGGCAAGATGGTGTGGTGCCCGGTTTTCCGAGTCTACCACCAACCTCTTCTGGCAACTACACCTCGGCATCCCAAGAAGTTCGGTCCCGACTGGAAAAGAATGGCGCATACCCCTGGATTCGGGACGTCAAGCTGGATGGGTCGTTGGCCTCATGACCATGGAAGCGGTATGGAAGCGGGCCTCTTCGGATGACATCAGAGCAGATCTCCCGGACTTGCCCGAGGACGCTAGACCGAGCCGGACCTCGGGAGACCACATGTTCGGACGTAGGTACCCCCGGCAAGTTGACAGCCTGGAGTGTTTACCGATGCAACGGCGAGTACATGGATCTGTGTTCGATGCGGCTGCACCAACGGCATCATGTGAAATCTGGACGGCGAAGTAGCACATGCACTTGTACTACTATCTTCACAGCCGTGTTAAGACGAATAACTTGAATGGGTACTTCGACGCAAGTACGGTCCGTGACTATCAACGTGAATATAAATATAAATTTGATTTTGAGGGTATTGTCTCAGGGCTGCGCAACATGGTGTGTACACCATCCAAATGGGCGCGGCCAACGGAGACTGGCTTACTCCGCAGCTTCCCCAAATTCCGATCCAATGGTCCATTTTCGCACATCCGGATGACGGGACGCGAACGAAGAGGGAGCGCAACGAGAGAGAGCGGGGCAGCTCGTTTCCCTTGCTGCATCATTGCCTCGATTTGGCTGTCTGGAAGGAGGAACGGCATTGACGCCCTGTGTCCACTTGGCCGCCAGCCCCGCAACCCCGAGCCCCAGCTGTAATACTGCATAGGTCAAGGTAAATAAAGAGAAGCTCCCCCACGAGCTCCCCGTCCCCCAGAATCCAGAAGTCCCCCGTTATTTCAGATCTGAGTTCCTCACAGTCCACCCTTCGAATCCACCTTGACGAATCGCCATTGTTGCGCATATCGTCTATATCAATGTGAGTCAAGATCTCTTCACTTTCCCGCTTTCCTCTCCTTTGCGCATACAAAACATCGACGACCAAGATCTAGAGCTGACTGTAGTTTCTCCTCTTCAGAATTACCCCTCCCCCCCGCTTTAGACGTCTACAGATTTCAAAATGGTCAAGGCCGGTAAGCTACACCACGCCCATCCGCACTTGCCTGCAGTCTGAGGCGACGGTGGCAGGAAGCTGACATTATGCGCAGTTGTTGCTGGCGCCGCTGGCGGTATCGGACAGGTGAATCTTATCCCAACTTGGCCATGGGAGATCCCGCGCCCGAACTGCGCGCGGATCAGAGGTTGAGATGGAAGGATGGCTGACCAAATGTGCCGCAGCCCCTGTCCCTCCTCCTCAAGCTGTCTCCTCTCGTTGACGAGCTCGCCCTCTACGATGTCGTCAACACCCCCGGTGTCGCTGCCGATCTCTCTCACATCTCCTCCCCCGCCGTAAGTAGTCAGCACCGGCTTTGCGCTGGTTGTCGCCAAGGGCATGAAAATACCACGGACCCCGCAGAACCTGGCTGACACTTGGCGCCTTAGAAAACCACCGGCTACCTTCCCCCCAACGACGGCGCCAAGACCGCCTTCAAGGATGCCGACATCATTGTCATCCCCGCCGGTATTCCTCGTAAGCAACATTACGCGCCGCTGGTTATGGTGAAGCAGAGACTGATTGGCTCCTCACAGGCAAGCCTGGCATGACCCGTGATGATCTCTTCAACATCAACGCCGGTATTGTCAAGGGCTTGATTGAGGTTGCTGCTGAGGTGGCCCCCAACGCATTCATCCTCGTCATCTCCAACCCTGTCAACTCGACTGTCCCCATTTCCGCCGAGGTCCTCAAGGCCAAGGGTGTCTTCAACGCCCAGCGCCTCTTCGGTGTCACCACCCTCGATATTGTCCGTGCCGAGACCTTCGTTGCTGAGATTGCTGGCAAGAGCAACCCCCAGGAGCTCGTTGTCCCCGTCATCGGTGGGCACTCCGGCGAGACCATCGTTCCTCTCTTCAGCAAGGTTTCCCCCTCGGTCACCATCCCTGACGACAAGTACGATGCCCTTGTCAACCGCGTCCAGTTCGGTGGTGATGAGGTCGTCAAGGCCAAGGAGGGTCTCGGCTCTGCCACCCTCTCCATGGCTTATGCCGGTTACCGCTTCGCTGAGAAGCTCCTCAAGGCCGCCAAGGGCGCCAAGGGCCTTGTCGAGCCCACCTACGTCTATCTCCCCGGTATCCCCGGTGGTAAGGAGATCGCGGAGAAGACTGGTGTTGACTTCTTCTCCGTCCCCGTCGAGCTCGGCGTAAGTTTCAGTCTTTGCAAAATTCACGGTGTTTCTGGCTAACATATCCATAGCCCAACGGTGCTGAGAAGGCTATTGACATCCTCGGCGACATCACCGAGAAGGAGAAGACTCTCCTCGAGGCTGCCGTCAAGGGCCTCAAGGGCAACATCCAGAAGGGCGTTGACTTTGCCCACAACCCCCCTCAGAAGTAGATACCCCTTTGATTTTTGCTGTGAAATATCCCCTTGCGTTTCTCAATCGCCATGCATGATGCAGGCCATGATTTTGGTTAGGTGGCTCTCATATAGCCAATATATAACCACACACAAAGCTGTAGATGAAGAATAAAATACCAAGCCATATGAAGTTCAAGTACAGGTGGACTGATACTCATTCCCTCTCTAGGCTGTAAAAAAAGTTGATAGGATAATCGACGACTGTTATGACCCGAACGACCGATACCCATTCTCTTCCCCTCGCACGTGTCATCAGCTTCCTCTCAGTGCGCCGGGTCCAGTACCCGTCGCCTTGACGAATGAGACTCTTATCGCAAGCGCCGCTTTGCGCCCTATGTAAGGATATGGGGGCGTATGGTTGCTGTATGCCTGAAAAGACTGGACTACTATGTCGCTGGGGGGACGAAAATAAACTTTATCTTATGCACTTCTGCTCGAGTGATTTGAAAGTGTATTGGTACATTGGTGTGAAAATCGATCGTGCGCCATGCTTGTTATGGTGCTCTTTGCCAACGTCTCACGTCTACGTCCCATGGAGCTTTGTAACAATACAACTGTACTTTTGCTTTCTTCCACTATACCATAATAAACACCGCTAGTAATGGGCTCAGAGTGCCCGGCTTATGCCATGCGCTGAGAATAAAGGTCTAGGCAGCGATGTTTTGAGTATAAAAGCTTAAAAGCCCCATTCGCTAATGTACAATTGAAAGTAGCAAATCATTCAGTTTTGCGTCTTGACCGTCTTGATCTGGAACACCGCCGCAGGAAGCTCGCTTGACTCGGCCGTGACGGTCGCCGTGATGCCCATTGCCGCGAGGGCGCCGCGGACCACACCGCAGGGAAACCAAAGGAACTTTTGGTGGGTTTGTTAGCAACATGCGTCATAATCATGAAACTGTCCGACAACGTACCGGTTGCGCCCTGGCTATGGCTTGGCTACTTGTCTCTGCGGACATTCGCGATAGTGGGCGGAAGGAGTTATCTGTTAGGACGTATACGCCCTGTGATTGTGTGTCTTGGTGTTAGCCAGCTCGATGAGATAAAGAACCGGGGGAAGGGAAAGGGAGAAACATACCCGATGATTCGTCTTGAGGTTATCCACCTGTTTCCTAAACACAAGCGTCCAAAGGTCTTTGCAGAGGAACTTGATGACGTCCAGCGTGTCGTTGAAGCGTGGTCGGTCGCGGGAGAATCTAGTCAGACCGTCAGTTTTCAATATACTCTTTGCCCGACGGCCAGTTTTCATCGCGCAACACCTCAGGACGATAACCAAAGAAAAGGAAAGAGCATACCGTTCAACCAACCCCTGCCCAACCCTATACCCCAATCCTTCCAACCTAGCAAATACAGCATCCCTTTCTTCATCTTCATCCATTTTCTTTGCACTCACACTCCCAGTCACACTCCCTCCCCCTCCTCCTCCTCCTCCCCCCACTAACCCTGCTCCCAACATACCAGCACCACCAGCACCACCAGCACTTAGTCCCCCTGTGCGCGAAGATAATACGCTATTCCTCTGTGGCCCCCCTGGCGCTGGTCCAGTAGCTGTACTTTGCGCATCATCACCAGCTGAAGAGGCTGAAGGTTCTGCGGAAGAAGAGTCGAGCTGGTTGGTTATCCTGTACGCCATGGGGACTAGCTCGATAAGCAAGAAATCGAGACAGGAGGAGGCGAGGAAACGGGCGGTTGGGTCCGAGGCATTGTAAGGGGGGAGTATTGTGTCGAAGGACATTTCGAATGGCTTGGGTTGGGTCGGGTTGGTTTTGGTTGGCTGGCTGGTTGGTCTCGGTTTTGGTCTGGTGCTTAAAAGGTACGTCGCTAGCTGGTTGTTGGAAGTTGAGTTGAGTAGGTAGATGGGGGGTTTGACCAGCGGATCTAATGTCTCTCGGTACTGTGGTTTGCGAGGAAGGAACGTCAAGCAAGGTAGTATAACGAAGTCGTAGCTGTTGTGCGCTTGCTGGTAGGAGCTAGCTGATGCCGACCGGAGAGCAGTTGCGTTGCTGGATGATTGTCTCGGTGCCCTGGTGTAGCAGAGGGAGTTCGGCGGTTCGTTTGAGTCGCGCAAGTGTGAACAAGTGGCCGGTCCACTGAGTTTACTTGTCGGAATTTTGCGCAGCCTCAATCGAAAGGTTCGTAACTGGCGTGCGTTGACTTCGATCTTGTCTTTTTCGGTCCGCCGGATTATCGGAAGATCGCGGTGACGCAGGTAGCTCGGAGCTTGTCCGTGGGGTTCGGGTGCTGGGGCTATTGCCGTTTCCCAAGGGCCAAATCGAGTGATTCGCGATGCTTGGGGTATGGACTATACACAGAAAGTCTGTAGAGTAATGATCGTCTTGGTCCGGAGTTTTGAGGCGAGTTAACTACCTAGAGATCGATACGTTTGTTGTGTTGTAAGGGGATGGGTGGAGGACTGTTGTTGCGGTTCGAAAGGTGCCTGCCGTCCGAATGATTGGTATGTACTGTAATGGCAGCTATTTGGGATGGAGATGGGTGGTGTTAATATCCACCTGGCAAGCGCGGCCACGAGCGTCCGCTGCACCTAAGCTCAAGCCAAGCACTAAGCTATACGCTAAAATCACACAGAGGGGAGGACTGTATTCCCAAATCAACATCAACTGCAAGTAACGCGGTAGAGGTAACTTTCAAATCTGAGAGACTTCATAACTTCACGTAGACGTTACGTATCATTGGCGAGTACATCATTTTATAATCGATTTCATGTACAAAATTGCTCCCAGACAACACACCGGTCAGGTCGTATCACTTTATTGGGTATCGGAATTGCATCTCAGTACTGATCCCTCATTCATTCCGTCATTTCTCACTGTACCACATCCCTGAAACTTCTCCCATGAAACCTTTTCCCCCATCTGAGTGCGCCCAACGCCAAAGACCGATATAAATACCTCCGTCGATCCACTGTGTCTGGAATGCAATATAAAAAAAAGTTAAAACCAAGCTGGTCTGGTGGAAAAGGATACCTAGTAGACATGGTGTTCAGTTAGGGCCGATGAAGGGAACAATCCGACCTCCTGTTGCCCAAGCGAGCCTCCGAAGCCAATATTGAGCATCCTATACTTCCCCAAAGTCGGGCTGATGGGAATAATTCGCCTGATAATTCGTCCATTGCGCCGGCCTGTCACGGCGACGGGGAGCACGGCGACCCCTTTGCATTGAAGCGTGCCTGTGATGCACATTTGCAGCATCCTATACTTCCCCCTAAGAGTTGGATCCATAGTACGCGTTCATCCCGTAGTTAGCCCGCTTCACAGGCCTGGGCGGCTCGTCGTCATCTGACAGCGTCAAATCAATAACTTCCGGGGCTGAACGTTTATTGTTATTGTTCGATGACCTTGCCAGTGAAGGCGTGCCCCCTGTGCTTCCATTCATCGGCGTGCCGATCAGTGTAGTTGACGCGCCGGTAGTAGAACGACCGGGTGTCGAGAAGTCGTGGTTTGCTGCCGAGAGGACTTCCGAAACATACAGGTCATCGTCATCGACAAAGCTTGCCTCGGCAGAGTCGGGTACCGTCACTTTTTCCGCACCTGGTTCTATCCACTTGCCGGTAGGTTCAATCGTGACCTGCTCTACAGATTTGGGAGTCGCTTCGAGAATGCCCTGGGCGTACCTGGAATGCGTGTCAGCCAGTACAGCGGAGACAGTATTGAACACAAGGCCATTGTAACTTACTCATCAATCGCCAATTGGTCGAAGGGAACAGATTTGCTGCAAATGGGACATAACCACTGTGGCCCTTGCTCCTGGAGTTGGAGGTATGAAGTGGCATCAAAACACTGAATATGACCGCAGTTCAGACCTCGGCATGGCTTACTTAACCTCATGTACGACAGTGGGCACTTCAGACTGAGGACTTGTGATGTAGCAACCACGTCAGGGTCGTTAGCCTTATTTGCGATCTCGGTAACCACCGATTCGGCACGGATCTTCTTGGTGATTCTTGACACCAGTTCCTCGATAGTCGGGGTTTTGCACAGGTATACTACTAGGTAGAAAGACTATCAACCCAACTAGTTAGCACGTACGGCTCTCTGCGGGTTCCCATACCCAGTTTCCTCTTACACCTACCTCTCTGGTGAGGGCATACGTAAAATCAATGTTGTTTTGATATGTGTTTGGTCGTAGACGCAGCGAGTCCGTGATGTCAACCGGTCTAGTAGACCCAGGTTTGTTCTTCAGGCCTCGCAGGTTTGCCTTGACCTCGCCGCCATTCACCTTGAGCTCTGACTGGTAGGGAAAGGCGATATCTTGGACGCCATTCTTCCCGGCAGCGCAGTACATCATGATCCTCAGTGAAGGGTCGTTTCCGACATTACTGAGCTGGGGATGATCCGACACCCTGAGCTTGATGGAGACGGTTTGCCTATGCTGCTGCATTGCTGTTGTCGAGACTCAGCGGTTGTGTCCAGTGGCGGAACGATACTGGCTTACCTAACATACGTTCGCAATCCTTGACCTCCCCAATTCGATATTGTATCTCGTAGAAAACGCTCGGCTTGAACTGGAAATCGTGACGTTGTTGGTTATACCAGTCCAGTGGTCTGCTGACGCCCTTGGGCGCGCTGTAGGAGCCGTTAGCTACGCCGTAGGAAGCCATGGCGTAGCTGTTGGAACTGTTTCCGTGATTTTGAACGGGTGGGTAGATTGCGGTTTGGGATATCTGCGACGGCTGAGGTTTGGGTTGTTGCAGCAGACCCGTGCTAGCCACAAAGCTATGAAACCAGGGTACGGTTGTCTCGAAACTGTTGTAAAATGTGTTGAAAGTGATGCCGTCGCCGCGCGCTACGCATTGCTGGATAGCTGGTTGGGGGGTGAAGCCCCTGTGTGTTAGCCTGCATTCCCATGATTTCTTCGCATGTATGACGGAAGGGTGGAGGTAAGGAGGTGGTGGCCGACTGGAAGGCTTACTCACCATCGACAAGGCGTTTCACCAAATCAGGCTTGTTTCCCGTCTTGGGCAAACCATTGACGGCGCAAAGGGACTGCAGCTGCGTCTTGTTGACCCCGGCGTTTTTTGCGATCGCCTTGAGGGCCTCAACCTTGTCTTTGGGAGGAGGGCCGGCACGATCCATTTCTCTGTGCCCCTCAACGACCGGTACGGTATTGACAATTCCAACTGAACCTCTGCTTGCCGACACTGGGCTTGTTAACTAAGTGAAGATGCAATCCTATAAGAGCGTGGTGTGGTGCCCGGTCGTATCGTAGGGTTGCCTGGTCGCGACCGGCCGCGGATGCCCCGCAGTTGGCCGTCAAGGTATTGAAAGGTCGAAGTGTGGGCGTGCACTACGGACGGCGCGAAGTGAGGAAGGAGTGATGGAAGGCTGAGCCGAAAGTGAGCCGATGGTACGGGAGTGTACCCCGACGCGCTCAAGGTACGTAGGGGTAGAAGCGGACACCTAGGACGACGAAAGGTCGAGGCTGGTTATCGCGGTGCAGAGCTGCGGCTGCTGAAGATGCCGGCGTCACCGTGATGTACGGCGCGCGATGTTGGATTTATATTTTAGGTAGACTCGCAGCTGAACGAGATTAAGCCGCCCGCACGTTATCCGTCCGTCACACAGAGCCGGCTGTCGCTGTCTGCGGCCTTGCGCACTGGCACTTATGGCAGATGCGTGAATGGATGACTTGAAGTATGACGGTACCGCGATGCCCCGTAGTGATTTGCTACCCTGAGCGGTAAACCCAATTCAAAAAACAGTGAAGCCCGTGTATGCGCCAAATGATCGTCACTCCGTTTGTAAAAGAATCCTGTCGCTGTCGCTTTCGCAGCCCTCAAGCCGGTTGCTCCAAAGTCCAAAGACGTCGTCGATGTGAACAGGCGGGAGGAGGCGGCAGAAAGTGTTCCAAGCAGGAACGTGTGGGTCGCTAGCAGTTATTTATCTAGCGGGTAAGGTGGGTCTGTCAGTGGCAAGCAGCGGCAGGTACCGTCGAGCTCATTGGAAGAGCGTGGTCGTGAAGTACCCAGTACTTGGCTAGGTGTGGTAAACCAGCGATTGCAAAGGTTGCGACTACTTCAGGACTACCCTCGCATTTAGCGGAGAACCCAGGTTGCCTGTACACTACTGCTTCAGTGGAATTTTTCAACTCCGCCAACAACGACATATCGATATCTTTTGTCATCACCCTTTCTGTGTCGCATAGCTAAACCTTTGGTGAATATCAACACTCATCCATCTGCTTCATTTTGTAATACACCACACCACCTAGCCCTTTCTCAAACTGCAAAAATGGCCAAGAGCAAGAGAGCGTCTGTTATTAAGAACAACAACCAGAAACTGAAGAAGAATGTTTTTGGACCTGTTGAGGCCGCTCGCTTGGAGAGAATTTCTGCCAAGCTCCTCGAGCTTGCTGCTCAGCCCAAGCCCATCAAGGAGGTTGAGATGGAGACCGTGAACGAGGATGAGGTCAAGGAGGCCACCAAGGATGACTGTAAGTGTAGCTGAAAAACTAAGGCGCAAATGAGGGCCATGTGCTGACCAGATCGCAGCTGCTATGGAGGTTGATTCCGCCAAGCCTGTAAAGGTTGGCAGCAAGAAGATTGAGAAGAAGAGGCGGGTCAAGAAGTCCAAGATTGTCTTCCCCAAGTATGGCGAGAAGTTCAGCAAGAAGAGGAAATGAGCGACAAGCGGCCACGATTTGAGCAGCTGAGTTTCGACAGACGACCAAAAGTATTACCGGTGTGGCCAGGGCTATAGAGCGGCTGTACCACCAAAGGACGACTACAACAACTCTCTCATGCTCCAGACATGTCCTAGCGGTTGTTCATTCTCACGACGGCGACAAGACAGTGCCGGGCGTTTAGGGCTAGGATGGAAGGAGACGGTACGGATGACGACCTTTTGTGGCAGGCCTCGTTTTTGTGGTCTGTCTGGGGCTTCACTGGTGCTTTGCACAGACGGGATTGATCGAGTTGTCAATCTTGCGCGTTGCCGACGCCGACGCCGTTGCGAAAACGCATGAACTTCAGAAGTCATATGGGATGGAAAAGCAGCAAAACGAACTAGTGGGGTGGGATTATCTACACTTGGCGCATTTGGTTTTGGTTTTTAATGGATTTATTTTTCTAGGCTGGCATGCTATTCTAGGAGTCTCTCACTCACTGCGTTAACGCTGTGCTCTAAGTGGGTCCAGCGCCAATCTTACGACGGGAAAGGCCTGGGCTTCTGTGGGAACGGACTTGAAATGGAAGGAACTGAGGTGGAAGCCACCTAACTTGGGCTGAACCTGACTGGCCCCTTTCTTCCACTGTTATCTGCCTTAACAACCTCACCTGTACTTCACAACATCAACACTAATCTATTTTGAACTCATATCTCAATTCCTCCCAGAGTATTTTATTCCGTTCGCGGCACAGAAATGGCCCACGAGTGCAGCTTCTTGGTTTACTGATAAACATCACGGCCCCCTCCGATAAGACACTTTTATGAGTTTGGCGAGTTCGAGATGAGTTTCCGGCGCAATGGAAGCTTGAGCTCCACGTTGCTTCTCATAGCAGCCAATGTGCTGATCCCAGTCGCCATTGTCATATTCGCAACTGGCTTCTTCCCTTATAAGCCTCTTCTACCGGGTCTGGCTGAGTATGAGCCATTGGATGGCTATGGCGAGCCTCCAGAAGCTCCGTTTGACAAGCTGGTCTTCATGGTCGTCGACGCACTGCGAAGGTAAATACATGTCACTGTCGCCAATACCACTCACTCTTCGACCAGTAGCCATGTTAATCCGGTCTCTACATGTAGTGATTTTGTGTACACTACCAACAGTGGCTTCAAGTTCACTCAATCGTAAGCTTTTCAATATAAGGCGCCCTTCTCCGGCTTCAGTAGATCTTTCGTGTTGACATCTCATATAGCTTGATTCGCCATGGTGCTGCAATTCCCTTCACAGCTCATGCCACGTCTCCCACAGTCACCATGCCTCGACTGAAGGCCATCACTACTGGTTCTGTGCCTTCTTTCCTCGATGTCGTTCTCAACATTGACGAAGGCGATGAGTCTTCAAGCCTCGCGTCGCAAGACACCTGGTTGGCTCAGATGAAGGCAAAGGGCACAGGAAAACTTGTAATGTACGGGGATGATACTTGGTTGAAGCTCTTTCCGGGTACATTTGATCGTGCTGATGGTACCACGAGCTTCTTTGTCGCGGTAAATTCTTATGCTTGTATGGCAGGCGTCCGCATTGTGCTAACGTGAGTAGGACTTCACCGAGGTTGATCATAATGTCACTCGAAACATTCCTGGAGAGCTCCGAAACGACGATTGGGATACCATGATTCTTCACTATCTTGGACTTGATCACATTGGACATAAGGGAGGACCGAGAAGGTAAAGTTGCTTCTCCTTCCCGAATAGGCACATTGCTAACTGGCCATATAGCCCTCATATGGTCCCGAAGCAGCGAGAAATGGATGGTATCGTCAGCCAGATATACAAGGCCATAGAAACCCAAGACCACCTCAAGTCAACACTTTTTGTCGTCTGTGGAGATCATGGAATGAATGATGCCGGCAATCACGGCGCCTCGTCGCCTGGCGAAACTTCACCGGCCCTTCTGTTCATCTCCCCCAAGCTCAAGGGCCTTCAGAAAAACCAAGACTCTCCGTTACCAGATGCCGAAGACTTTCAATTCTACTCGACCGTTGAACAGTCTGATCTGGCACCCACTTTGGCTGCTCTTCTAGGATTTCCTGTTCCCAAGAACAATCTGGGTGTCCTGATCCCCGAATTTTTGTCAATCTGGCCGAAGAGTGAGTTGTGAAGTTATCAAACCTTCTGGTTATTCCATATTCTAATAGGACCACAGAAGCCGACCAGGCCTATCTGCTGCATCAAAATGCGCGCCAGATACAAACCGTCATCTCGGCTGCATCGGGTACCAAAACTTTCGACGGTGCTTTACCGGAAGAATCCTGTGCCAGCCCGACGTCCGACTATGAGCAACTGGCCTGTGAATGGCAAGGTCCCTCAAGCATTCTCATGTCTGCGAGAGTTGGTGACGATATGGACTCCCAGTGGGCATTGCCTGTTGTCACGGTAATGCCCAACTTACCTACACAACACTCTGATCCGCATCCGATCCAGCTAACCATCTTCCAGTGGCTTCGCAAGGCTCAAGAGCTCATGAGCGGCATGGCGAGCAACTACGACATGTCCCGACTCATCCTAGGCCAAGTCACCGCCCTCCTCGCCGTAATCTTCAGCCTAAGCGCCGCAATCAAAACCGTCTCCCCGACCCGCTCTCTCACCCCCTTACTGGTGATTTCCATAGCCTACAGCATTATGATGTTTGCCAGCAGCTATGTCGAAGAAGAGCAGCACTTTTGGTATCTAGCAACGAGCACCTGGTTTGGCTACCTCACTCTCCGCGGATTCAAGCAGTACGTCTTCCCCTTTTCTCTTTTTCTCCTTCATTTCACACCCAACCTTAACTAACAACCATCGCCGCCCTCCAGCACCAACACCACCTTTCCCGCCCACCTCCTCCTCACCGCCTTCCCCGTCCTCGCCTCCCTCCGCCTCCTTCGCGCCTGGAACCAAACCGGCCAAAAACACGCCGGAACGCCGGACATCGTCAAACTCTTTATCGAACCCCACCCCCACTTTCTGTGGTTGCTCGTCGGCCTCACCTACTTCTGGACCCACCGGCAGCTCGTGTACTACTCCAACGGCCCCATCCCGGTACCCATCAACTACCCTGTCATGACGGGGCTAGTTTTGGCCGCGTTCACTTTCAAGGCAGCCTTCACGCTCGAGGACGCTCCCGAGTTGGTGGTGGAATTCGTGAAGAGTAGTTTGCTTGATTTCACGTTGATTGCCCGCGCCCGCGCGGTGTTTGTCGGTCTAGGACTGGTGGCGATGGCGGCAATGGGGTTTATACTTTGGGAGATGGGGACCGGGGTCCGTAAACGGTCACCCAAAAAGGTGCCGGCCGAGGCGATCACCACTCTTCAACACCTCTACACCATCCTCGCCCTCACACAAAGCCGGACGGCCAATATCCCGCTCTTTCTCATCTTCAACCTGCTTTACTGGTTCCTGTCAGGCGAGATCGATGCCCCGGACGGCACAGGGCTGTCAACCGTCGAACTGGGAATTTCTTCACTCCTACTGCAGTATGCCTCCTTTTTCGCTATGGGCGGGAGCAACGCGATTTCTTCCGTGGACCTATCTAACGCCTACAACGGGGTGAGCGGTTTCAACGTTATCCTGGTCGGCGTCTTGACGTACGTGGGGAATTGGGCGGGACCGGTGTGGTGGGCTTTTGGGACGGTGGTGCTTTTGGGGAAGATTTGGCGGAGAGATCAGAGACAGAAAAGGTTGGGTAGCGGTAACAATGGGAAAAGAGGGAGCGACGAAAAGGAGGAAAAGGCGGAAGCGAAACAGATGCTTGAAGGGGGGCAAATCAGTCCGTTCAAGACCTATGTTGTCGTGACGACGCTGTTTACCGCGTTCAGTGTCGCGGCGGTTATGGCGGCTTGTACGATTCTTAGGACGCACTTGTTCGTGTGGACGGTATTTTCCCCAAAGTACTTGTACTGCGTGGCTTGGAGCTTGGGGCAGCATTTGGTGGTTAATGTTGGGCTGAGTGGGTTGTTATTTTGGCTTGGGTCATTGTAGGTAAAGTATGAGGTGGTACAATCTTGTCCAAGAGGACGAGCCAAGGAAGGGCCGGTGGTTTGATAGAATGTGTGGATCATTGTATGTTGGTTGCTTGTAGTAGATATAGAGGTTAGATTAGAACGAGTAGATAAATTCTCGAAATCGTTCCTCAGCATCACCTGGATGAGGATATGCTAAAGTTGAAATGCATGGAAGCAAACAAAGAAAGCCTTTTGACATTTCATTCAATGGTATCCTGCAATGTTCGAGGACAAAATAAACCAAGGCGACACGTCTTAGCTCAAGAAGCTCAGGCTTCGACAGCAAGCAAACGACATGAACCAAAGCCAGAAACACAGAGCCACCATATGGTACGTATTGTCCCACCCAAACCCAATCAAGTCGGTTCATATGTAGTTCAACAATCCAGAATGTCCGTCTTTAATCCGTACGCAACCCTATTCGGAGTCGTCATCTTCATCCGACAATAACTCGTCAACAAGCTCATCATCATCTTTCCCTTCGTTCTCTCCATCATCGCCATCACCGTCCTCCTCCTCCTCCTCCTCTTCTTCTTCTTCTTCTTCTTCTTCTTCTCCATCCTCTTTCCCTCCCACCTCATCGTCCTGTTCCTCGTCCTCGCCCTTTTTTTCTTCTTGTTCTTCTTCGTCCTCCTCCTCAATCTTCGTCCTCTCCATCACCGTATCTCCATCACTATCATCCAGTATCTCCTCCGCAATATCCTCCGTACCTGCTCTACTGCTCCGTCCAGCACTCAACCGCGCCTTGGCTTTCATCGCACTAGCCCTCCTACTCCCTCTCCTTCCTGTCGGTTGTTGTTGTTCTTCCTGCTCCTCCTCTTGTTGCTGCTGCGGTTGTACGCTAACCACACTCTGCGAGCTCTGCCTCCTGCTCCTCAGAGAAACGCCTCTCAACAACCTTCTCTGTTCCGTGCTCGGCTCCTGGGCTTCTGTCGCAGTTGGTTTTGGTGTTGTTTCCCGATCACCAGCATTATCATCATCGCCGACTTGCGTACCACCCATTTCCACATCCTCGCCCTCGTCCTCGTTCTCGTCCTCCTCCTTGATGGAGACGGCAACGCTGACCTCTCTTTCCTTTCTCTTCCTGCTGTTAACAGGCGCGGCAGTAGCACCAGACGCAGATGGTGCGACGGAACCGGCTCTGGACACAGCCCCGCCGCCGCCGCCACTGGCTTCGCTAGCCGGAGGCGCCACGCTACCCGCCCGGCTAGGAGCGACGCTGCCTGCCCTGCTGGCGCTTCTTCTATGGGTGGTGGCGCCGGAGGCAATGGAGGCATGGCGGCCCGCGGCGTTGTTGGCGGCATCTTGCTCGGCGGCGGCATCGAGGGCGTTGACGATCTTGCCAAGGGAGACGTGGACCTTGTAGAGGGCGTTGCGGGAGGTGGCGTCGGAGAGGAGGTTATTCTCGACAGCGTTGGTGACGAGGGCGTAGACGTCGCGGATCTTGATGGGCGAGGAGGGGTTGGAGGAAGAGGAGCCGGATGGGATGTAGAGCTTTGCGAGAAGGGCGGCCATGATGCGCTTTTCTTCTTCTGTGTCTGGGTGTCAGTATCACGATTTGGTGGGAGAGGCAACAATGCATACGTACTGGCTCCATTTCCTTGTAGCCTTTCGAGAATATCCTTGGCAAAGTCGAGGTGGACATCTGCCGAAACGGTCTTCTTCTCGGGGTCAAGGCCGGCGCTGAACCCTTCATCGGGGTTGTAGCACTTTCTGGGATCCGTCCAATCGACCAAGCATGCAGCGATGGTCGACATGCTGACCATCTGATCATCTACATCGGCCTCTTCGTCATCCAGGCCTTCGCGCACATTGTACAAGGTATGCAGGGCATCCAGCGCAACCCGGCGCATCAGATCCTGGTTTTCTGGCCGCGAGTAGCAGAACACAGGCAAAAAGTAATTGAGTGCCTGTCTGACGCTCTGGTTCTCTGCACTGGCGGGCTCGAAGTACGCGATAACAAGGGTCTTGAGCAGCTCCGCAGATACGTCAACGTCACTAACGACACGGCCGAGCAGGAGTTTGGAGACGGCCACAGTAGCGGCCGCCTGGACCTCGGGAGATCTTCCGCCAGCGCGCAGGGCCTTGACGTAAACCTTGAGGAGATTGGTGTTATTCGAGAGCAGCTGCGCGCCGTGCACATTGAGAATATCGGTAAGAATATGCAGGGCGGTGATCTGGAGAGCAGTGTGGCCCTTTGCGAAGAAATGCATAAACAGGGTGAGGTTCTCCTCGGCAAGCGAGCGGTCGAGGAGCGAGCAAAGGCCGAGACAGACGAGACCACGCTCGCGAACAGGAGCCTCGTGGCTACGCACGGCGGGAACGACGAGGTTGTTGAGCATGGAAACTAGATGGTCGTTTCTCTGGAGATTGCCGGCGACATTGGTGAGCATGCACTGCACAATGTGGAGACACTTCATGTTGATCATGATCTCCTTGATGGCCTTCTGAGCCGCCTCCTCCTCCGACAGTTCAGGACCCTTGTTCTTCTTTTTCTTAGATTGAGAATCTTCGTCGTCGCTGACCTCGGATCTAGCTGAGTGAAAGGACTCGTTGTCGTCAATGTCGCCTTCGTCAGGAACATCGTCAACGATGGTGTCGTGGACGTCAGCAACGGCTTCAAGTACGATACTGCAGAATTCCTTCTCGCCGGCAGCATCGGGGGCGCAAAGGTCTCGTAGCACCTGGACGGTGAGTTTAGTGACTTCATCGGGGAGTTCCGGGATAGAGAGGGTTTGTCGTAAAAGGGCGAACATCTTGCGACGGCCAACTTCATCCGAATAGTCCAGGGTAAGGGCGATGTGGAGAAGCTGCTCGACAATGAACTCTTGCTCGACTGTGTCTTCTTCCTCCTCTTCATCTTCCACTTCCTGCTCATTGATCCTCTTGATGGCATCAATGAGCACCTTGACGTATCGCTCCAAGTAAAATGCGAGTTTGGTGACTTCGGGTAGCTTCTCGTCGACGAGGGACTCGTATTTCCCATTACCCTCGTTCCTACAGAAGTCGTTGAATGTCCGGGCGACAAACACGGATTCCGAGCTGAGTGTCTCCCAGAAGTTATCATCGAAATTGACTGCGTTTCTGTAGTCAGCACGGCCCTCCCAGAAGCCCTTCATGGCTTCGAGAGCGACACCGTTCTCTCCTCCAGAGTTGACAACATCAATGCGCTCCAGGAGCTCCAGCAGAGCCTCCATGCTTGGGGGTGATACCTCGGAAGGCTGGCCTCCTTCAACGGGGGGCGCAGTCCCGGCGCAATCCTCGATCCATCTTTCACGAAATAGGCGGCAGGCGGCCTTGCGCACATTTTCGTCTCTGTCGCGTAAGCCCCAGCGAAGAAGCTTCTCTCTCATAGAGAGTGACAAATGACGGAAGTCGCCCAGCGCAGGCAGAAGACGGGAGTAGACAGCGCGCCGCGTAAGCGCATCTTGGTCGCGTGCTCGTTCCAGCAGGTATGGCAGGGTCGTTGGCAAGATAGGCAGGTTAACCAGGAGAGACCTCCTCACATCGGCACTAGGGTCGTTCTGCAAGACTTCGAGGAGCTTTTCGAGAAGACCGGTCGATCCATCATCGTCGCTATCGTCGGAATTCGGTTCGCCCTCGATCTGGTTGCCAGCCAAGCGTCCGAGACCCAGCACAGCCTGTGCCCGGACCATGGCCTCCTTGTCGCGAATCCTCCTAAGTAGACTTGACCGTAGCTTCTGGAAGAGATCGTCGTCAATCGCGTCGAGGGAGTTGATGATATGAGATATGAGCTGCGTTGATCGATAGCGCACGAACTTGTCCTTGGCGATCATCAAGGGAAGGACGGTTTCCATCAAATGTCCGGTAAGTCGGGTGCTGGGTGTCTCGGGCATGGTGCTGGCGTCCGGGTCGGCTTCGCCGAGAATTTCGTTATCCTTCTCGACGGCATGCCGCAGGAACAGACCGATGAAGCGCACCGTCTTCTCGCCGACTCCCTCGCTCTTCTTGATGGGCATGACGCGCAGGACACAGCGCACAAACTCCTTGTTGAAGTCATCTTCCTCGAACTCGTCGGCCTCGGCGGGCTTCTTCGTACTCGTCGGCTCGTAGCAGCATGCTTCTTGTATCTTGCGCAGGGTCACGGCCAGCTTGCGATGGGATGCCGTGGTCTTTTGGGCGTCGCGGAAGACGGTCGCGACTTGTGTGCGTAGCGCATTGTCGGGAGTATCCAAGGGTGCTTCTGGTACGACCGAGGTCTGGCGCGCCCCGCGTGTCGCTCTCGTCGATCTGCCCGGCGCCATGGTCGGCAATGGCTGTTGGTATTAGCGGGGCCTGCGCAGCGGCAGTCCTCTATTTGTATGCGATATGGAAAAGGTACAAGTAATCCAAGCCCAAGATATAAGAAAACAAGCAAAAAGAAAGACGGATGTGGGGTTTCGTAGGATGGCTTTTGCAACTGAACGGGAGGGGATGAAAGTGACACTATTCGCGAATGGAGGTTAGGTTGTTTTGTTTACTTTGCACTGGGCTGCTGTGAATTTCCCTAGCGGCCCCGTCGTCAGCGGGAGGGACTGTCTGACCTGCAGAGGGGTCGCGCTGCTCGCTGCGCTGTCTGTCGCAGAACGTACCCTGCTGGTGCCCTGAAGCTGCCCTGCCTTGAATGGCCCGTCTGTGCGCCCCGCCTTTCCTTGAGTGTGGAAGCGCGCGAAGAGAGAAAAAGACGGGCTCAGGATCCTGCCAAGCTTGAGGAAACGATAAGCTCCCTTGTACGTCCTTATCGGGACTCCACCTCGAATATTTTTCTTTGGGCGAAGGGTCCAGAACTGTGGTCGCTGGGGGAAGCTGTACACTCGGCGATTCCCATCCACCATTTACGCCTTGAGAGGGTCTGTTTCCTTCACTTTTGATTTTATTTGTCTGCTTTCTCATTTTTTCCCTATTTTCAACAACAACAACACCACCTAACAAACACATAACATCACAACCCGATTGCTTGCAATAATGGGCAAGGACGGGAACAAAAAGCGCCAACGCGAGGTGGACGAGGAGATCCCAGTTGATCCCGATGCCATCAAGGATTCCGATATTGCTGCACAGAACCCCCCAAGCAAGAAAGCTAGAGTTGAATCCAACCGCTCTCTCTTCATCCGACAGCTGCCTCCAAGTGCCACCGCCGAGTCTCTGACCGAGTTCTTCTCCCAACATTTCCCTGTGAAGCATGCCACCGTCGTCCTCGATCCCAAGACCAAGACCTCGCGCGGCTATGGTTTCGTCACCTTTACCGATCCCGAGGATACCCTCGAGGCCAAGGCCAAGCTCAACAACTACCTGCTTGAAGGGAAGCGCCTGAAGCTCGACATTGCCGAAGCCAGACACCGTGATGCTAAGAAGACCGGACCTGTTGTGTCCAAGGTCGCCGAGGAGAAGCAGAAACGTGCCGAAGCCGTCGCCGAGGCCCAGAAACCCAACAAACTCATCATCCGCAACCTGCCATGGAGCATCAAGAAGCCTGAGCAGTTGGCCGAGCTGTTCAAGCCATATGGCAAGGTCAGGTTCGCCGACTTGCCCAACGACAAGGGCAAGCTCTCTGGTTTCGGTTTCGTCACCCTCCGGGGTCGCAAGAATGCTGAAAAGGCTATTGAGGCCGTCAATGGCATGGAGGTCGATGGCCGCCCATTGGCCGTCGACTGGGCCGTGGATAAGCAGACATGGGCCCAGCAGAACGGCGGACAGTCGGACGACAAGAAGGAGAAGAAGGACAAGAAGGTCAAGGAACCCAAAGACAAGAAGACAGAGGAGGAGGAGACTGCTGGCATGACACAGGAGGAAAAGGATCTTTACAACTTCTTCAAGAGCCAAGGCGAGAACCTCGAGAGTGAAGATGAGGAGGACGAAGACAAGGACAAGGAGGACGAGGATGAAGACGATGAAGACAAGGACGAAGATGATATCGAGGAGGACGAGGAGGAGGAGGATGAGGAGGAGGAACAGAAGCCCAAGCGGCTAACCGACAACTCTCTAACACTCTTCATTCGCAACCTACCATACACCACCACCGATGAGCAGCTGAAGGCGCACTTTACCCGGTTCGGCGGCATCAGATACGCCCGAGTTGTCAAGGACAAGGCCACCGACAGGCCAGCCGGTACCGGTTTCGTGTGCTTTTTCAACGAGGAGGAGATGAAGGCCTGCCTCAAGGGCGCCCCCCGCCATCAACCTACCACCACACTCGTCAAGCACTCCATCCTTCAAGACGAGACCGTCGATCCGGAGGGCAAGTACACGCTCGACGGGCGCATCCTTCAAGTCGCCCACGCCGTCTCCAAGGACGAAGCCGAGCGTCTCGCCGAGGCCTCGGCCGGTAAGAAGGACAAGGACAAGAGACGCCTGTACCTCCTGAACGAGGGCCAAATCACACCCTCATCTACGCTCTTCAAGGTCCTTACCCCGGCCGAAATCAAGATGCGCGAAGCGTCGGCCAACCAGCGCAAGAAGCTGATCCAGTCCAACCCGTCGCTGCACCTGTCGCTCACCCGTCTCGCGCTGCGCAACCTGCCGCGCAACATTGGGTCGAAGGAGCTCAAGGCGCTCGCGCGCCAGGCCGTCGTCGGGTTCGCCAAGGACGTCAAGGAAGGCAAGCGCGCGCCCATCTCCAAGGAAGAAAACTCGCGCGGTGGTGAGCAAGACAAGGAGAACGAGCGCCTCCGGAAGCTCAAGGGCAAGGGTGTCGTCAAGCAGGCCAAGATCGTGTTCGAGACGACCACGGGCACCAAGGTGGACGAAAAGGTCGGTGGCGGCAAGTCGCGTGGCTACGGCTTCATCGAGTACTCGTCGCACCGCTGGGCGCTCATGGGCCTGCGCTACCTGAACGGGTTTGCCGTCAAGAACGAGCTGGGCAAGACGCAAAGGCTGATTGTCGAGTTCGCGATCGAGAACGCGAACGTGGTGCAGCGGAGGAGACAGGGTGAGGAGAAGCAAAGGACGATGACGCCCGCGGAAAGGAAGGCAGAGATGGAGGAGAAGAAGAGATCCAAGGAGGCCAAGGAGGCATACAAGGCTGGAAGGAAGGCGGATAGGAAGAAGGGCGCTAAGCCTGAGAAGCCTGCTGGGTGGAACAAGGGCAAGGATAAGAAGGGCCCGGCTGAGGTGACCAAGGCCGCAGGCGCCGCTCCGGCGAAGGAGGTGAAGGCTGAAGATATCAAGGTGGATAAGAAGGGCAAGAAGAGTGAGATGGTCAAGGAGGCCCTCATGACCAAGATCCTGGCGAGGAAGAGGCAACAGAGGAAAAAGAAGGCTAACAGGGGCAAGAAATAAGCTTGGGCTCTTGGAGTTTACCTAATGTAGGGAGAAAGAGTGTTTTTTTTGCTGCTGGCCCGGAATGTTAAATCTTTTATGTCATTACCAAGGCCTTTCCTGTTTGCTATCTAAGTATACCTTTATCACGATCAAAAGCAATCCCTCAGCGTTTTCCAACACCTCTCAGTCTATTTCCGCCGTGGACACTAGTGAAATCTCGGTTGCAGTTCTTGACCAAGACAACGCTCAATAAGATTGTACGCCCTCTACATGCTATTATTATATAACAGAACGCCTGTTTGCCTGCTTTGTTTTTCTCGCTATGCTCGCTTTCATATAATGCTTTCTAGAAAACCGAAACAACAAATTTTCCACCCTTTCCCACCAACATCTATACAGCAGCACTCCTCGTCGTCTCCAACCGACTTCCTTGCCCTTCTTCATCACCCTCAACCTCTCCATCTTCAGTTACTCTAGTCTCTCCTCCATTTCTAATAACCCTGAAGTTCGGATCCGTCCGTCTCCTCTTCATTCCCATTCTGCTCCTACTACTAGCATTGGGCACCCGCATTGTCGGGTTCGACCCGTTGTTACCACTCGAAGTGGCAGCGGTCGCGCTCGTGCTCACGTGCGAGGAACCACCACCACCACCGCCACCCATCCTCCATCCACCACCCAACAACTCGGCCAACGTCCCACTCAAACTCCTCGCTCGTCCTCTTATCCCTTGGTCTCCATGACCTTGCCCTGGACCTCGCTGTCCCTCACCCTTGCTACCGTTACCGCCTAGTCCGGTAAGATCCAGCAACGGACCAAAAGTACTCGTACTCCCCACCGCTGCTGACCTTCTTCCCCGTCCCCTACAGTTTTCCAGGTCAAAGTACCCGTCGTCATTGTCTAATTCGTCCTGCGGTACGAACAAACTATTTCTCAGCCCGGGCCTGCTTCTTCGACCAGCTATCCTCCTCTGCGTAGGCGAGTCATTTTCGGCCGTCATGCCGAGATGGGGGAGTAATCTGTCCGCTACCACGGCGCCAAGAGTGGAAGAGAAGGGGGAAGGGGAGATCATGAGAGGGTTACCGCCAGCGTTATGGTGGTGATGATGGCCGTAGTGGTGGACGTGGGCGTTGAAGGCGCGGTGCGATTGTGATAGGGTGGAGGAAGAAACGGGTGCGCGGGGTGTGGCCGGTCGCGAGGCGGAAGGGGGCGTACGGGTTGCGGCTGAGGAGCCGGCAGCAGGAGAGGAGCCACAGGTGATGGTGATGTTGGGTTGGGGTGTGGTTGAGAGGAGATCGGTGCCGAATTCGTCAGAGGAGACGGGGATGGAGAGGATGGTGTCTGAGGAGATGGTGTGTGGGCCGATACCCGGGTGATGGTAATGTGCGTCGATTTCTGGGATGTATTCTTCACTTCTGTTTCTTTCTTGGGAAGATGCCGCCCTCCAGGGGTTGCCGAGTAACGGCGCGTCTTCGTTGTCGTCGTCGTCTGATTCTTCAATGAGAGTCTTCTGAGATTTGGTCCTAGTGTGAGTGCGCGAAGGAAGGCCTGTATCCTCCGCCTCCTCTACTGCTGATAGGGGTCTGACTGAGGCTTCTTTAAAACTGATACGCGACGATCGTCGGGATCTCGTAGAATCACTACGTCTGCGAGAGGACTGGCGGGGTGTATGTGGTGATGAGGTCGCGGCGACGATTGCCGCTGCTGCTCCTAGCGTTGGGCCTTGTTCTGCAAGGCCAATGGTTTCGTCAATGCCCTCGGCGTCGGAGAGAATCTCTTCTTCCTCCTCTTCCTCATCATGGTGCGGCCTGCCGCTGGTAATGAGGAACACGCCGAAGAAAGTCAACATGCAGCCGCCGATAAATCTGAGCACTTGCTTGCTGGTTGTCCTCTCAAAGTCCCGATAGAGGACGGCACTGCCGATGATTACAGATAGTGTAAACAGTACAAACTGGACGGGAATGACCTGGGTAGAATCGAAACGCCGGAGCGCCTTGTTTACATAATGGACTTGCATGACTGCGGTGAAGAGCAAGACAAATATCAGAACGTATGTAATCGGTGTGGTGAAAGCGCCGAGAAGAGTAGAGGAGAGCATCGATGAGACACCTTTTGTAGAGAGGGCAGTATATCCGCCTGTAAACCCTGAGTATTAGCACCAGGCAACTGCTGGTCAATGAGTGATCTACGTACCAAAGAGACCGACCAGACCCAGATCGATGAGGATGGTCCGGTTTCCGTACCTGGGGCTCGCCCACATAAGGAGAACAATCAAGGAACAGCTAAGGCCCATATAGATCTCGAATTCCATGGTCGTGATCGCATCCCATACTTCGTGAGGCCCCATCTTGGTCTCCTGCGACTCGGCACTCAAGACCACGATCACGGCACCGGCCACGGCAATGAGTACACCAAAGAAGTCTCGCCGCCGGAAGACCTCTTTGAAAAAGATGGGCGCAATGATGCAGTTGGACACCAAAGCAACGACGCCGAGAGGACTGACGACGGAAGCCGGAGCAAAGCCATAGGCCAGGAAGTTGCCCGTCTCGCCCACAGTGATCAAGCCCTGGCCTAGCCACCAGTACGGATCCTTCAGATATGTAGTTGTGACCTTGATCTCCCCACTCGTGGGAGTCGAAGACTCGGACCAACCCGAGTCTGTAGAATCAGAGGACCGTGTGAGAGGCTCGGTTTCGTGGGCATCAATGGCCAGGTCGCTAGTGGGGCGGCGAGTGGTGTCCTTCCTCGAGAGAGCCCCGTCAGACACGGGGGCTGTGGTTCCGTATATACCTCCACTTCCAGAAATTGTCCCATTCGCGTTGGCCCTAGCCTCCCTGAGCGCCTGCTTTGCGCGCCGTCGTATCTCGGCCCGGTGGTGATTCAACCGAATGTGGGCATATCGTTGGACATTGAGCGCCAGAGCTATTAGGATGTTGCCGCAGATGGCGGTGATAATGCCGATCAGCGACGACCAGTTTTGGCCCTCGTCATTGCCGTGATCGCCTCCGTCGGCTGGCGGGATATCGACGTCAGGTAAGTATTCCATGGGCCACAGACCGGCTGCGGAGGCAGGAGCGGGCAAGCGCATGGTTGCCGTCGGGGTTGTTGTCTATACGCGGTTCGGTACCGGTTGGATTGGAGCTTGGTTCGGGATCGGGATCGGGATCGAGGTTGTCGATGGAGCGGCGTCCTGGTGAGCAACGCACACGGCTCGCGGCGTTCAAGGCTCACAGTCGGAGGTCATGGAATGTTGGTTCGCAGGTGGGAAGCGCATGTGAAGCAATCGGTTGGCGAGATGAGACGGCGGATCATGCCCTGCTCCTACTTGTATAGTATAGTAAGCCGAGTAAGGTTTCGGTTTCAGTAGTGGTTGTTGACTGTTGACTTGGGGTCTGTTGTCTGTCCGTATGGTGTCTTGACTTTTTCGCCGAGGCGTTATGTTCGTCGGTCGGTTGGTTGATATGAGTAAGGAGAAAATAGGAAGGAGAACAAGAAGTACTACGGTTGAGAACAGGAACCTCGGAAATGTCAATGTCTATTACGAGACTAGTGTCGCGGTAGTCGCAGTAGCTGATCGGACTTTAGAGTGGATGCACCGTGGAGGGTAAAATTGCAGCGACAGAGAAGGAGACTGAGCGTCCAAGTCGCATTTCGAGGCTCAACAGAGGGACGACGGGAATGGTGATTGTCGAATGCGCAGCCCGAGTTGTGCGCGAGAGTCCGAACCTTACACTTATGGTTGTCATACGACATGGTTATTTTAGACTGGAACCCTTGAGGAACCCGCGACACTAACAAATTGTGCGCTACAGATTCGATGGCGTCGCTAAAATGGATGCCGTTACTGCCGGGGTTCGCTGTTGCTGCCAGGAATAGCGCCTGAACCCTGGCTGCCCGGCGAAGTGGTTGTAAAAATAAACCGAACATGGACAGTTCAGTTCAGCACGGCTCGCTTTGGCTGGGTAGGAAAGGCTGAGGCAGCTTAGGTACATATAGCGTCTGGGGGACGCTTTCACTTTCTGTAGGCTCCACTTCCATATCGCTATCGGTCGGGTAATTCCAGCGATTCCAATTTCCAGGCTGTGAGGTGGTGGGGCAGCTGCTGTTAACGTTCTAGGTTGTTGTTTTTGTTGTCTTGAAAATTAACTCCCGTCTTCAGCTCTTCAACCTTGCTTCACTGTCTTTTCCGTGCAGTGACACTACCTATGAACACTTCCGTCTCAACAATTTGTCATGTGAAAGAACAATTGCTTAGGGCTACTCGAAATGGATTGTTGTCGGCGTCAAGACTCTACCCCCCCTGAGCCTCTGAATGGCCTTCCTATATTTTGGACCTTTGGACCCTGCCTGCTGCCTGCTTATCAACACCACCTTTAAACGCTAACACTTATACATAACACTGCACCTGCATACATGTCTGAGACTGAAATCAACCTTAGCCAAGTTCAAACTACAAAAGAACATCCCATGATACTCGAATCTCTCGGGGATATATGCACAGTAAGTCTATGCCGTTGTGGGAATACCTAGAGGTACTCGTTCATTCTCTGTACCTAGGTGCTCAGACATAGACACGTAGCCGTAGAGGTACTCGTCTGATATCAAAGTACGTACCTCGGCTGTCCCGTGCAACAGAAGCATCTAGAGAGTGCCACTGAGGTCATTCCAAGGTACAGTGGCATCACAGAAGCACAAGCTCCAATTCCCCACCCCAACACGGAAACAACAACCTCAACTACACGTCAACCTACAAGCTACATCACCTGTTCTTCACTTTCCCCTCTTCAACTCAGACAAGTTCGTTTCCCATCAAAAGAAATTTCGATCCACCACCGGCAAATCACAATGCGCGATGACAACGACCCGTTAAACGACTTTCTGAAGCCCTTCAGGAAGTTCAAGGAGCACGTCGACGACAATATCGGCGCCGGCTTTCACACTATTCTCGACACGATTCTATACCTTACGCCGTATCAGCTGTCCAGACGAGATGCTCCGTCCTCACCAGCCCTGGGCACCGACATCACTCGGGGCAAGAACTTACCCGATATCCGTGCCTATGAGAAAAATAAGGACTCTGAAGAACTGGAGCGTTATCTTGACGAGCTGCAAAGAAATGGCACCAACTACTTTGAAGCAGCCCGCGCCTGGAGGCTGTTTCTGCTACGCTCCAATTACTCCCCGGTTCGCCTTTCTCTCGAGCTCGGCTGGAAACCCGTCCCGAAGGGCCTGACTCCGGAAATGGATCCCAATCAGTTTGGATGGGAGGACGCGTTTGAGGATCTTCTTGCCGAAAGCTCGGCCAAGCCTATGAGGAGTCTCGACTCCCACTGGTTCACCAAACAATACCCTCTCTATCCGAAATACCTTGAACAGAGCAAGACCGTGACCCCGGATATGCTCCGAGCACTTGATATGGACCAGAGAATACGCTTCCGCAAACTTGACGAGGCCTGGTTTCCCCTCTACTCTCGCCTGTTCGTTGATGCCTCCGACCGCCGCTACTGCTCACCACGCAGTATGGACGAGTGGATTGAATGGAGAAAGGCGGAGGCGGAAAAGGACGACTTCCACTACAACATCCTTTCTCAGCTTGTGTCAAACCTCGGAATCGACGCTTCTCGCTGGGCCGACAAGAACAGAAACCGGGACGAAGCCGTTCTAGAAATGCAAGGACGCATCATCAATGATGTCAGCAACACGCTTGGCGACGTCGTTGACATGTCCAACGGCTTCTTTGACAACTTGACATGGTTCATCAACAAGTTCGACCGTGCGTTAACCGAGGAGACAGAACGGGAATCGAAGAAGAAATTGCAAAGGCCCAGCTCGAACGACAAGAAGCATCCTGACACAGAGCAGGATTTGACCGATGTCATCTTGTCAGCTTTCAACGAGTCCAACCGTTCACTGAGCACGCTGTTCAAGTCTTTTGCGAACGAGCTCAAGGACACTAAACGCTTCTTCGATGACTGGATCGATTCTCGAGATGTTGACAGTCTCACCAAGTCTTCCGATACCGCTGTCACTACTAGAGACAACAGCACCGTCACCACCACCACCACCGAGAAGGACGGGGTGACCGAAGTTGTCAAGAAGCAAGAGTACACCGACGCATCCGGTGCGGTACATGTCAAGCAGGAAATCATTAGGAAGGATGCTGAGGGCAACGTTATCAGCAGATCGAGCAGCCACTCGGTCCAAAGTAAGCGCTCTTGGTCTTTTGGCAACTTCGGTGCTGATGAAGACGCCAAGTCCTCCCTCGCCGAGAAGGGCCGTGACCAGGACGGAAACACTAAGGATGATGACGGCAAGGATGGGAAAAAGGATGGGTGGTTCTGGAAGTAAACCTTTCCGTGATGACATGAGGTCGCCTCGTCCATGTCTCACTAGTCGAGATGACAAGAATGAGTGATGCTGTCACATCACGTTCTTGTGTGTACATTACCTGCCTATACCCCTTTCCTTCCTTTTCTTTACACGAAGCCGATGACACTTTCTAGTATATGACAAATATATAGCCGACGAGTCCATGTTAAACACAAAATTTTCCATCCACTATCCGGCTCAATTGTCCTTGTTTTTCTGGTGTCGCATGTTACCGAGGAATTTCACTAAATATTCCGTCTAACAAGTGTTCAGAATCCATTGGAAACACAGAACCAACGCTGGCATATAGTCATCTAGGCAGCCATGTACACGTAAAAGATGATAAAGACAGTGAAGAGAAGCTTGAACTAAATGACAGCAACGCACAGAGCAGACATGGAAAGAAGAAGGAAAGAGATGCTCAAAATCCTATTAGATCAGCTTTAGCCTGGTACCTCTTAATCTATCGTGCCCGTCTTTCGTCTCCCATCTCAAGACCAAAGGCGACTAGCGACTGTAATATATATAAAACTTCCTCAACTTCAACTTCACGTTCGCCCTTAATTTTTTCCCTACCTTCCAAGACTCTGACGAATTGCGTCTACCCTCCCTAGTACCATTCATGTACCGGGCAATGAACGGCCGCCAGCAATAGTTGGCTCGATGACGACCGGCGAATTTCTTGATGTTAAATACCTTCCTCTTCGCTTAGTATCAGTCTACCTTCCATCCCATCTTCAGACTTTTCATCTCCCTCGCTGGTTAACCAAAACCTCATACACGCAGCACTGATGAGGGGTATATTTGTCATTTCGATCGCGTCAGTCTGCAATGCCTTCTGGGGTTGATCGCTAGAGTGGTGGTGATATTGCTCTCCCTCCCTACGCCCTCCACCCCGTTCCTTGAGCCCCGCCCCCAAGGCACTCGAACCAGGATCGTGCCATTTCCTTCTGTATCCTTTTTTTGCTGGTTTTCTTGTATTTTTGGTTACTTGAAAGTTGGGATTACATTTTCTGCCTGTTTGCTGTGCTGCCCTTTGAGGTGCCCATCGCTGTTGTAGGTCGAAGCGTGGAGGTGAAATGAGGAGAACAACGACTCGATTGACCATCTCGGAGGCCAGGCAAGTTCTAAAGAAGAGAACAATTGACGGGATGTTGAGAGCCAAGGAGTTACAGCTGCATTTCTTGAGTTGTGAGCTTATCTGAACTCAAACCCATCTCTAGCTACCTAGTTAAAATCAACTACTTCGCTAGCTGGTATACCAACAAAAGAAATCGAAGATGTGCGCTTGTTACGACTTTACCACTTCTGCCATGACCTCACCACAAACCATTCATATTCCAGCCACGTGAAACATCACCCAGGAGCAGTCAAAGGTGCGCCTTCACCCGCTGGCCCAACTTCCTCCATAGCCTCCTCATCCTCCTCGTCGTTTTCCTCCTCCTTTCCAGTCTCTTTCCCCTTCACAACAGGCCTCCCATCCCCAATAGCCCCTAAGTTCTTCCTCCCCTCTTCTCCCACGCACGTTTCGAAAACATACCCAGATCCAGTCCCTTCTCCAAGAAACGTCCCCAACTTCAGATCCGCCTCCGTAGTAACCAGATGTCCCCTCTTCTCCACCACCTCCTCGCGCATGCGATCGATGAAATATCTGAAATGTGACCGTTTCTCATCAAAGTGTCTATCCGGAAGTAAGACTTCCCGAGATCCAGGCCCCCTTCCACACTCAGTGCCAAATGATATACCCCACTGCTGGAACACACTGAGCGCCAGAAGCTCGTGGTAGCCGAGGGAACACCCACTGAGAAGGTAGTAGTCGTGGTAGGGACAGAGATCTTGGTCATGCATAATTCTGACTTCCGGGCTTTTTGGGCAGGGAATGTTGATAGTTGGAAGAAATTGGTGGATATTGACGTGATCTGTGGTCAGATTGCAGTAGAGGCAGGTAAGCGGTTGAGAGAACTCGGGCCAGGGGTGGCTTGGGATGCTATATATTGTAAGTTTCCTTGTCCTTAGCTTGTCGTGTATGTAGAAAATTCTATGTTGACAGGAGAGAGCTGTAGAATGTTGTCGGATTGGGGCGTGTGCTGGACATCGCAACGTACCAGGCAGAGAGAGTGCTCGAGCCTTTGGGAGCATGAAGGATATGCCTGTACCGTATAAACTTTTTCAGCTTCTTGGCGTCTTGTTCGCGTTCTGGCCACAAGTAACAACAATCGATTAGTGAACTCTTGTTGCATACATAGAATCGTAGGCCAATGACACAGCGCGCACATGACCAATGACCTGTCAGAAGCCATGATGAAAGAAGGAGTAGAAACAACTTACTCAGTCTATAATCCATCGGCGAGATTTTCGTGGCAAGCCTGTCGGCTTCCTTGGACTTGGGTCCTCGCAGCTTGAGAGCGGAAAGAGTTCTGAACTTTCCTGCTCTCATAGCACGAAGAAGACCTTCTTCCGCGGGATTCAACGATAGTTCCTCCTAAAAGTCATGTTCGTTGCGCATCCAAGTCTTGTGAGTAGAAATCCGTAGTGTAATAGGTTCCACCCTGAAGACGGTCAATGTCTCTGGCTCCTTGAAGACAACTTGCGTGCCATCAAAGCAGATGTCCCAGGTCAGCTTGAGGGCCAAGTCAACGAGCCAATCAACATATTGTTTCCATTCAGCTACCCTCTGGTTGTTTTTGTTATCGTTCTTCTTTCCCGGATTCGTTGCCTGGGGAGAGACCTGTTTCTTGAGCTTGAAATATTCTTGAGGGTCGGCCTGCTCCTGAGAACAGGCCTTTTTGGGAACGAAAGGTGTCTTAAGTGGATTCATGTTTAGAGCAATGTTCTTGATATGCTGCTTTGCGAGATAATATCGTATAATGGAATCGAAATGTAAACGACAGAGCCGGTAGACCGTTCAGAAGAAGCGAATGATGTTTGGACGGTTGCCGATAGAGCCGACTTGAGTTTGAACCAGAAGACAAATGGAAGTTGATGTAAACTGCATGATTGTGTCGAGCGAGGTTCACTTGGGTACCATTCTTCTGGGCAGAAAAGGAAAAGGCCAGGTCGGGTACACCTTCTCCCTTTGAAGCAGGGCGTCAGTTTGATAAGAACCCTCCTTCCTCTGATGATAATCCTCCTTTCCCATCATTATCTTTCGGATGGCAAGGGCACAGGTGTAGTCGAGTATGAGCCTTCCTGGGCAGTGGATGGCAGGCACAATACTGTAAATTTTGGGAAGGTGCATTCAAGTTGTGTCGCTAGGAAGGAGGGGTATTCATATGGATCTAGGTACCTACCTAGCTTGCAAGTGGGCTCGCGGGATCATCCTACCGATAGTCTCGTGTTTTGAATGATCACTCAGTTTGTCCCGTATTGAACTTACCAGATGAGAGGTAAGCGTTAGCTACCAAGTCTGCTTTGTCCGTCGCGATACTATTAGGTACTGAACTTACATTAGCCATCAACCGTTCTGTTCAGCATCTTGTGGATCCTGAGAATATCATTGTTCAAATCATCGGTTTGGTACTTGTTATCAGTTCCACCAACGCACAATACAACTGTGCCCTGGCGGCCGTCTACCTCCCTGGCTGCCTATGTGTACCCCAATGGGTAGGTAGTCCTTAGAGTTCTCAACTGGAAGCTGTCATCAACGTCAAAGACTGACCCACAATTAGGGCCGTTCAGTTGGAGCTAAATCCGTAATATCCAATCATTTGTCTACTTAAGTCCCGATCGGGAAAGAAGGGTACGTACCTCCAACCGTTCACAACAACGACATCATTCCAGCGGCCCTGTCAATATAACATCCTCGAGTTCTTAGATTATACAATCCAAGCTTGACGGGCTCGTTGGGATAATTCGATCTGGCAAGTGGAGAGAAGGACGGTCCAAACACACCTAGCACCAACATACAAATCGAACGGACTCAGCACCACGGCAGTCGATTTCCAACCTATAGAGACCTTCAAGCATGGACTTCGAAGTTTACTATCTTGGGGAATGTTGGCGGAAATTCCCGATTGCAGTTGACTTGCACGGCGGTCCGAACAGGAGAGGCCAGTGTCCCTTGTGATGAATGGTCAGTCTTTTTTAGCATCACTTGTAACTCCCAGCGATAATATTTGGCAAGCGAGTGCTGCCGTGAATGCGAACAACAACAACAAACGAAAGCATCCAGTTCCATCCTGACACTCAGCCCCTTACAAACCCTCCGTTCCATGTTAAGTCAAGTTCAAAAGCCATGATAACAGCCCTGAATAAAGACTCCGCCGCGCCCATGTAATGCTCAGGAGTACTCCTCTCCACTCCAAGGTGCCCCAATCAAAAGCCACCAAAGAAGAAAGGACTCTTCGATCCAGTAAACGCAAGCGGAGATCCCGGTACTCGCATCGGAATCGGTACGTGGCCCTCAAAGACTCCCCACGACGAGTCATCGTCCATTTCTCCAGGCACAACTGCTTTGCCCTTACCCTTGCCATTGCCCTCCTCCTCCTGCTTCTCAGCAGGCACCGCTGATGACGAACTGGCGACTGTAGTAGTCCCAGCAGGAATGAGAACACCACACTCCCAGTTCCGGCAAGTAATCTTGAACTTTTTGGTGCTACGATCTTTGATGAGTCGGCCCCTGATGAAATCATGAAAAGAGTTGGTTAGATTCTTGGTCAAATTTTGGGATACTTGGAACCTCACAAACTTACCAAGCACTCTCTGAAAGATTCGCACTGCCAACGTACGCGAAACCGCTCACAACTGTCATGCCAGGTTCGTTTTTGGACTCTTCCGTCCTCCTGACAAAGATCATCTTATTGTGCATGAGCATGCCTGGTCTCGTGGAGACGCAGTCTCGCAAGACTTCTCGGGGAAAGGTCGGTGCCTCGAACCACTGTTTCTGAAAACATATAGTCCCGGCGTCCTGTCATGGTCATGTTATTATCAGGTCGTTGACGTAGTATGGAGAAGAAGGGAATAGCTATTCAAGACAGGATAGGTGGCTAGCGACTGACCTTTGCTATACTAGTTCGCACCGTATTCTTTGATGGGAAATATACCCGAGTGTGTTTCCTGACCTCGACAGCCCCGAGATCTGGCGCTTCCTGGCCCTTCTTGCCTACTGGCCGACTCTCGAGCTCTTTGATACCAGAGTCGCCTACTCCGTGTTAGCAACGAAGCGGGAGTACGCTAGTTGTATGTTTTGGGAGATACTTCACCTTGACAGGCGTAATATAGCGCTTTAAGTAGGGAATCTTTGATGGATCCCAATGATGCAGCCTGTAGTCCAGTCATCAGCAAACATGCTGTAGTAGAAGCTGAGACACAGAGATAAGCGCAGAGAACCCACTACGACATCCATCTCAATCGTCTTTGTTGTACCAAGATCTAAAGCCTTGACAGAACGACCAAGCCCGCAGTAGCCTGGCAAGAATGAGGTTAGCTTATGCGATAGCTGTACAGCTATAATCTGACAAATCTACCTGTCCTCCAAGCTTTGTCATCAACGTGAGAAGCAGCGCTAATTGTGAACTTTTAGTGCCTCTTCGATTGTCTTTATTAGGGTTTGGTGGTCGAACTCACATCGAGTGAACGAAACCATAGCGCCTCGTTTCCGTCCAGTCATACTTCTTCAAGCTTCTGATGAGACCATCATCCAGCTGCTTGGCCTTGAGGAAATACAACAACTCCTCGCCAAAGGGGGTGAGCTCTCTTGTCACGTCTGGATCATCAAGGAGAGGGAGGTCAATGATGAACAGGATCTGAGAGGGGCCTTTAGTAACTGTCGCGGCTCAAGAATAACTGGAAGTAGTAGACTCACGTTCTCCATATCACCCGTCTCACCCCAATCGAAGCTCACCAGATTGGCGCTGGGCACAACGATGCGAAGATGGTCTTTGTACTTGAGCAGCTGAAGCTTCGAATGCATGCATCCCGAACCGTTCATGGGAACAAGATGCTTCCGCACTGTTGGGAATCCATCCAACCAGGTCTATGAGGAAAGGAACACGTTAACCATGTCATGACTTTTTGAGGTGAAGAAACATGCCAGCCTGCCTCGGGGCTTCCAGAGGTATCCCGATTCCCTGAACCTACACTGATTTGTTCCCCCTGATTAGGGGCACCCCGACATAGTATCAGTTTCGTCTTCATCAAATCCAGCTTGTCAAACAGCCACGCCTCATCCAAGATAAACGTGCTCAACACTGCCAACTGCAGCTTATCCTTCTGGAAGACTTCTTCGATCGTAATGTCATCCCCCTTCCTCGCTTGACCACGGACCCACGTTTTCTTGACTGCACCGTGGGGAAACGAAAGTTCTGTTTTTGGTCTACTGCCGCTTGTGGTGCCGGCAATGGAGGATTTCTCCGCACTTGCTGCCGTTGCTGCCACTTTTCCTTTTCCTGACTCTGACGGATTTGCTTGCTGCTTCCCGGCTTTGACCATGCGGCCCGTGACCGGCAAACTGCTGGACCCTTGAGAGCTTGCCGTCTCGTCTTCATCAGACTCAGGCAGTAGCAAATCGGCAATTGTTTGTGGACCAGTAGCATTGTGGTAGCTACTGGTCGACACCTTTGAACGTTGATGGGGACGGGCGGTGGTCGGACTGGGAGATTCCAAAGCTGCTGAAGCTGGTCGTTTGTTCTTCAAGCGAGCAAGACGCTCCTCTTCCATCTTCTTCCTGTCAAGGCCGAAAAGTGCTGATACACTGTGTGCCTGGGCAGAGGTGGTAGAGGCTTGTTTGCTGGGTGGGGATAATTTGGTATCCTGGGCGGCAGGCTTTAGTTGAACGGTGGATTTACTCTGGCTTCCATCGTCGTCCTCATCGTCCTGTGTTAGGTCAATTGTAGCGCTTGACTTCCCACCAGCCTGCGGTTTGAAAGGATCCTGGCCAAGTGACAAAGCGATAGCGACGCGCAGTGCTTCGTCATCGGATGAGTCCTCGGCATCATTGAACCGTGCGCCCTTGTGGCCGGCCATTGCATATGCCGTAGGTAAAGTCGTGCAGAAGCAACAGAAGTAGTGCGATTGAGATGAATAGTGTTGACGGCCGAATAGGTTGTCGTGGGATGAGATCCTGGCGGGACGCGTAAAAATGGTATTTCCAAGGTGCGTAGGATGTGACTGCGAAAAGAAAGCTGCGACAAAAAGAGAGCGAAATAATCTAGGAGAGTGGAAGATGAATGTTGAGACGAAACGCGTCATGCAAGGTTAAAAAAAATAGGATAGCCGTTCCGTTCGTTCAGTCAGGGAAAAAAACTCCCAAGGTGTTCTTCGTTGGGTAAATAGGCAAGAGCGGGAGTGTGTTTGTTGGACAAGACGAATGAAAGCGGGGTGTGCGAATGTGAAGCAGAGGCCTCATCATGCATGCGATTTGAAGATGGGGACAGGACACTCAGCATCTAGGAAACTCGAGCATCATGGTGTTTCGACGACAATAATCAGCACTGGAATGGCAAGATGCGAGCTGTTTCTTTCTATCGACTTTAATAGATTTCTTCTTTCGCGACTCACGTCATCCCGTCGTTCGACTTGGAGTCCACGCACCCGATCGTTTTCTGTCTGATTGACGCTGCTGTGTCCAACACAAAAAGGGTTAGGGTTATCACTGATCAGAGAGCCAGACTCGGACATCAATATCAGATCTGTGGGTAGTCACTACACCCTTTCTATTTTCCATGCATGTCCGCTTTCTCTGTACGATTGGACATTTTACGACCTCTAATGATTCTACGCGATGTCCTCCGAGTGAACTGGGTAAGAATCAGCCACCGACTTCGTCCTGCACAGCTGACAGATAATGAGAGTTTGGCTGAACCAATGTGGTGGAGGGTATAAATGGTTTGAGACATTCCGAAACTGTCTAACTACTTGTGCTATCTAAGCTGGCAAACCAAATATCACCCTCCAAAAATATTTTTTTTTGTTGTTTTTCGATTTATATGTTGTATACGTGCGTGTTAGATAATGCGTCGTGGTGTGTGGCGTGCAAGTACCGGGTATAGTTCGCTGTGTATGTACGGATCCCATTGGCGTAGGGTCCCTTTCGTGCCTTTCCTTTCCTGACTTCCTAAAAAACCCCCGGATATGATGGTCTTCGAAACGTCGTCCGATTCTTGACAACTCCGAGTTTCCCCTTTGTTGAACGCCCATGCTTCTATGCGTATCATACCAAAACCCCCCTCGTACAACAGGCCACGCCTGCAAATGAAAATAAGGGTCCAAATCCCGCCCAACTCCCAATGACGGTATGGGTATCACCAAAAACCAATGCCGCAATGCAGCAAGTCAAATGGACCACACTCGTACCAAATGTTGAATGACATAGACCCAAATTCGCCCTCGCAATGTTCGAGAAGGAAAAAAAAAAAAAAAAAAAAAAAAAAAAATCCAAAATAAAAAAGACAAAAGAAGCAACACAGATAACAATGAGCCCGAAACATAGGCTGATATGCTAGCCAGCATAAGAAATGAGAAAGAAAAAAGATACAAGAGCCGGTCTATCCTATGACGGCATAGACCCGGAAATCATGGTCGGTACACCATACCTTCCAAAACGCCAGTGATTCGACAAATCGGACAGACCCAATGCCAAACACAAATCCACCGGATCCATCGCTGACGCATGCATGTAAAATCTGCAAAGTCCGGGAATCGTACCGTCACCATCCAACGCCTGATATTAAGATGACGGATATGAAAGGAAATGTGCAACGATTAAAGAAAATGCTAGATGTCGACACTCATGTGACAACAAGGTAAACCTTCCGGCGGTATGGACAATAGATGGTACGCCTGAATCAAGAGCTTTGATAGTTTGTTGCCGATGCCCTTATATTCACCGGAGAATCGAGCTTCAGCATCCGACGAAGGCTATCCTCCATGTGTTGAATGTCTGCGGACCGCTGTTGATCGACTGCCTGAGGAAATGGAGCAGGTGGTGGTGGTTGCCTGCCATGAAGCTCACCGCCACGGAACTGGCCTGGGAACGTGTGCTGGCTCGCCGGATGGCTCGGTGATTGATTTGCCGGTTGACTATCTCGAATCGCCGGGATTGCAAGGAATCTCTTGAGCTTCTCACTAGGGTCCATATTAGGTTCCTGCTGCTGTTGCTGCTGATGTTGCCGAGGAACGCTCGAGGCAACGCCAGTGTGCTCCTCGCTCGACCTTGCATCACGAATGCGATCCTGGTAGGGTCTCGAAAAAGCTGGCCCCATAGAGCGACATGGGTTTCCGCCTACTTCAGTGGTAGAGAAGCCCATCGAGTAATTCGGCTGGGCTGGCTCCGAATGGTGTAACCGGGCTCCATGTAGGCTCGTGCCAGTAGGGAGAGTCCGGGGTTCCTGAGGTGATAGGCCTTGTCCTTGGGGCGAGAACAAGCTCGGGCTATGAGCGTACATGTTGGCTGAACTACCGCTCCGAGCTCTCGCCTTCTCGGCTCGGTCGGCGCGGAAGAAGAAGTCGAGTGGAGATTCCTCTCGGGAATTGTCACTGACGGGGAGACGGGTTCGAGGTGTGGGTGCTTCCGAGTCGGTGGCTGGAGGCGAAGGCTCCGAGTTGGCTCGGCCGGTATCCTTGACGCTGGGAGAGTCCATCGACTTGGCAAGAAAGCTAGGGATCGGAAGCGCCGACGGATCCGGGGAGGCGTGGAAGGAACCACCGGCAAAGGCAGGGGGGAAGACCGACTTGGGCAGAGCCGCTGTTTGCGGAGGACTGGTCCGGTAGTTCTTGGATGGGCCCGGTGTCGATGCCGGGGAGGTTGTGGACGCCTGCTTGCTGGACCTTGAGGATTTGGTTGAACGGGGTTTGGGCCTAGAGCCGTTTGCCTGAGGTTCCGGAGCCGGGCTGTTTGTCCCCGACTTGGTGCCCGACTTGTGCGGCGTGAACGGGGCGGCAGGGCCAAAGTTAATCGGATAGGAGCCTTCAGACGGCATGTCGTTTTCCGAAGCATATGTTCTGCGAGCGACAGCGTTGCCGGCATGGCGGTTGTTGCGGCGTCGTCCGGGAGTTGCCTTTGGGAGGGGTCCCGGCTGGTCTTGTTGCTGTTCTCGTTGCATCACAAGTAGGCAGCGCACAATGTAGTCGCGCTCGGACTTTGTTTTCTGTTCAAACGAAGAGGTATGTAAAGGTAATGTAGAAGCAAGGGGCCGCTGCGTGGTGCCTTCCTCTGCGAAACAACTGAAGCGTGTGCGAACTGGCGGGACAAATGTTGGGCGACGACCTGGGGTGCAATTGAGGCGAGTAGCGATGACACACTGGGTGAGAAACCGGTGTGAGTTGGACGTGGCGTCTGGCTGGCGAGTGGTGACTTGACTGCTACGAGATAGGGACGTGGGAAAAGGGGATGCGATCAGAGCCTGACGAGACGGCTGTCACTGGTTGACGGGCTGTGGTGGCGGTGATCTCTGTTGGCACAACGGCGCGGGAAATAATACTATTCGAATTGGCGATACTGAGTTTGACGGTAATAGCTTCGCGCATGTTGTTCTTGTCGCGAACTGTGTGGTGGTTTGTCGCTGTGATTCCGAAGTGATGTTGCGCTGCGGCGACAATAGGGAAGAAGCGGAAGTGGAAGAGGATGGTGATGGAGGCAACCTGGGGATCCGGCCTCCAGCACCGGGGGAATCAACATCAGCGCACGAACGACGAAGCACAGCCCAGAGCCCGGTGCAATGCCCTGCCGTTGACCGCCTGGGGCTGTACTTGACCGGTCACCAGCCCGGCTCCTCTTCTCTGGCCGTTATCATTTACACGTTCTCATTTCACGTCCTGAATCGAGCATAGCCTCATTACCAGCTACACCTTGACACTTGACAACCGCCACCGCAAGAAGCAGCAGATGCTATGAGCCTAACACGTACATGACTCTAAACGCTAGGGGAGCGGGGTCAGCCAAGTCTGAAGTGGAAGGCGGTTCACTGGTCCACCTATCGCGCGCATCACTGCCCAGAATCCCCAGCGTCATTGCAATCACCAGTGTGCAGCTTCCCGTCCACACCACTGACATTCCCGCCGTCGTTTAGTGCTGGTAACGATAGGCAACCTTGACGGGATCAACATACCTACAACAAGGACAGCAAGGGCAAGCTGTGCTGCCTTCACTTTGTCACCCAACACCAAGGACGTGGCGATACTTTTTATTTGAGTAACCGCAACTGAAAACACTTCACGTTATCTTCAAGGGAAGGTACGCATTCAGCCTTTTAGACTACTAAGACCTTTCAACTGCCTAGAAGCTTTCCGCCTTCCTCTCTACAGCCCAGGCGGGTTTACCTCGCCTTCCTCGCAGACTCTTTTCATAGTTCAATCATCCCGACCACAGCACGACGGGCAAACGGACTGACGGCTGCTTTGAAATTTTCTAGACTGCTTACGAACTCTGCCTCTTCGTCCAAACGAATCAAATTATTCCATCGACCGGTCGAGCTCTTCAGTGTGTCCCTCGACTTATCCTGCGCATGCTCGCCTGCGTCGCAGCACTTCCTTCGTACTGTTGCGCCACGACCGATTAAACACCCGGGGCTTTATTTACCAGCTTCATGATGGCGGATGTCGATATGACGGACGCCCCGGCCTCTGCGCCCGTTGTCAAGAAGAACACCGCCGCCGAGAGCAAAGGGAAGAAGGCAGATGGCAAGCCTCGGTTCGAGGTCAAGAAGGTGAGCACTTACCCCTCCGTATGGTCATGACCTTGCGCTTACAAATGTGTTTACAGTGGAACGCAGTGGCTCTTTGGGCTTGGGATATTGTCGTTGACAACTGTGCCATCTGTCGAAACCATATAATGGATTTGTGTAAGTCCCCTCTTTACACTCTCCTCTTGACAACCGACTATTGGACACATCCGACTTTGGACTAACCTTGAACTTTGAATCCTCAGGTATTGAGTGCCAGGCCAACCAGTCATCGGCCACCTCAGAAGAATGCACAGTCGCGTGGGGTATTTGCAATGTAAGGTCCTTCTGGTCTGTTCTCTGTTTAATCCTTGGAGCCCGATGACTAACCGGCAATGTCACAGCATGCGTTCCATTTCCATTGCATCTCGAGATGGCTTAAGGCGCGTCAAGTTTGCCCTCTCGATAATAGAGACTGGGAGTTCCAGAAATATGGACGTTAAAGGCATGGAGATCAGGAGTTGGATGCCTATTTGCGGCTACTCGACCATGCTGAAGGGCGAGACACGGATGAAGAAAACGTCTGCGAATTTTCATAAGTCTAGATAGCATAAGCCAGGGAGTATCACACGTTAGGAGGCTTCCACGAATGTAAGCTAGCGGGCCACGCCAGGTCGAGCATGGCTCAGCGAGCATGCTTCAGCATGCAGCAGTATGAATATCATGGCCGGCGCATCATACTTTGATGATGTTGCTTTGCTCAACCTCCTTTCTCGCAGACGTACACCCGAACCGTGCGACGATGCGACAAGAACGCCAGTCTACTACCTGAAACTCTTCTCATCTACGATCAGGCGTTGTGGCGGTACCAGCCCGCCGCCGACTTGTAGCCACTTGACAGGGTTGCGGTTGTAGAACGGCCACGGAGGAACGACGAGGATAAAGGTGAGGGCGGTTCCGGCAAGTCCGATCTGGAGCGCCAGCTTGATGTCTTGCAAGATATATCCGACGAGGAACGAGACAACCTGATGACCAAAGGCCTGTCAGCGAGGCGCCGGCTGCGTTTGAATAAGGGACAACATACACCTGTAAGCGCCAGAGTTACGTTGACGAGAAGTTCCACCAGCTTCTGGCCTTCGAAATCCTGAATGTCGCAGATGTCAGCTGAGTTGTCGTATACAAGATGAATACTGGTACGGGTATTGAACGAGAATGACGAACAATTTGGCCCTCGGCAACATCGCGGACCTGATCCAGCAGTTGTTCAGCCATCGTGAAGCAAGTGTTATGCCGGGGAGGTTCGAGAATGGGCGGCTATCGGGACAGCTGTTCGACTTGTCGAGAGCGTTGAACACTGGATCGTAGACGGTGATGAGTGGTAGATTTGCTTTACAAGTCGTATACGCGCGTATGGTTATCGTTGGGGTTCTATTAAGGTGTTGAGGTTTGCATGGGAGGAAATCAGACATCATCCAGGTACACCATACTACTGTAGCGCATCGCATCACGCTTCCACTTCCATCGGATGCCCATGCTGGGTACTTCAACGTGTCTGCTTCGGGGCCTGCCCCGGTCGGGCCCTCCTTTAGGCTGCCCGTGCCGTACGCTAGGGGTACTTACTTTACAAGGTGTAGTGTATAATAGGTACGTACGACTGGGTGGCACTGCTACCGTACCACGACAGTACACGGCCTCGGCTGGGCTTGGCAGTGGGCAAATCACAACCTAGAGGTACCTAGGTAACCAACGCCCAGATCCACGTCCCGCAGTCAAAGGGAACGAAGTGCCCTGCGTGCTGTGAGTGGAAAGCCGGAAAAGGATTCAACAGGAAGTGAATGTAAACGGAACGTGAAGGTGGTGAGCAAAGTGGGGGGCTGCTCGACGACGCAGCAGTGCTGCAAGTAGATTTTGAAACCAGTAAAATCTAACGCGGGAGATCAGGTTCCAACTTCCAAGGCCGAATTGTCGGGGATGCCGTGCTAGCTGATTGGCAGCTACCCTCAATTGTGCATCGACGATTTGATATCAGAACACCGTATTCCTGGTTTTCGTGAAATTATAGGTAGGTAGTTTCGAGAATAGTTGCTGAACAAGGGAAGATCCTTAGAAGGTTGCACACGGGCTGCTTGTCTTGCGGCGAAGGGTGCTGCTGGTGCGTCAGGCGTCCGATGACCGCTTCCCTTCACCTTGCAGTCCAGCGACCTGAAAGGAGGAACGCCGCCGGGACCTAACCTTGTACAAGAGGCTAAGAACGAACGGGCAAATCTACTGTAAATCCTTCCATCCTCTCTTTCCATTGTATTCTTTGCTAGCATGGAAAACTTTCGTTGAATTGCCTTTGTCTCCTATCTGAACCTGGGTATAAACCTAGCACGTGCCTGGACCAACCACTTACCCTGGCTTTCCCTGAAACGACTCTCCAAACAAAGGGAAACTCATCGGGCCAGAAGCGATCATTCCTTCCGCTGCGCTTTTGCCCCGTGAACTTGGACCCTTCCCTTAGGCCGGCACACAACTAAAAGGTCTCCTCGGAACCACCCGACGCCTTGTGTGGAGGCGACGAACAGTCAGGCACCTTCCGTCCCACTCTTGTCTTTTTACCCAAAAAAAAAACTTAGCGCGGCGACCTCGACCCTTTTCCACCTTTCAACACTCAACGCCGACAACCTCATTATTGCGGTTCCGTGTTCAACGAATCCGACTCGACTAGCCTGCGCTACAGAGTACGACGCCGACTCCAGTCATCCCTTCTCTAGGTATCTCCGCTGGTGGCCCCCCCGAGACTGCTGATGCGCAGACACATGCTCGTCATTCCCCAGCAACGTCATTTCTCGGGCTTCTGTTAGAACCTTCGTCTGTCCGCTACTCCTATCCCTTCTTGGGTTTTTCGGCGGTTTTTAAAGGGCGGATCTTCGACCTCATTGACCTTCAGCCGATCCAAATCCCCAGCCCGGCGCGAGTTCGCTACCTCAATCTTCCCTCGTCGGACCTCGTATTCATCCGAAAAAAATTCCTGGTTGCTGCTGAGAAAGGCCTCACATCAGCCATCGCCTATCACGCCACGTACCGATTCAGCCGCCGCCGCCAGTCATTCCAGCAAAAGTCATCAAGTTGGCGGGCTCTATCCGTGAAAGCGTTTCGTCTGTTCGTTCGCTCCTAGGTCCCAGCTTCTGGGTCTATAGTGGAGTGGACAAGAAACCCCCTTAATTCGACATCGCTCGAAACGAGAATCCCCATTTTGAACAACCCATCTACAATTTATGTTCTCCGACCTTGCGCTTTGGTAGCCGACGTTGACGACGACACCCTTTTGTCCCCCTTCGTGTTGCGCCATTCGGTCATCGTCGCGGACGGCTCCTGGCCGTTCGCTGCCATCCGCTGGTGCTCTTTGAGTCGACCTTTCGACGACAATATGCGAACCGACTGATCACCCCCCATCCCGGGCGTTGAGGGCCATAGCCGACCCTTCAATTATTTCACCAACGACGATATAGCAAAGACAACCGACATCACACTTAATTTAACCCACCCAGCCAAGAAGCGACTCCGCTTGTCGCAACGATGTTTGACCAGGAGGAAAACGTGGGGAACTCCGGGTACTCAACCCCGGTGCCCGAACTTGACGACCACCGGAACCAATCCGTTTCTGTCCAACGACCTGACCGTCCTCGACGCGGAACATTCGATTCCTTATACGGGCCAGGACAGGTGATTGAGACGGGCCCAACACACAGCGATTCGTTCCAGGGCACAAGGGTCCGAGATTTTGAGGAAGCTGTTGTTGACGAGGAGGATCAGGAGAACTCGCCAGTTTATCGGAGAGATCGGCGAGGAACTGTAGAGTCTGCTGCGTTAGATGTTCGGTCTATCTCACCCCCGAACTCGGTTAAGGCTTTCGCGGAAGCACGCCGAAGGGAGCGAGACCTCTCCTTCTCCGAGCCAACGAGACCTGAGCGTCGAGTCGAAGAGCCACCCGAGCTGCAGCGGGCTAACTCTATCGCCAGTCGCCGTAGCTACCGCAGCAAGCAGCCGACGGTAATTGATGACACCGCCAGCCTGGCCACCAACAAATCCGCGGAGGAAGACGTTTGCTTCCCCTTGCAAGATGATCATAGGGATGACAACTTGCATATCGATTTCCACTACTTGGAGACCTTTATCAAGGCTGAGAATGAAGCCCGACAGTCAGCCCGCCGCCCCTCAGCCATCCGTGTCTTCCCCGATTTGCGGCCTGCCGAGCCCGATGTTACCCCCACCGTACCAATGGTAACACTGGATGGGGATATCCTTTCGGCCCCTTCGGAGACGGATATTCGGCGGGAAAAGAGTCATGAGACAGACGACGATGCCGAGGCCAAAAGGACTTCACAACCGCCACAACCTCAGGTTGACCAGAGCCGGGTCAGTTTCTTTTCCTCAGCTTGGGAATCCACGATCCACGCTGCCGATCTGGAGGGTTTGATTTTGCCCGGGGAGGACATTAGAGGGCTTTTCAGTTTCCCAAAGGGGGAGACTGATGGAGTCTGGTGGCTCAATATGAACAATCCCTCCGAAGAAGAAGTCCGTGCCGTCTGCAGAGCTTTTGGCATCCATCCCTTGACAATCGAGGATATCACCACGCAGGAATCCCGGGAGAAGATTGAGCTTTTTCCATCCTACTATTTCGCCTCGTTCAGATCGTTCTTCATCGAGGTAGAGGATACCACGGGGGAAAAGGAGTACGTGCCCTTCAACATTTACGTGGTGGTGTTTCGCGAAGGCACGTTGAGCTTCAGCTACGCCAACAATTCCCATGCCTCACATGTGAGGAAGAGAATCACGATGTTGAAGGACTATGTCTCATTAAGTAGCGATTGGATTTGCTACGCCCTGATGTAAGTTTATGGGAATGAGCAGATGCGCTTTTTCCATTCGATGCACGCGAATACTAACACATACGTAGTGACGACATTGTCGATTCGTTCGCTCCCGAAATCAGCAAACTTGAGCACGAAACCGACCAGATCGAGGACGATGTGTTCATTGCTCGGTCCGACGACATGGCTCAGTTCTTGAAGAAGATTGGCATTGCTCGCAAAAATGTCATGGGCTTGATGCGCTTGCTCGGCGGAAAAGCAGATGTCCTCAGGGGCTTCACCAAGCGCTGCAACGAGAACTACAAAGTCACGCCACGCATGGACATTGGTCTATACCTCGGTGACATCCAGGACCACGTGGTGACCATGATGACCAACCTGGGCCATTTCGAGAAGATGCTGTCTCGTGCACACAGCAACTACCTCGCTCAGATTTCCATCGACGGCATCATCCAGGGAACTGCTACGAACCGTGTCCTCAGCAAGATCACCCTGCTGGCCTCCATCATCGTCCCGCTCAACGTGGTGACTGGTCTGTTCGGCATGAACGTTCACGTCCCATGGGGAGGCATGGAGACTATGGTCCCCTTCTACGTTATTCTGGCCTTTTTCTTTTCATTCTGCAGTTTGTCGTACATTTTTGCGAAGCACAAAAAGTTGATATAAATAACAATGGGCTGGAGTCTCATGCGAGAAAATGTGGAACCGTTTTCTAATAGCTTCTCGTTTCTTTTGGTATACAGGGAAAGGGCTGCCAAGCAATGTCGATAACACGGCTGTTATAACATGGGAGTGTGGCGGTACTATCGCTTTGTATACCGTTTTTCTCTTGACGGGATAGACCATAGATGCGTTGGTAGATACCCCGAAACGTTTTATTACAGTGTTGACTCAGGTTGTGTTTCTTGTGAAGGCAGTTAGTTCTGAATATTACTAAATCTGTGCTGTGTGGTCACTGTGTATTGTTCGATCCTATCATTCTACATAGGAAGGAAACATCGTTGAGGTTCTTGGATAGCATGTAAATTTACGATTCTCGGTGTTTCAAAGGCTCGAAAGTCGGTAATTGCGAAAGTGAAGTGCCGTACGTAATCGACTCGAATGCAGTTGCACGCCGAGATACTCTAGAGCTATCGATAAAATGTAGTCCTCTCATTGGCTACCTATTTCAAAAGAATCTTTATCCACATCCCCGGTCGCGGTGCTCACCTGGGAGGCAGGTACCGCCCAAAAGCTTGGAAAGGTCCATCCCGCATCCAATCCAATTGCACGCTACGTGATATCGATCCTCTTCCGGTTGTTTATTCAATTCTTGATATCGAATTATTTCCACCACAACCTTAAGCAACTATTGTACAACCATCGCAACACATAACCGTGCCCAATAAAAAATAGCAACAATGGATATTCCTCAGGCCGACCTCGATCTCCTCAACGAGAAGGACAAGAACGAGCTTCGCGGTTTCATTTCCAATGAGACGCAGCGCCAGAGGGTGCAAGGACGTATGTACCATCTACAACCTTCTAGATCTCCGGCTCCGTCCTGCAGTGCTTCATTCTTATCCTCGTCCTCTCCCATGGTCAAATACAGCTTATTGCCCCTCGATAAGCCTACCCACCATTTCCCTCTCCTTCTCTCTCATAATCATAACCTCTCTCTCGGTCCCCTCCCCCTTCCATATGCTTCCTCCCACGTTACTCTACCTCCCAGTGGTTATGTACAACAGATCACTAACATCCCACCTCCCACGTAGAAACCCACGCCCTTACCGATTCCTGCTGGAAGAAATGCGTCACCTCCCCCATCAAGACCAACCAGCTCGACAAGACCGAGGCCGTCTGCATGTCGGACTGCGTTGAGCGCTTCCTGGACGTCAACCTGACCATCATGGCCCACGTGCAAAAGATCACTAGGGGCGGCAGCAAGTAGGTCTCGCGCGCCGATTGGAAGGCGTGGGAGGATGCTTATCAGGAGGGGGAAAAAGAATGAGAAAGGAACAAGAAGAAAAGAGGAAAAGAGGAAGAAGAGGAAGGAGGATGGCGATAACGGTGACTTGTTTCCCTCGCGGAACTGATTGTCCCGCGGGGCTGGCTGGTCAAGTTTTTCGGTTGGTTGGTCCTGCTTGGTGGGCTTCTTGGGAGACTTGGAGGATGCGGCCGAGGTATCCGATGCTTGTTTTCATGGTGGTTCTGGCTGGGTCTGGTACACTCGGGCTTACTATGCCGGAACCGGGGGACAGAGAAGCACCCTTTGCTAGGGAACCATCGTTGAGCCCCTGCGACAGGGGCTTGCGATTATGGTTCTGGTCACAGTTCTAGGAGACAGTCATTCAAGGAATTGTTACGGTTACGCCTGAAGGCTTGTACGATATATGTGATGGGACAAGGGAAGGATCAAAGGTAGAACGGGAAGGGAAAAGGGTTTATAGGGCATGGGGATTGTTCAAGAACATCGACAGTATAACAGGCGGTTCTTATAGCATGATATGGGAGCGCGCGATAGCGGAATGGTCATCTTCATCTTCATACACAGACTCAATGCTCAGTGCAGGATAGTTGGTTACAGAAGTGCAGATAACTATGCGACAATGAGTCCATAGTGATAGGAAGAACACAAGATGTCAGATTCAAGTCTTAGAGCAAGTAGATCTATGGCTTGCAAGGGAGGAGTTTGGATAATGGCCCATTTGGTCATGTCTGATGGAACGGGCAGAATAGTTGTAAAAACTTTCATTTCCATGCCATGGACCAAACGCCAAAGGGGTATCAGACGCCGACTTCTTTTTTCGTTAAACAGTAAAACCCATGTATCCCTTGAAGATAGTTTTTATCCCGAATCTTGTGTATTTCCCATAGCTATGAAATCGCTAGTTTAGACAAGGCCGAGCTTGGTGGCAGCAATGTCGAGGGCATCGACATCGGCAGTGAGGCGAGCAAAGGCCTTCTTGGAACCGTCAGGGCTGTGAGTGGAGTTAGCAACAAGAACCATCTTGATGTCAGTCCATAGGGACCAAAACTAACCGGATCAGGGTGTTGATCTTGACGGTGTCAATGTCATAGAGCTTCTTGAGAGCCTGCTTGATCTGGGCCTTGTTGGCCTTGACATCGACGATGAAGACGAGGGTGTTCTGCTCCTCGATCTTCTTCAGGGCACCCTCGGTGTTGAGAGGGTGGACGATGACCTTGTGCTCATCGAGACGGGGCTCGTGAGGGATCGACTTGCGAGGGTACTTGGGAGCCCGAGACAGCTGAAGAGTCTTGGGGCGGTGGAAGGTAGTCGAGTATCTGACCTTGGTCTTCTTGTGCGAGTGCACCTAAACAGAGAAAAAGAACTCCGATCAGCATCAGAACGTCACCAGGGGGAAGGGATCGCGAGTCGTCGCAAACTTACACCCTTGAGGGCAGCCTGGGCAGCCTTCTTGGCCTGAGCGCCCTTACCGGCCTTAGAGGCACCGCCTATCCATAGAGTCCCTCGTCAGCAAAAGCATTCGCCTGGAGCAAGATGATGCCAGAATCTTGTCCAAACTCGCAAAGTCTGCTGCTGCTTTGGTGCATCACCTCCGAATGCCATTGCGCGACACAGAGGATCCGCATTGTGCGCGGGGCGAGCATATTTGTCGAGCCGTTCAATTCATTCTTGGTTGAATCGTCGCTGGTGAGGTTTTGAGGTTTCTTCAAGTACCTTTCTTGGTATCCTTAGGGGCCATTGCTGCGATTTCTGCTGTCGTCGGGCTAAGAAATCGGGATTCTCGCTGGTCGTTGTCGGGGAGGAGAAAGTTCACTTTTTGGCTAAAATTTGGGGGAGGAAAAAGTGTGCGCGCGGGATTTGTGTGGCTTGGTAGTGTGGCTGAAGTAGTACTGGCAGGGGTTGAGCTGCGCAAACTCGCGCAAACGGGCTCTGAACCACACCAGAATATCCACTTTCGCGAAATATGCTCCACAGTATTTTGAATCTCGACCTCCGATCATCACTTTATCGCTACGCACTCCGTCATTCAACCTTGAAGGTCATGATGCGTCCTCCAGTCCAACGTACCTCATTCTGCTCGTGGTCTGTCGGATGAAATTGGCGCAGGAAACCTTGGATTTTCACAGCTCCAAGCCTCGCTGTTCTGTGCTCATCACGACCTCCAGACAAGGACGTGGTGTAGTTCTCTTGCTAACTACAGTGTCACGAACCACCAACCGAAAACCAACCTCACTGAGACGGACCACAGTATCGACAAGATCGACTATTTGAGGCTATCTACTTCTTACAGCATAGCACGTGAGGAAGAACTATGGCACCCAAAAAAGGAGTAAGCAAGAACCTTGCAGTTGGGCGTCCGCCCATGGCTACGCGACCTAAGAAAAAGGGAGTGGTCAAAAACCTGGCAGCAGGCCGTCCGCCCACGGTCACAAAGCCCAAGTCACTTGCGCGGAAAACCACGAAATCCATCATCAACAAACTCCATCTCCTAGAGAAGAGGAAGGTGCAGGCTATGAAGAAGAACGATAACGCACAGGTCACGGCAATTGAGGCGGAGATCGAGGCTTTGGGTGGTATCGAGAAATATCAGGAAGCAAGTCTCCAGGGGCAGAGACATGATCGAGGCGGCGACAGCTCCAACGTGCTCATGGAGTGGGTTGGGCCGTACCTCTCATCTGAGGAGTATAAAGAAGGCCGCTTGCGCATGTTGGAAGTTGGAGCGCTGAGTACAAAGAACGCATGTGCTCAAAGTAACCATTTCGACATCACTCGAATCGATCTCAACAGCCAAGAGCCTGGGATTCTTGAGCAGGACTTCATGGAGCGCCCGTTACCCAAGGACGAGTCGGAGAAGTTTGACATCATCAGCCTTTCTTTGGTGCTCAACTTTGTCCCAGATCATAAGGACAGAGGCGAGATGCTGGTCCGCACGACACAATTTCTAACATCGTCGAAGCGGTTCTCCGGGACAACCGCTGCATTCTTTCCAAGTTTGTTCCTTGTGCTACCGGCTCCATGCGTCACCAACTCGCGATATCTGGATCAAGAGAGGTTAGCGGCTATTATGGAATCGATCGGGTACGAGATGGTGGAATCCAAGACAACCCAACGGCTGGTTTATTACCTGTGGAGGAGAACATCAGATCAGGTTGGAAACGACAGGCCGTTTCGCAAGGAAGAGATACGTTCTGGCTCGTCACGCAACAACTTTGCCATTACCTTGGTCTAAGGTTTGCGAACATTTCGAACGCACACAGTCGAGATCAGTCACGACATCTAACAATAAATCACTCGACCATTGTTGGGAGCCAATAGATCGGATGACCACAACATTGGTTGTCTCAGTCATATCGGGAGTGGGAGTATGTCGCCGTTGAGGATGACGACGTCCCATGATTCACTCGGGAGCTGACGACCTTGTACGCCTCCTTGAAGAAATTGACGTCACGAGAAAGCCATAGGAGAGCTTGAAGCAGTCGATCAGGAGCTTGTGGATTTGGTCGTTGCCTGTCCGGTGTCCTGATATGATTTCAGACCAACATGTCAACCGCGCAGATTGACTATTTGGGAACGGTACGGGGAACCACTTTCCAGAGAGTTCCGTGACCTCAAGCTGGCGCCGAGTCCGGTGTTCTCGATTAAAGAGCACGGTGATGGTAGCGGAAGTATCAGAGGCAACTACATAATGGTATGGCAAGAGGGAGGTTATGGATGACCGTTTGAACGCGGAGGAATGCCGTCGTTGGCGAAACTACCTCCCGCTGCCTGCACTTTGCTACCGCATCAGGTTGAAGGCCCCTTCTCAAAGCATATCTTGGCTTTGATCCGCTCTTCTTTCAAGGTCGACAGCGGGACTGTTCGATGAGTGTATGTCTACGGTGTTTCCGGTTCACCTGGTGGGCAAGACATTCCCCAGGTCTCGGGCGCCCCGGATATGCTAACGTGTCGGCGGATCGAGAGTCAGACAGCTGCACCTATCCTTGACAGCGAAAGCTATTTCCGGTGCAAAACTGTCTTTATCCAGTTGGGCTACCGCCTACCAAACATACTGGTCTCATGATCATACGTAATGATCCCAGGGATAGGATAGACCATTTGGCCCACCGGACGCCAACATACACAGTCTCATCTTCGCTCCGCCGCTCCGCATCTTCCGGCCGGCGCTTCGCTGCCAGAAACTGCAGATAGGACCAACTTTTGCAAACAAATCATAGAGCTTTTGCTTACGCTGCCCTCCCTTAGTACCTTTTCTTCCGACACGCCGCTCCCATCGTGACCTTTGGTGCACCGTGCTCTACCAAATCGACAAAGGACTATCAAGGCTGGAACGCATCGTTGCATGAAATCATGCATCACCGAAACTTCTCGTGAATTTAGCAACCAGCCAGTGATCAACACATGGAACCTCCTCGACCTATCTGCCGTCTTGCTCATTCGTTCCAACCTATCGCCGACCTATCACGACCCCAACAGACTGAGTCGAGACTTGTCAATCACGGCGCACTACTGCTTACCCCGCAACCAAGAAAACTGGGCTAGGTAATGTATTACCTAGCCAGCCAGCTGAAGTCGACGCCAATGCACTACCATCTGTCACCTGTGCACATGGACACCTCCTCCGCGGCAAAGATGTGATGATGTGAGGGATGCGGGATGCGTGCTTTGGGTTTCATGGAAAAGGCGGTGGGCGAATGTCCTGCATCGTCAGGTAGTCTTCGGCGCCTGATTCCGAGCTCGCCTAACCCAAGTGCAAAAGTCCGGAAGAACGGACGATTGATACATGGTTTTGGGATTGAACATGATTAGAGACGAGATATCTATTGTGATCTCGAGGCTTCAATACCCAGTCAAGTGTATTGCGTCCTTCTCAGGATGGACGTGGACGCAAGGGGAAGCTTTCGACGTCAAATGCGGAGTAAAACGCCGAGCGACCTCTCATTCGTCTAACTCGGACGACCTGGATAGTCAAAGACCACGACTGATAGGTAGGTAGGTAGGCATTGGCACCCCATTACCACTCACACACAACTCGTCAAAAACAAATGAGATCAAGTTGCCATCGACTTCCTCGGGCCCATCTTTCACCTCATCCGCCGTGATCGTGTGATCACCAACTTCAAAAGAGAACTCCCAACAATTTCCCCTCATCTTGAAACGCGATCAGAGCTGCATAGATAGCATACAAGTGGCAACTTTATCGGTCGATCCGTTGTAGCTTGACACAAAGTCGTCAATCAAATCAGACCCTTGTCTCACCTTATACAGACCTTGTCAAACAAAACGGTAGCCTAGTAGCGTCGTAGTATCGTAGTATTCTCCCATTTGGGGACATTTTCATCAATACGTTTCGCTTACCATGCGGAGGACAATGATTTACACTTTCAACCTTCTTCTACACAAAATCATTGACGTCTCCGCGGCGTCCAGCCACTTGTTTGTCTGTGCGGAATCAAGTCAACCCACTCTTGTCCCGAAACCAACCACCGCAGATCCGGTAACTTGCGCAATGTAGCATTTATCTCGCGATACACTACCTCGAGTCTATTTGGGATAAACAATTGGATCGACGCCGTCACGCTAGTCTCTGTGTGGGGCCTATCGATGGTGGCTTTGCTAGTGAAAGATGGGGAAATCCTTGATCTCGGCAACTACTTCACCTCCAACTATGTAGCCAGGCGATGTGATAAAAAGTCCGGACAGGCGTTTACCAAACCAGACCCAGTAAGGGTCCGGACCTTTTGTCACACCACCTGGTAGCCTAACTCCGCAGTTCCGTAGTCTCTTGGGGATAGCCGTCGATGGACTGAAGCAAGAGAGATTGATGATCGTCATGGTGTCACCTTTGTTCTGTCTTTCAAGTGAAGCGCAGCATCCAGACTAAGTTAACTGTCTGGGCAGACATGCAGCTAGTATGAGGATTGTTGCGGGACTATCCGTCAGCTGTAGTGTATTTGTCTCAACTTTTAGGTTTCGTGAAGTGAGTTGAAGTCCAAATATGGCGTGCGATGATTACGTGGACGGGCGGCTTGGGAACCTTTCGTCAACCCCCTCTTGAACAAGAAGGGTAAAGTTTACTCTCGGGCATAATTTCAATCTGGGACAATCTGACATGCTAGCGTGCATCTGAGAGACATGTTAGTGGTGGACAAGATGCATCAAGGAAAACCACCACTCACCAGTTTTTCGAGAGAGTGTTGAGGAAAGGTCCCACCATCGAACCGCACCACGACCCTCAATTATCACCATTCATAATTAAGTGACCTGTGGTATGGATGACGCTCTATCTATACATTCTTGTGCTTCACACTTAGTTGGCTACCTTGAATCAAGTAGTTCATCGACCGATATTACCGCTTCTCTGTCATCAGGACTGTCATCAGGAGTTGCAGAGATAGGTAGATTACAACCAAGGCCAAAAATCATACCAACTGACAACCTTCTTATGTTTATCTTGCGATGAGGTGGTGAGGTCGACCAAGACATTAACATACAAAACGGTCACCGAAGGTGTTAGTCAACAAGCCTGTACAAACCATCACGGAGTACAGTCTAGCCACCATAGTCGTCGTCGTCAAAAAAAAACACAACAAAATGGAACCTATCATTTCCGATCTTGAGCAGAAAGTCCAATCAGAGCACCAAACCGCCCTCCCAAACGGCTGTGGCTTTTTCCTTACACAGTAGTCACAGTCACGTGTATGTGTCCCAATCCCAACGGCCCTATCGCTTCTCCATGTCTGGTCACACTTGGTGTACCATCTGTCTCGTCGTATCGTATTGTATCGTACGTTGTGAGACGGTTACACCACATATTGGGTACACACACCACCAAGACGCCAATTCCCTCAAACTCGAAAAAGAGTACCTAATTTCCGTTCCACCAACGGTCATAGCAGTGGAAGGAGCCACTGAGTGGAGTGTGTCAGGTTGGATGTGGAAGGAGGTCACGGTATCTCTATTACAGACAGACGCAGAAGGAGCTATCCACCGAAAGTCAACTTGGATGTGAAGGAAGGTGCGGTGCACATGGCGTAAAGACAACGAATACTTCGGGGTTCGCCGGAGATTGCATGATATCTAGAGTGAAGTAGGTAGGTAGGGAGCGTCTGGGGTGTACAGTCTAGATTGTCTGAGATTCTCATGTCTCTACTGTCGTGGAACAACATCCGTCCATCTGTCTGCTTGTGGCGTAACGGCGAACTTGGTAATCTTGGTAGCGAATGCATTCGGGGCATGCGACATGCCGTTACGCAAGTTATGTTTGATTAATTGATGGATTGTAGCTCTTACCAGAACCTCTTTGCTTCTTGCATTTTCGATGGTGAGTTGGGAGGTTGGTGAGGTTGGTGAGGTTGGTACCATGGCATTGACATAATATATACAAAGATCAGCGAATTTGATATGGACGCTTGCTTTTTATTTTGAATTCTTTGAATTTTTTTTTTGGTTTTTTATTTTCTACTGTCTTTCCACCACTATGTGGCTACCCATGCCTGCCCTCACAGCTCATAGATCACCAATCTCCTCAAAGCTCTTGATAACCCTATGTTGTTTCCTTGCTTCCTCGGGCAACTCCGCGTTGCCAGGCCTATCAACAATATAGCTCTGCATGCCAGCTTGCTTTGCCGCCTCAACCTCCTTGACATTATCGCTGAGGAACAGCCACTCGCCGATGGGATACTCCTGGTGCTTGGCCGCAATCTTCTCGTAACTAGCCTTCTCCTGCTTCGGGCCCGCGTTGACCGTATCAAAGAAATCCGACAGCCAGGGCAGGATGTCAGACGGCTCACCGTTGGTGTGTCCAAACAGAAGCTTCTGCGCCGGCACAGAGCCGGATGAGTAGATCATGACTTTGACACCTCCGTGCTCCCGCCAACGGGCCAACTGGGGCGCCACGTCGAGAAACAGGGGAGCCTTGAGCTCGCCGTTGCGGTAGCCTGTCTCCCACAGGTAGCCCTGGAGGCTCTTAAGGTACGAGATTTTAAGATCCTTGCTCATAAGATCGCGGACGTGCGCCGCGAGGGACTCTTGTGAGCCGGCATGCTCCGCGGGGAAGGCGGCACGGTAAGGGGCGAACTCGGGAGAGTCCCACTTGGCCTTCAAGGTGCCTGGGAGCGCTTCAAGGGCGTAGGGGAACTATGGCCGCCGGCGAGACGCGGTTGCTGTCAGTTCGAATTTGGCCTGTCTCGTCTCACTGGACCACGTAGTGACTTGACTCTCTTGTGACGTCTCCAGGCATACAGCTTTTCGCGCTTGCTTGCTTCCTCCTGGATCATATCGTGAATAGCCGGCCAATCGGGTTTATAACCTGAGTCTGCACCGAGCCCATTGAAAGGGTAGGGTAGGGTAGGGTAGGGTAGGGTAGGGCAAGGTAGGGAAGGAGAGGGGAGGGGAGGGGAGGGGAGGGGAAGGGGGAGGACAAGAAAGCACAAGAAGGGGGTTGACGTAGTAGCAAGCAGCAAAGAGGCACTGCTGTTACCTTACTGCCGTGGAACGCTGCCAAACCGTGAAGGAAACGGGCTGGCGGCAGATAGAGAGGATAGAATGGGCAATGAGGGGCAAGAGAGAAGGATCAGGAGACATGTGGTGTGGCTACCCGCGTGCAACAAAGCACTGGGCTGGGCCGGCCCAAGAAGAACGGGTGTGGGTGTGCCTTACAAGAACGTCCTTGACAAATGAGATGGGACAGACGGTGCCCTCTGTTCGGCAAGGGAGATGTCATTAGCCAATCCATCACACACAGGCGAAAGACATGGAATAGGTGGTGGTTATTATTTGCGGTCTCCACGAGGAAAACGGAGCCGGTGATGGGGATGGAGGTTGGGACTTTGGAGGAGGGGTATGCAGTACCAATGTCGAGCAAAACCACCCTGATGGGAGCCATGATGATGATGGTCACTGGTTTACTTGTTGTTGTCGCGTCGTGGTAGGCTCGAAAGAGGACTAGTTTACCCCACGGCAAGGGATAAGGCGAGGAGGGGAAAACGAAGGGGTCCGAATGGGCGGTGGCAGCGGGTGATGGGGTTGGTGAGACCGAGAGAGACCTGCGCTGCGGCTTTACCCGTGGCTCCGAGTCAGAGACTGCAAGTCCGGGGAGCGGGCGATGAGCCGGTAGTGGGGTGACAAGGCCCGGGCGTGACCGTCAATGGAATGATTACGACCGGGAGGGAGCAGCAGGCGGTGAGCCAATTCGCCGTAGGTTGCTTCTTTGTTGATTGTTGCGGGGAAATCGAAAGCTTCAGTTCTTGCGGAGTGTCCGTTGTTGAGGTTGTACGGAATCTCGCTCCCGCGTGCAGAAGAAAAATTTGCGGGCTTTGAGTTGTTGCGGTAAGTCACGGTAACGGTAACCTGAAATATTCAACATCGACAGGTCCAGTTTTGAGGTATCACAAACATTTGCGCAAAACAAACCACCACAGGCCATCGTCTACGGTTGCTGTGACGACAATGCCAGATGCCACAACTCTATCGATCGCTGATTACTACCCTCCATTTCCTCTCTCGGAGTTCGGGACGGGCACACCGTATACACGACGGACGGCATAACGATGGTTCGGGGTCCTCTTTGACCTTTTATGTAGATGCCTCTCGGGAGGCGGTCAGAAAGTCAACCGGGCAACCACAACGACAACATTCGTACGACTACCGTATTCCGTCCCGTCTCTCCTGACGCTTCCCGTGTGATGAAATTCACACTCATCACACCATCACGACCACACCACGGATGTACAGCGGAAACGAGACACAGGCGGCTCCGGTATAATGCATAATGTAAGCATGGCTGGACCCGTGCAAAAGATGACATAGAATACATACATGTTGCAGCAGCTAGGTGGACTTTGTGGGGTTGAACTAGGGAAGCTCGAATGCGCCAGCATGGCTTTGGTGGTAACAGACATGGAGCCTGAAGACAGCATAAATATCGGGAAAAGGGGGAAACTGTAAACAATGATGGCTGCGACATGTGAACAACACGTTGGGAATGTTGACGACACGTTCTTCTGATAATCGACAGGAGCAGTGAACATGATCGGAGCTATGGGATTTCACCAGGCACTGTCCCTGGCATCGTCCATCGCACTGCCGAAGGAGATACGGAAAACTATCTTATTATCGGTCCCGGCCCCCCCCGATACTGCGCGGTGTCGTCATCTTTTTCAACAGAAGCCGGGCGACCGGCGCCGTATCCAGGCACGCCGCCAGGGAGGATACCTACTTCAGGAACGGGATGAAAACTTGACAGCGCTCCGTCCAGTTCCAGCTCCAATTGCTAATGCCTACATCACTCATAAGCTTAGAGCCAACTCCACCGGAAAACCCAAAATCAAGAAAAAAAAAACGATAGCCAGTAAAATTAACCGGACGAGTCCACGTCAACACAGTCGATGAGACCATGGCTATCATTGTTTTGCCCAAGTTTCACTCTCGCGATGTTGGGAATGCCCTGAATGACAGTTGCATTGTTGTTGTTTACGACCGGCAGGGAGAGCCAGGCGGGTCAGGTCCATTGATATCAATGTACATGAAAACAACTGCGCTCTTAGTACAGCGGCAAAGTAACCGCTGGGTTTACGTTCATGCATCTCTTGACGGCCCGTTGAGACCCAGACATATCGTTTCACGAGCGAAACCCTTTGATGGATTCCTTCATTAAGTTGTAATGACCGGCCTGGGGCTTTGCCAACACGTCTACTGGAATGAGATGTCGTTCTGGAAGTCTGCAAGTGCAAAATTACCAGTGTAATGAACAAACAAAAGATCATTTGGTATTGTAAGATTCGCTTGTTCCAAAACAGCGGAATTATACCCCAAAACGGGCATGCACTCTATTACAATAATCTCGGAGGGGTTCTAAAGTATCATCTCCTACGTCGTGACGTTGCAACGCGAAACGGCTGGGCCCAATCTTCAGGTCATTGGACACAAGGAGTTGACCTATTAACTGAGCTTTGTGATGGTTGTGAATTAGGCAAACGGTTAATTCTGATACTATCATAGTGAACAACGATGTTGCGACTGATATGACTGTCCCGTCCGATTGCGCTCGCTCAACAACACAACAAATTGCTCACTTCGAGTCACACTTGCAATTACCTTTCACTTCACTTCCATTTTCTTGCCTCCCAGTTCCGATAGACAGGAACCCAAAAGGTCACGAGCGTTGACACACGAATCGAACCCGCCACCTTCCTCTACCAAGTTGGTTCCCGCTGTCGCCGACGCCGCCAGGATGTTCCCCGCGGCGATTACAGTAGTGTGCGTGTAGTTCGACAAGAGCGAGCGATAACGGCGGTCATCCTGTTGGAATCTGGGGTTACATGCGGTCACACGGGCTTTGATCGAATGGCCAAGCTTTCATGGAGCAGCCATTTGTTGAATGGTCCCCAAACCTCCTCGAAAAGTGGTGATAGCAAAGAGGGGATTCCCATGGCGAAATGATATCATGTGTCCTCTATATGTGGTCCCTAACCTTTCTACCCCTCAAGCAGTGCCCCCTTTTATGAGGCCTTTCTCAAGGTCCAATGCGATTGCGACTTGGGACACATGTGTTCCTCGTGTTAGTGCAAAACTCGCCCCCGACAATTGCGCCAATGTCGAACGTTTTTAACACTGATGGATGGGCCACGAGATCTGGATAATCGATTCGCTCATACCTAGTCGTCCCTTTTGTCTAGAGCCTAAACATCATCGTCGGCCGTGATGACAACATTCCACCTTTCTTTCTTTGTTTGAGATGGCCGAGCTGCCCGGGCGGTTATCGAATCAATTGCATCGTCGTTACCTGCCCTTTACTTACACGTGTAAGTGGCGGTAGCCCCGTGCTGCAACTAGGTATGTGTAGTGTATGTTGTCCGTAGATTAGATAGATAGCAGCACCCTCTTTCGTCCGATAGTCTGCTTGTATTTATCGGATGGTATGCCACATTGCGACGGAACGTGCGAAGCAAGGTGAAAGTTCCACACACCCCTCAACACCATTGCCGAGGCTTGGCGATGCGAGCACTTCACGAACCTTGCTGGCCACGCCGCTTGCTTTGTTTGGAATTGAAACGCGATAAGAAGTCGGGTGTTCTGAAGCTTATCGCCGGCTGTCTTTTCAGGATCGTGATCAGCACCCCCTTTCTTGATGCGCTAACAAACAAGAGTGGTGCACATACACACGCCCCCAATCTTCATCTGAATAGCCTGCATTTTGTGGGGCAAAGAGGACTCCGGCAGCTTGTGCGGTCCATTCGTCCCAAAGGAGATCTTGGGTGCGGTTCAGTGCCGTGTCGCAGCCCTCGACAAATGTTGAGTCGCCATGGCGCAATTGATTGCTCGCTGCTCATAGCGCACACGGTAGTGTACTTGTGATCATTTCGGAACGATGAGATGATGGGCCCCTTGGCGGCGAACGTCGAGACTCGGGAATGCTCAGAAAACTGGGGAAGTAGGTAACGTATGCGGCATACCTAGCTTGTAATTAGTTTCATGTTCCGTGAAACCGTGACTTTGTTCACATCCCGAAGAGCATCATCGCGTGAATTGTCCCATGAACATCGAGAGAGGCAGCGTGGCATCTCTCCTCTTCTGAAACAAGAAACGCGTGTACGTATCGCCGGGCGGGCAAATTGCCAATCGACAGCGTTGTTGCTATTTTCGCATCCCGAATAAGAAAGTGAGCAACGATTTTGATTGAAGGAGAGGACGCTGCTGAAGCGATAATCATCAAGGAGGATTGCAGGGCGTGCGGACTGCGGACCGCAGGGCGCGTGCGTCTGTGCTTTTCTTGGTCATCACTACACTACGCAACAGTGCTGCTTGTACACTGCCTCAAGTCCTGCCTGTCTATGGAGTGTCGCTCGCTCGCGGTGAAAGAGCAAATAGGAATGATCCAGACGCAACAGGAAGCAGACGGATGTCGCTTCGTTTGCTGCCGCTGACCAATGACTGTGGAGTAGCGAGCGCGAGTGTGTGAACTGAAACAGTTGAGAATGTTGGGAGTTCAGTGGTTGTGTTGTTGTTGTTGATTGACGGAATTGGCAACCACGACAAACCGGAAACGTATCCATCATTAAACCCCAGCCCAAGATCATCTCGATGGTATCAAAAAGGGAGACCGGCTACTAGCAACGCGAATACAGTCTGGACAAGTGGCAGCTTCGTGTTGACACAAGAAGATTAACAGTGCACAATTGGTGATGACTCCGACGTGATCGCTATCCCCTCGGGAATTTGGAAGCTACCCATGCTCGCCATTGATGACAAGTTTCCATCATCCATCTACTTTTGCCTCCCAAGCTCCGTTCTCGCTTGTACCCCTTACATTCGTCCCGCCGTACCGCAGCACGTAGGTATGCTAGTGCTGCGTACGCTCGTACCTACCCCTAGCTTCCTCCCACGTTTTTCCAAGCCACCCCTCGCCAGTCTCGTTTGGGATTCTTGAGGGTTCAGGTCAGATGTACGATTCTGACAGCGATTGCCTAGGTCGCGGTTGTCCTGACTTTATGCGATGATGGTTTACTCGTTCGATGTGACGGCAGTTGAATGAACATCATCGTCTGTCATGGCGGCATCCGTCTGACGTTGGAGGCCATGAAATTTCGAGATGGCGATGTGGATAACGTGGCGCTAATCCCATTACAGCAATATGTCACTAATCCGGATGATCAGGCGGGGCATCATCATAACTTAAACTGAGGTAAACTCCGTAATAACGGTTCTAGCGTATGGAAAAGCCATTCCTGCCTCTGCAGCATGCTATTTGTCAGATCGAATGGCTTCCTGTTGCCGACACCTGGCGGCAGCGACAGCAAAGACGGGAGATCTAGGAAAGCTGGTCGAGCACGTGGAGATGCAACGCAACAAAACGTACATACACTACACTACCTACTCAACAGTGAGGTTGCCATTATCCTTATCAATAACCGAGAATCGGCCAGATAGTCTGAAAAGACGGCGGACGCGGGGAAACCTAGATCGGCGGTGTACGGAGTTGGACCTCTACGGCCACGCTAGTCGACCATTGATACACGATAGCATGGAAGAAGCCATCCGCTATCCGTGGCCGGCATAGGAGTTGTCATTCCGTCCTTTCGACGTGCGTTGACGTTCAGTCAGTCAGTCAGTCAGTCATGTCGTTGCTGGTATGCACTTTGAGCTCCGTACGCGGCATATGGGTTTGTACGTCTGGACACGGTGTCAAACATTGACGGATTGTATTGGCACTCCCGCACTTTCACACAACTTAACCGACTCATCTCACACAATGGAACGTGGAATTGGGGGTCCCTGAAAATGATGCCAATCCCCTGCCTGTCTGCTGTGGCTTCTTGTGCTGCCAGTGTGAAGGAACGGGGGTGACAGCTGCCCCAACATTACCTTACATTACATGGTATTCAATACCTGGTAGGCGTTGGGGCGTTATGCCCTGTACCTGTGCGCTACTTGAGCCCACTGCGACGTTCATCAGGGTGCTGAGGTACCGTGTAGGTAGTGTAATACCAAAGACGGCGGGCTCGTGCAGGGACCCGAGGGCGGTGTGTGTCTTGGTTGGTGTGTTCATCTGTCTTGGGTCAGTTCCAGGTCGTTTCCAGTGTGGTTGCGTGGCAGCAAGCGAAGAATGCCATTCGTCGTCATTGTCGAGATAGCCACCCAGACCGTGTCGTGACGAAATCTAGACACGTTGAGACTCAGCAGTACGACCGGCCAACAGCCCAGTGCTCGCCCACCATTTCGCGACGCAGTGATCGGCAGACCCTGGCCGTCTCTTTGCTCGAAGCGGCCTTTTGCTGGGCAGCTGCGAGTGATGGAGTGACAAAGCGACGAGTGGAAGCCCGTCCCGCGGGCGTGCTTGCCCAGGGGGTCACCCCCGACTCTGAGAAGCACACTGGGCTGTTCAGCTCAGCGACGACGGAGGTCGGCCGCTCCAGTCACTCCCTCTGTTACAACCAGGGCCAGTGCCAGAGGTACCTTACCTCTGGAGGAGGTACCCAGCATGACCTCCGGCAGCGCTGACTGACGCTCGCAGCGGTTCCGTCCTCTTCCACCTCCTGCCTGCTTGTTCCATTTCGTGCTTCCCACTGCTTCCAGGTTCTCAGGCTCCTTTTCAATACCCACCTCCGCCATCCACCCATTTCACCCTATTCCAAACCACCTTTTTCTCTTCTCTCTTCTTTCCTGTATAACTCGTCTTGTTCGCCGTCGTTTGTCGCGCTTCATTTGTCGTGCATCGCATTGTCTGTTTTAAGTCGCATTCGCCTCGCAATCAATCAAAACAATCAATCCGTCAACTCGACGCACCTCATCCGACTTCGCATCGCCTCGCTCGTCCCGATCGGATACCATTGATTGCGGCAGCCTTGCATCGACATCGGGCTCCATCCCCAACTTACACATCAACCAGCCTTTGGGTTCCCGACTGCGCCGTTCGAACACTGGTTTCCTTCTTTCGTCTGTTCCAAGTCAAAAAAAACACGAAAGACCACTCAGCGAGACGAGCACTCTGAAAAGCCAAAAAAGCAACATCGAAGAGCATTACGCATTCAGTTGCATCACGCTACCGTCTTCCACACTCCGCCGAGTCTCCAGTCAGCATACCACACACACACGGACTAGACCACTGGTTGCTTGCTTGGCTCCCCCGGCCTCTTCCATCATCGCCGACCCGCAACTTCCGTTTTCGTCCGTTACCAAGTTGCTGCATCCCCGAAGACCTGGTATCCACTTTTTCCAGTGTGAATCACATCTCGCGTGCCGAACCAGGGGGTTGCAAAGAGTCACTCCACGGCCCACCTGTTCCTGAGAGACTCTTATACACGGCGATCGGTCAACCCTTTCTGAGATATCTCCGACACAACTCTTGATCATCATAGTCAACAACATCAAGCCATTGAGATACGCTGCCAAAACCACGCCGTCGTCGCCTTCAAGGCTCTCCCCTTGCCCTCTAGCCCGGCTCACCCGGTGTTTACATTGGTGATTACTTCGACCAAGCTCAAGTCACCTGGACAAGCATCATCAACACCGCCAACGACAACAACAACAACTCAGAACAGCGTCAAACGGCCTTCAACTTATACCTCGCCTGACCTGGATTCGATGTTACTATAACAACAACAATTTCTTTCTCCCTCCACCCACTACTCTACCGTTTCGACGGCCCCTTTCTCGACCGACTACTCTACAGTCACATTTCCTTTGTTGATTCTTCACCTTATCACCGCTTATGAGCCTCAGACCGTGAACGATTTCGACTTGTTTTCACAGTTCTAAACCCTGTACATTCTTCCATTTCTTTCTTGCTTTTACGGCGTCTCTTTTATACCTCTTTCGATACTTTGAGAAACACCTGTCTGCAAAGGAAATACACACGCGCATTGTATCAACTATCTACAACACAAAACCAACTCAACACCTATACCCTAATCTTTTCCCCCAGCATTCGCCATGGACTTCTGCCTTCGGAACAAGTTCCAATCTGGAGTTCTCCTCGCTGGACGATACCAAACGATCTCCCCCCTCAACCATGGATCCTTTGGCATGGTCTTCATGGCTCGCGACCTTAGGACTGGTCAGAAGGTTGCCATCAAGTGCCTGACAAAGAAGGGAGCTGCAAGCGAAGCCGGCTTCGACTTTGCGGTTGACGAGAAGTCTGAGGAGCTGGTTCTTCATCGACGTCTTGGAGCCCACCCCAACATTGTCAACTTCATCGACACCTTCGAGACCGAAGCCCATACATACATCGTCCTGGAGTACTGCGAGCGAGGCGATCTCTACGAAGCGATTCGTCTGGACCAGGGTCCTTTGGAAACCGAGCATGTGAGGCGATTCATGCTGGAGCTTGTCGACGCTGTTGCCCACATCCACGCCAAGGGCATCTACCACCGCGACATCAAGCCCGAGAACATCTTCCTCACCCAAACAGGCTCCGCCAAGTTGGGCGACTTCGGGCTTGCCACCACGGAGAAGTGGTCGTATGAGGCTGCGGTTGGAAGTGAACGTTACATGTCCCCTGAGCAGTTCGACTCGGCCGGTGCCGGATACTCGCCGGCTGCGGCAGACATCTGGGCTATTGGTATCTGCTTGCTCAACGTTCTCTTCGCCCGCAACCCATTCACCACCCCGACCGAGGCCGACCCGCTTTTCTTGGATTTCTCGCGCGACAAGCAGTCTTTGTTCGACGTATTTCCTTCCATGTCCCAGGACACCTATGAAGTCATTGTTCAGTGTATGAACCTTGATCCTCGTAAGCGCTCCCTTGAGGGTGCTCGCGAAGCTCTCCTCCGCGTCATCAGCTTCACCACCGACGACGAGATCCTCGACGACTTCTGCACCGCCGATGGCCCCGTGGTCGCCAGCTCCAACCGTGAGCCTCTTCGCACCCCCTCGATCCAGAGCCCCCAGATGGACACTGGTGCATTCCCCTGGGCCAAGGCGCTCCACGCGAACACCAAGAGGCAACTCAGCGACATTCCCGACGACGAGAGCTATACCGAGGACCTCTTCTCTACCTCTACCGCCACCACCTCCGACTGGCTTTCCGCTAGTATCCAGACCCCGCCTTCTGTTTCGTCTGTTATGGACTCACATCTCGCTGCCTCCATGCAGTCGCTTAACATGGGCTCGGCCGCTCAATCTAGCAAGGACATGTTTGCCAAGATCCCCGTGAGGCCTTCGGCCGCCACCGGCTCTCTCCCGATTAACATGGCCAAGCAGCCTAAGCAGTCAGCTTTGTCGCTGGTTTTCGGTCGCAAGGATACTGTCTCTAAGAGCTGGAGTGATCTGTGGGACGAAGAGGAGGAGGAGGAGGAAGAGCAAGCCAAGCAGCTGGCGTTGAAGGAGATGAACTCCAGGACCTGGAGCCAGGAAAGCAAGCACGATAACGAGAACACTCCTCGCATGGGTCGGTCACCGGCTACCAAGGCGGGCAGTCTTCACGTGGAGCACGACATCCCGGCTATTGATATGCATCTCGGTTCCAACATCGACGACGATCTCGCTGCCGATGGTTTCTTCTTCCACGATGCCCCCGCACGGAAGGAGCCCACCCAGTTCTCTATGAGCCACTCTCCGCCTGCTCGGAAGAGTGCCCTAGACAAGTGGCAGGCTCTGGGTGAACGTCGCAGGGCGACAGGAACCACACCTCCCAAGGGTTCCGAGTCTATCCCGAGAACGCGTCAAATTCCTCATAGCTTTGGCGCCGCCTCTCATGATTTCAACAATATTCACCACAACTCTTATACTGTTCACTCGAACAATCACTCATCTCATCATTATTCTGCCAACATCGGAAAGAAGTCTACCCCGGTCAAACAGTGCCCTTGGAGCAAGGGACGCGATCGGGCATTTGACTGGCGCAAGGAGAAGCGTCATCCTTTCGATGTCGAGTGGGTTGGTGGCTGGACGGGAGCTCCTCTCGTGCCAGTTCATCACTTGTAGTTGGGCTATCACCTTCGCTGTGGCCCTCCATTGATTCATACTGTTTTTGGGTAAAGGAAATCTGCTGATCCTAGTCGGAGTATTCGGGCATTTTTGGTTTTTTGGCTTTTTTTTTTTTGGCTTTTCAGGGGTTTTGTTGCTTGGGGTCAAACGGGCGGGTCTGTCGTCAATATTTTCAGGGATTTACAGTACTGCATAGCATGGTTTAAACAAACAAACAAAGGGCGAAACGGCATTCAGATACAGAAACTGGACATTCGAATTGGATTGGGTTTTCTCTTCTCTATCATTTCATTTCATTCATCGGATCGAGACATATGGACATGAGCCCGAAGGATCAGCATTTTTCTCTTTTCCGGTTGAAAAGACCAAACAAGGACAGTTACATGGGATTGGTGGATGGGCGGAATGGTGAATTGGGTTTCAACTCGCTTTCTGTGTATTAGATATTCTCCGAACATCTCTTGTGAAGACCATCAAAGGTCACAACAATACCAGAAGTTACCCACTCGAACGCTATATCTTTGTTTTATGCCTTTTGTGAAACGTGATGAACTGAATGGGGAAACAGATGACCAGATTACGTTTAGCTTTATCTCAACGTACGCGCCTGCTCAAAGAAGTACGTACGTCATCGACATATTCCCGCCGCGATCGATACAATGACAACATTACCATGTCTTTCAAGTCCCATATATATTCGAGCGGTTAAGCAAAAATCGTAAACGGCCAACGGCCGGCTAGCCCGACCGAGGACGGGTCATGTGTACTATGTGTGTGACGGTAGACAAACAGAACAAAACAACGTACACACATACATACACATAGTTATGTACGAGGTTATACGGCTGTTACTCTCTCGTGCCCTCTCGGCCTTCAAGACCGCGAGGTTGTTGAGGTATGCCCGGGGATGCCGATGGTTAGAGGGCAATCTGTATCACAAGGACCGAAAGGACATTCTACTCTGTTTTATTTTACTTTTTATCATGTAAAGTGTTTTGACACTGGTTCTGGTGAACTGTACAATCCATACATATACACAACTACTTGCATACACATACACAACTACTGCATACATATACACGACTACTGAAGGTTATTGGTTCTAATGGGAAATTCGAACCCGGACGAAAGCTAAAAGGAAGATGACGTAGGTGTTGGACGTACGTTCAGCTTACACATAACATATATTATTTAGACGGAGGAGGACGATGACGACGGGAGTTTACTAGGTTTCCCTGCTGTGACGCCCCCCTAGGTACATACCTCTATCGCTGCACCACGTCGATGGGTGAACTTCTTCCTGGTCATTTGGAAATGCTGATTGCTGCTGCTGTCAGGAATTTCCATGGAACCTGGCAGGAAGTGATTACGTGGTATATGAGGTGATTAACGTGAGTTTTCACCTTCCGGTTGTGAAAGGAACGAGTTGTTGTGTTATGCGACGTTGGGATTCGTAGGGAATGGGGAATGCAACAAAGGTAGGTGCGGTGTTGCAGGAAAAAGAAGAGGGGAGGAGGGGGAGGGAGATGGATCAGCTGGAACATGAGAGGAAGGAACGATAGTGACAATGATGGACCAGTGGGGAAGGTAGTGCAGTGGGTTGGTATACACCTTGTGGCGGGTATGGTCGAACTGCAAGGCAAAAAATTGAAAGTGAAGGAGCCATGCAAGGATGAGACTCGTCGTTACTGTTAGGCCTAATGCTTCGAACCTAACATAACTTACCTACCTATAATAAACAGACAGCGGTGGCTAAAAGAAGTAAGGTGTAATATCGAAGATAAAGAAGAGAAAATGAGGCCGCTAGTCTATATTGGCTGGAATACCTAGGAAGAGACTCTCACCATACGATAGCAGCCCAGATGGGATGAAAGACCAGATCGTGATACAAAATTGAACAGTGCTGGCATATGCTATTGTAGGTTTGGCAGTCAACCCTGAATAGTAATGCGATCATTGTATACCATCATCATGGCCCTTCGTAGTTAATTGCCCTTACCTCTTCTGCTGAATAGGTATGCTTGACCACCGGATGGGAGTGGTTTCAAAAGTCGAGCATTCATATGCGCATTTTGCTTTGAATATACTGTGTGCCATATCTCAGACCGTGTCGAGATCTTTGGAATGTATGTAAGCAGTATCTTTCATCTCATATTGTTGTAGTACATGGATTGAAGCACCGAAAGATCCGACGAAAGTAAGAAGATTTCAAAGATCAAGTATAGGATGAAGCTACAAGTAAGCTACATTCAGATCGGATGGAATTCTTGATGTTCGATGGAAGCTCAAACGGGATGGAAGATCCATGGTTCTGGTTAGTGCTGGCATCTAGCATCACACATAAGAGACGTCGTCAACGTCTATTCACTCTATACTCAAAGTTTGACTTTGAACTCGAATCAACACTCTCCTACTCAGCGAGTCTTGGAATTAGAACCGGTTCCAAACTTGTGAATTAAAAGAAGGAAGCAAGAGAGACGAGAACTAACGGATCAAGATCATTCAGCATTTGTCAGTGGCATACCATGAAATAGAGTGATTTGGCCGTAATACCGACCACATTAGAGGCTCAAATGCATTCCATACACATTCAAGATGAATATAGCTAGCCTAGCCTGACCAGTTCAAAAAGAGATGCAAATAGCGACACCACCATGATGCAATGCGGTCTAAAATAGACCATCCCAAAACAATACCCGACAAACTTGAATAACAATAATTATATGCAACATCATCCTGACTCCCCTTTATTCAGGAGCAAAAATGCTCTTTGGCAGGAAAGCCCAAACAGTGCCAACGGTAGACAACGTGATGGATATCGCAAGCAAGAAGTAATCGAAAATCTTCTCTCTGCGCGACATGCTGCTGCCGAAGAGCTTGAGGTGGAAGAGGACGGGTAGACTATCATCAAGAAAGGTGCTCGTTAGTCCTCCGTATCCACACGATAACCAGTGAGAAAACACAAGAAAGCTGAGAATAAGAGACCACTTACATTACGCAAATCTGGAAACACAATGCACTCCCCATAAAAGCCATGATGCTATCAAATGCCGGGAATACAATCGATATTACCAGGAAGCAGAAGATGGTCAGCGCGCGAATGGCAATCTTCATGACGCCACGGAAGTACATGGAGCGGCCCACGAGCCCGGAGCTCTCGGCGACCGTCGTCGTGTGCAGGCCGAACAGGACCTCGAGTGTGGCAATGATCGGACGCGCGTTAAGCGGGATCTTGGTTAGTGGGATGATGGCGACGAAGGCGCACATGAAAAAGGTTAGGACCTTGGGGTAGCTGGCCTCGAGCAGGATGTTGGATGTGATTTCGTCGCGGACGCCGTCACCGAACATGAGGAGACCGGCGACTGCTGTGGTTGCGTCTAGGAGATACTACAAGGGAGGTTAGTAAGTGCTGCATATGTGAATGGGGCGAACAGATGTAACTTACGGTAAACGAAAAGGTGATTTTCAACGCCTTTGTGTACTTGTACGGATGTCTCATGTCTCGGTAGATCTAGGTGAGGATGTCAGTATAGGAAGTCACTAGCATTTTTCCAAACCACCCATCTTACATTTGGGAATACGCCATGGCCACCCCAGGGAGACATGAGCAGACCAAACGAGAGAGGCAAAGTCAGCCAGTTTTGCGGAAACATGTAGGTTTTGGCAGGCTCGATAAGGGAACCAGGCGCTGTAGGCTTGAGGAAGCCATCGGTAAGTAAGATGAGGACAACTGGGCGCAACTTAGTTAGCCATGTTCATGACACGTGTATAAAGCCTCGGTTGGAAATTCGACTCGCTCGCAACTTACTTGAAAAGCAGCAGAAAATGCCAATAATGCTCGTGAAGCTCAACAGCCTCAACGGCAAAAAGTTCAGCGGTACCATAATAACAGCACATATGATCTTCCACCCTGTGACCGACAGGAAGCCCGGGAACAGAAGATCGAGAGAGTCCGCAAAGAGAACAATAAGGGCGACGCAGGCAGCAAGTAGCTCGAGCGTAAAGAGAATACTGGTGGCTATGCGCGCACTTCGGCCGAACGAGATGAAGGCGAGGTCGGAAAAGGTGATCAAACTAGGATCCAAATCCATGCATTTCGCCAACAGCTTCGCGGTATAGACGGTTACGAGGGCACATAGAAGTAGAGTGACCATGCCGCAGAGCCAGCCGGCGTATTTGATGCCCATTGGCAAACTTAGGAGGCCAACTCCAATGAGAACACTATTGGACAAAACGCTGTGTTAGTAACGCTGAGATGAACTTAATAGAGAATGCGAAGAGCGACTTACTTGATAGAGTTAAACACCGTCTGCGGGAGCGTCGACTGTCCCTCAACAGCCAACACGATCTTCCCATCCTGCTCAACTTCCTTCACCAGAATGGGCGGGATCTCCTGATCGGGCACGTTCGCCGGCACTTCTTGGGATTCCCTCCACAGAACCGAGACCTGATCTATCGATTGCCTGCTCATGCTGCCCCTGGACTGTGTAGTCCCATAATCAGGAATCGACCCATAACTGCCCACGATCGGAGGAGTAGCCAAGTGTGGCGGAACAGCAAATATCGATCCAGCGCTTCCTACACGAAACCCCTGGGCGAGCTCATTCTCGAGCGCCTTCGCCTCGCGTTCTCGGTAATCGGTCGAATGCCGTTGCGTCGTCGTCGTTGTCGTGCTAGGTTCCGCGACTTCGTTTTGAGGAGCAGAGCCGGCAGCAGATTCAAAGTGTTGTCGTAACAGAGATGACCGGGGCGTCGCCTCGCCAGCTTCGAGATCACTCCTTCCATACTGAATGGGAATCGCGCCGGAGGGCGGCGCTGCTATTGGGGCTTGATCCGGGGCAAAAACGAAGGACGGGCGTTGGGGGATGACTTCGCTGAAGCCGGCGGCGCGCTGCCAACTCCTGGTGAAGGAGCGGATACTGTTCACGCCTCCAATATCGGCCACGGCGGAAAGACGGTTGGTGATGGAAGATCTGCGACGGGGTGGGAGGTTAGCAGTCCAGTCTCGTGCGCCTTGTTGAAAGAGTGGCTAGAATAGTTTCGAACTTCTAGGTACACTTACCTCCTATGCCTCAACTGTGGCCATTCCCCATCCTCGCCGTAACCATTAGCATCAACACTGCGGCCAAGCAGTGACTCGTTTTCGAACTGAACACTCCTGTTTCCCACCGAGGAAAAACTGCCAGTTCTGCCGGGAGACTGACCCCCGCGCTCGTACTGGTCCCAGGTTGTTGGGTTTCTTGACGACATGGGTGGTGTGACCTGGGGGAAATCGTCCAAAATCGTTTCTTGTATCACTATGGTATTGTTGCGAGAAAGGGTGAGAAAAAAAGAGAGAAAGAGAGACAGAGAGAGGAAAAGAGAGAAAGAAGGCGAGGCGATCACCAAGAGTTAGACAAGAGACGACGACGGAAGAAAGATCACACCGAGCACACAAAACGCCGAGCGAGCACACAAAAAACACACCAAACACAGAGCTGGTGAATCCCTCCCCCCCGTTACCCGTTCCACTTCCAGACCCGACGTGGCGGCAATGACAGAGACTGATTTGATCTCACGATTTCGATTTCCCCTAGCTTCGCAAGTCGCGTAGGAGGCGTTCGGCTCGACGATGGGCTAGTCGAGGGCTACTGCGTACTGCGTCACGCAGCCCAGTCGGCAAGAAAGCCGGGGTGATGCCGGCTCCCACTGGTGGCTCGGATCTCCAGGTGGAGAGGGGATGAACAAGGCCAAGAGTGACGGGACGAACTGACTGTTTGGTAAGGTGTGTGTGAATAGGTAGGCTGTGGATCTTGCTTGCAAAGCGGAGAAAAAAAAAACACCACAAAAAGGTCGAGGGGCCCTGGTTGCTTTTTTGGGTTTCTAGATTGTCTTGAGGGGAGACGGACTGGTTGAGACCTGATCTAAAGGCTATTAGGTTAAGTATGTGGAAAACCGGCGAAAAAAGAAAAGCTAGATTAATCACAAGGGAACATTGGGCGGTCACGGTGTTTCTCCAACACAACTAACAAGATTCGCATCGATTTGCGTGCAGTGGTCGAAATCTTCGAATCCTGTAGAAAGGACGAGGCCATACCCAAACATTCAAGGGCGGCACAAGGAACGAACCGACGTCACCCATTCATGGACTTGGCACTTTGGAGGATTGCTTTTGACCTCACTCCAAAATGTTGTAGGGTAGGGGTGCAACACAATCGAACCCCTCTACACTACGCTATCTCGGACCACCATCCCACGGTCAACGCTACCGCGGGATCGGAAAGGGTATGATTGACAATAGTGAACAATGAATGTAAAAAGGCAAATTGGCCAATCACCAGTCAGCAAGATGCCTTGATTGGATTGCGCATGCCGCGCCGCCGCTATCGAGATAAGAACCGGACGAGAGCACTGCTCTTCGGGTAAAAGAGGCTCTTGGTTATCTTGATTATCTAGCTACAGATGACTATAATGTAACTCAAACTAGGGTGGAGGGTTTGGAACATCTTGGGCAGCAGGATGGATGACGCCGCGACCGGACTATGTACAACATGTGTACTGCGGTATATACACAACAAACGTAGATACCTCTATCATACCGCGCTTGGAATGTAGGCAGGTCGGGTTACAGGCTCGAGGTACCTACACTATGTTTTGGCGTCACCTCACATCACACGCTCACCTGCCTCATCCTTCCACTTTCTTGCTTTGAGCATTCGCATATTATTATCCATTCAGCGCATCCATCCAGTAGTGTACCCGGTATCTTCTTCAAATAGTGTAAACCCCAAACCCGGACTTGGTTTTCACTAGTTCATACGGCAGAGCAACCACAAAAAATGCAAGATTTATCTTTTCCCAAACTGCTCGCTCCTCGCCCGAACCCATCACATGTATCCTGTCTGGTACCTCCCTATACACAAGACAGGACAAAAGAATCGTATGAACTCTCCAGCAGTGTATCGTGACAGCTCCAGTTACTCCGAGCAGCCTGAAGAGGTCACTACATACTGTAGAGATCTGCCGTGCGGGCGCCAACCATTTCCAGGTCCCACCACATCGCGCGATTCCGCAATCGACCGACTGCGTCGCCCCACTGTTTGTTTGCTTTAAGATCTAGATCGTCTGGGCGAAGTTGCTTTTATGATGTGATTGCCATAGGGCCATAGACACCCTTCAATGCGGCTACACCATTGCGGTGTGGAGAATCCATGCTTTGAACTCAACATAGCATCCATTGCTTTGGTATCTCGTTATTGTATATTCATAAGAAGGGGGCCGGGTCCAGGTTCAATGGACATGACCAAGTCCCTTTCTTCTACCCTTCCCGTATCAAGTTTTCCAACATATGCACGTAACTCCCTTTTAGGGATGAATTTTCCATATACCTTTTTGATCCCTCATATGCCTCCTTAACTCCTACGTATGAATACAGCGCAAAGAGCATTGTTTGCATCGCCCCCTCCCGTTCAGCCCGAGATACTAAATTGAAGCCTTAAGGATCTTCTCCAACTCAGCAACTACAGCGCTACCCATATCCGAAGTGGTAGCGTTACCGCCCAGGTCCTTGGTCTTGGTACCGTTGTCAATGGCAGCCTTGACAGCAGCCTCAACGGCATCGGCCTCCTTGGGGAGGTTGAGCGAGTAGCGGAGCATCATGGCGACAGAGAGAATGGTACCAACGGGGTTGACGATACCCTTACCCGAAATATCGGGAGCGGAGCCGTGGATGGGCTCGTAAATGCCGTTGCACTTGCCCTTGCCGTCGGGGATTCCGCCCAAGCTGGCGGAAGGGAGCAGGCCGATGGAGCCGGGGATGACCGAGGCCTCGTCCGAGATGATGTCGCCAAAGAGGTTGCTGGTGATGACGACGCCGTTGAGGGCACGGGGGTTCTTGACGAGCAGCATGGCGGCGCTGTCGATGAGCTGGTGCTCGAGCTGAAGCTGGGGGAACTCCTTGCTGATGACGTCGGTCACAGTCTTGCGCCAGAGGCGGCTGGTGGCGAGCACGTTGGCCTTGTCCAGAGACCAGACCTTGGCGGGAGGGTTCTTGGCCAGGGCGAGGAAGCCGGCGAGTCTGGCGATGCGCTCGATCTCGGCGCGGCTGTAGGGCTCGGTGTCGCAGGCGTAGCCGGAGCCGTCATCCTCGGTGCGGTCACCAAAGTAGATACCACCGGTAAGCTCACGGACGACAATGAAGTCAGTGCCGCGGCAGACCTCGGCCTTGAGGGGAGAGCTGTCGACGAGGGACTCGGAAGCAAAGTTGCAAGGGCGAAGGTTGCCATAGGTGCCGAGCTCCTTGCGGAGCTTCAGGAGACCTTGCTCGGGGCGGACGGTGGAGGAGGTGCCCCATTCGGGACCGCCAATGGCACCGAGAAGGACGGCATCGGCAGCCTTGGCGGCGTTGAGGGCCTCATCGGTGAGGGGGTCATTGTGTTTGTCAATGGAGGCCTGTAGTACATGTGAAGATGCAGTGTCAGTAACCTGCCTATTCAAGGGTTGAAGGTAAACTTACACCGCCAAGGAGGTGGTTCTGGAGGTTGAACTTGCCAGCCGAAGGGCTGTTGGTCTCGATGGCCTTGAGGACCTATAGACAGGTAAAACAAAACGCATGTAAGCTTTGTGGTCCAGCTAAAAGAAAACATGGTCACTGGAAAACCGTCGCATCACACTAGGTGCGATCGTGCTTGGGGAGCCGTCCAAGTTGGGAGCAGAATCGGAAAGTTTGTCCGTCATTCTTGCGTGGCTTGGGGCCATGGATCGCGAAGGTACCCGGATGTTTGTTTGTTGATGCTAGCGAACAAAAACGCATTAAAGCACGTACCTTGATGGCCTCGAGAACAACCTGTTGTAAACAGAGACTTGTTAGCTATTTGCGCTTCCCCAAGAGTCTGTTGTGCTTTCCCATTTCCCAGTCCAAAGACCGGTGGTGGCCGATAACCGGGCATCCCATGCTTTGGGCTGGGGAAGCTGAGCCAGCCAGGGGCAAAGGGCAGAGTAGGGTGGAAGCGTACCTCGGGACCGCAGTGGTCACCACCGAACACAACAATGTTATGAGTAGCCATCTTGTAATAATAGAGGGAGCTTCGAGGAGCTGGAATTATCAAAGCTTTGTGGGATTTGGAAAGTGAACTATGGTGTGAAACGGTAAGCTTCCCGGTTGCGCAGAGCAGGTCAAATAATCGATGGAACCCAATTCGTCAAGCCGCCGAAAACCGCCCGCAGTGGATAAGTGACGAGCAGCAAAGGACGAAAACGTAGGGAGGTCTGTCTGTACATACCAGAAACAATAAGTCGAAAGGGGTATCACACGAAGCTCAGCGGGATGTGGAAAGTAACAGTATGAAAAAGACAAGAGGAGGAAAAGGTAAGTACGAGAAGAAGGATACAGTGACGTTTTGCTTCTCAAAGTTGAATTGGACGGATCGATTGAACAGCTGCCCCGCGCTTGTCTGCCACCCGATCTGCTGATCTTTAAACAGCACGCACGCTGAGCTCTGGGCGCGCGCTGTTCTCGTCGCATTGCTCCACGCACAACGCCGACCCCGCCTTCCGAAGTCGGCGCTCCCGACCCGTGCCAGCATGTTTTTCTTCTTACAATCTTTGCCCGAGGTCCAATCACCTCACCGGCTTGCGCTTTGTACTATGGGAACTCACCGAGTTTTCGCTGTAGAGTCATGATTGGAGCCTTCTACAAACTCCGATCGGGTCCCGCTTTGCTGTTGCCAGCTCCGGTTTTTAGCAGGCGCCTGAGCTCCAGGTTTCCGGATGACAGCTCCCGGTGCTTAGCCTGTGAACGGCCCGGAGCTACCGCCGACACCGCAGCTTTTGGGTCTGGACTTTGAATGGCTTCCTTTCCCAAGACATTCACCCAAGGACCGGCTGTCCGGAGCTAATTGCTGTCGATCCTACCTCTAGTCCGGTCCCTCTGTCCAAGCCCGGATACGGCTCTTGAGGGCGAGGCTCCGACAGGGCGAAGCCGGAGCCCAGATTGTGGATCCAAGGCCGGGTCCCGACATGATCTACGCAAACATATCAGTTTGTATACACTTCACATCGGTCACCCCTTTTTAGTGTACACTAACTAGGTCAACAAAAATAAAGAAACCGCCAGTACGACATCTGCCTGCCTGCAGCATTACATCGACATCAAATTTTGGCATACATGACCATCAACAAATAAGCATTATCCGCTCCAGGTGACTCGGGTATCATTGTGCATTTCTGCTCCGTGCTCGTTCTTCTCCGGAATGGCTAGCTGTCTGTCGCGTTACCTGCTCTCGATAATCAAAAGTAAACCTTTTCGCTCCTTTCCTATTTCCATCTTTTCCAGTATATTTTTTCGCTTAATGTACTGCTTTTCATGCACGTCATGCCGTTTCCCTTCCGCAGTCCATATATTTGAGACAGCTTCTTCATCGAAATGACTTGAAAGACGACTTATGTGCCAGCGGTGACCCCAATGACGACCCTGAAGTAGGCCTTATCGTCGTCCCTACTCCTGGTGTCCCCTTCCCAACGACTGCGGATTGTCTCACAGTCCGTGACGAGCTGCTATAAACTCCATTGCCGCCGCCACTGCCTTGTATGGGGAATGTCGTCGTCTTCAAGTTCGCACAGTATGCGCATATATAGATGGACGGCATTGCCCGTTGCGAAGTAATCTTCACGCATCTACCGTGTAGCCACATCTCGCACGATTCGCTGTGTAGTTGACAACCCATCTTGTTAGCTTTGCTTGACTAATACTTTACTGACACGCAGGAGAACAAAAGGAAAATACACGTACCACTGAACCATAAAGGCATTTCCTGGGTCGAGATCAGGCCTTTTGCAAATACAACGCACGGCACGCATCTTGGTGACGCTAGCAGTTGCATTGGACGACGAGGGCGTAGGTAAACTCGCCTCAGTCAGTGCCGTGGGCGATGCTGTGAAGCGGCTGGCAAAGTTCATGCTCACACTCGTTCCGGTGCTATTGCTGTGGCTGCTGGACGTCAGCCGTCTCATTATCGAGGGCGAAGGCTTTTGCCTCATCCGATCTTCTCGCAGCTTGAGGAGCTCATTGACGGCATTGCCTGACATCTTGCTGGTCGGGGTCATCTCGCTGAAGAGAATTTCTTCATCGCTTTCGTCGCCCAGATCGTGCAACCCGCCGTCAGATCGGAAAGAACCCAACGATGTTGTACTTTGCGCACTGAAACTGAAGTTTGGCTGTGAGTGGCTGGAAGAATTAACAGCGGTCCTCGATTTGCGGGGGTCCGGTATAGAAAACGAAGTGTTTCTGCTGGGGATGATAATCGGCTCATCGTCTGCTGACGACTCCTCGTCGTCTTCCGAACACCAGCGGCGACAGCCACCTACTGATTGCGAACTAGTCCGCTTACGAACGGTCATAGGGTTGTCGCGTTCAACGACCAGCGTCGTCTCTACACGGGCCCGACCGTTCTCGTCGATGGTGAACTTCGCCTGGGTCCTTGTCCGCGGGCCCGCCGTTTCTGGAATAGATGTAAGGCTGGGCAGTCGTTGATGGCTGCTCTTTAACGGCGATAATCTGCCACTTGACCTACCGGGCTGTGAGAGAATAGGGCGACTAATGCCCAAGCCAGAACTGTTGGATAACTGAGACTGTGAACGTGGAGCCGGTGCTAGCACTGGCAAGATGGCTCGACTGCCTGGTCTCTTGCCTCTATTCTCACTGAGACTCCTCCCAAGCCCGGGACGGCCGATGGGCTTGACAGGAGAGGTTGCTCGTACTTTGTCCTTCTTTCGGGGCTCCATTTCCCTTTCACTGGCTGAGCGACGTAGCTCACCGCGTAATGGCACCTTTGCAACTGACGCACCTTGGTTTCCCGACTGGGCGCCCTGAGATATCTGACGGGATGGACCTCGCGACGACCCTTGTGCCACGGCGTCAAAGGAGGCATCCATAGTAGCAGACGACGGCCGACTGAAGAGGAGGCCCGGGTCGACGCCGGTGTTGATTATCCCAAAGGAGTTATCGATAGCAGTAGCATATGTACCAGTATACATGATTTGATCCGCTGACGAGGTCATCAGGGCCTGCATGGGCGCTTGAGACACCATGACATGTTCATTTCCACCACTTGACACAACCCGACCTCCATTGACCAGTACATTCTCCGGAATAAAGTGGTTGGGGGCTGAAGTTTCCCAGTTCAGTGAGTTCATAGGTCTGGACGGTGGGTGCGGCTCCTGTCGAAACAGGCTGCTGCTTGCTCCATTGAAATCGATATCCATCACCTCCAAGCTAGGATCCGTCTCCCAGAAGGGTTGTGGGTTTGCAAAATCGCCTGTCGTGGTTCCGGAAAGCTGGAAGTTAAACATATCGCCTTGGTTCGTCATATAGCTGCCCATGTCTAGTTGATGGGATGTCTCCAGGTATTCTTGCTGGACAAAGTCCTGATCATTGTGCATAACGCTGGCGTCAAGCCGACCGGCAAGCTTGCGCTGGCCTTTGTGACGTGAAGGTGGAGGTGTTATAATCTGGGCTGGGTGTGGATCAGCGGTATCGGGTGATATCTTCTGAACCGATCTGGTTTGTGTAGGGTGAGGCAGCTGGTTCGAGAACGCCAAACTGTTGAAGCTCGATAGGACCAATGGCTCTCGGGGCAGGCTTAAACCAACCAAAGACTCTACCGAAGGTGATAGCTGTGCCGAATCTGGAGAGGAGGAGGGGTTCGCAGAAGCAGCAGTCAGCCCCGCAGGAAGCCGGTCCCTTGACAGCGACGCCTTCTGGCCAGACAAAATGAAGGCCGGTTTCTTTGAGCCAAGTTCTTCGGACAGACCTTCTGCTTCTCTAGAGTATCCTGGTGTGTTTATGAAGACGGAATACTCCTTGGCAAACCCAGGAGTCCAGCCCGCCGTATCTTCAGCGTAGTTCCTGTCGTCCTTGGGCGTGTGTAAGAGGGGGCTCGACGAGGTGTTGGAGTTCGGGGTTCGGGTAGGTGTAGACGGCTGAGCGGTTTGGTCACCAAAGCTGCTACGAAGACAAGAGGGTCAGTAAGAAGAGGAGCAATGAGAAGGGAGGGATGGGATGCCAGTCTCTCAAGGAGGAGGGCCCGGAGTAACAAGATGGTGGTATGAACTGGCTAACCTGCAAGCCAGCTGATCCCCGCTCATATCAGTTTCTGCCTTGTGCCATACATATATTCCAATTCCGATCTGAGGTCGAGGTGGAAATTTGCTGATGGGTGGGCTGGTATGTAAACGGTGAAGAGAGATCCTTCAGTCGTTTGCTTCGGGTATAGTGTGGATAGAACAGGGCCGAGAATGGATTACGGAGCTGATGGCAAGCTGAAGAGGCTGGAAATCGGAATCGGTAGGTGGTCGGTCTTGTCTACGTGCTGTTTCTTGTGTTGACCATCCCACTCTTGGACCTTTCTTTTTTTTGTCCTGATGATTACTCGAATCTGGGGCTGGTGTGTTTCCCTCGCCGATCGTAGCCGTGACCACCGTTATGAACGTTTTGGGACTCTATAGGGAACGTGAAGCAGATGACAGTCCTCTGGTTAGTGCACGTCGTCCTAGCGGAAAATGAGGGATGGATGTAAAGTCAGGGAGGGGCTTCAGCTGGAGGGAGCTATCAAACAGTGGGCTCACCTAGTAACACAGGGAGAAGAGGAAGAAGATCAAGAAAGTCAAAAAACATGAGATTTGTTGGAAAACGAAAGTCGATCCGGCATGTAGTAGGACTCGGGACAAGACGGGGATGGAATGCCTGGTCGAGATCGTGTAGGAAGGGAAAAGGTCAAGAAAAGACCCCGTATCTCTGGGGCTGAAAAACATCAGGCTGGACGACGGCTTGTTGCGAGAAATTCGAAAGCAAAAAAAGTTACTGTATTCGTCACGGTATCGTGTACTACTACTATGTTTGTAACCTGCGTCTTCCCCGTTGCTTCTGCGTTTCCATACCTTACCGGTACCTCCTGCATGCAGGCATTACCGCCTGAGGTGTGTGCTAAAAGATAGGTGCTTTGCAAGCGCCCTCGGTGGTGGCACAGGTCTCGACCCCCGCTGTCCCTCTCCGCTCATCAGGGTCTTCCCTGTGCTACAGCTCAGCCATTTAACATATACAAAAGATCCAATGGATATTCCGCCGGCAGATGTGACAATCAGGGCATTCATGGTGTTAGGGTTGAGTAAATTGGGAGAAATGGAAAGGTGGTAAGAAACCGAGTTGGCTCATAGATGCAACGAATTACTTGAGCTATGCTCCACTTAGAGTAGGTGTTCAGTCAAGATGACACCTGCCATCGCCTGCACAAGGCACAAGGGGACAGAGCCACGGGCAGCCAGCCGTTGTCTGCATGCCCATGCACCCGTTGCCGGGTTGGGGACAGGTCAGGAACGGTCCGGGTTCCAGGCGACGCCGATGATTATTCGTGCTTTTCTGGCACCTGTCTACCCACCTATCCCTGGCAAATGTCTGAGAAATTGTGTCGGTCTCCTTCAGCAGGAATGTTGCACATCTTGCCGTTATTTTTCCAAGGGACGACGACATGAGTCAACATAAGAAGCTCGGACGACGCATCAGACCGTTAGGATGCAGTCAGTTCTTCCCGCTGTGCTTTCACGGATTCACGCCGGTGTCTTGACCACCTCCACAGCTTGCCTCGCCTTATATGTAGGGCCACTTTGCCTGAACATTATGAAATATTTAAAGATCAGCCATGGTGTCGTTCAGACCCGGCAGAAATCCCGTAACGCCGTTGCGCCGCAGGGCTACCTGAGCCGATTTCAAGTTCAATGCTCGGCCGAACATTCATTGTCGTAAGTTTCGGGACGAACCAAACCCGGAAGCCAGTGGAGTCTTCGCTCGTCCCCCTCCCGTCTCCGAGCACCGCCGGTGGTTGCCGATTTTCCATGTGGATGCCATAGAACCGCTCCGAAACGCACGACTCCATGTTACTGGAGTGGAGTGGCAGGCAATGTTTTCTCTTGCATCCATGAACTTTTTTTTCTTTCGTTCTTTTTTTTCTGTCATCGTGACTGAGCTGCGCGGGCGGTGAAGAACCTCAAGCTGTTGCTCAATAGGAAAGGTGTTCTCAACTTGGGCTTTGCTGCCTTACTTATTCCGGCCCTCTCATCCTACCTATCACGTCTGTATAGCGTGCAGCGTGCCAATCAGACACTAGCCGTGCCTGGCGAACATGTGGTGCATCTTCCTTCCGTCGGCCTCGGAGCGTTCTCGCTCCCTTGCTATCTATTTGTCTGTGATGACCCTATCGAACATAACATTAGATGTCACTGCAGACTGTGGATGTAAAGCCTTTCAACAAATGTCGGTTTCGATGAATATCCTTCTAGTACTTGCTGTACACAAATCTGATGTAATACCATCATTTGATTTTCCATTGCACAGCTGCATTCGAGCCATCATCCCATCCCAGCTTTCGTCTGTTGGACTGTCATGCAAGCACTTTAAACCCCTGCCAGCCAGGTGGCACCAGAGGCCATTAGGGTCCGCAAGGCCGACAAGCGTTTGTAGTGTACAAAATTAGAATACCTTTTACGTACCAGTACACAAATGCCCAAGACTTGCGACTCTGCTACGCACATACAGAACTAGTCGAGTATGATACTTGGTACATGTGCCGGGTTATAAAATATCCAGTAATGGTTTTGAAGTGGATTTTCATGAATCGTAAGGGGGGGATGTGGAAAAGAAAAAAGAAAAAAAATTTGTTTCCAGGTGGAACAACTAGTGCGCATACGTCACTTTATGCGTTTGTTTGTTTGTTTACCTCAGCCCGGTCGTATGGGCAACCGTGCATAGGTAGCTCCTGTCAAGTCGAAAATCTACACTAGTGGTCCGCAACGCAAACCAAACCAAAGCCCAGCTGGGCTCACCAAGGCACACAAGTCATACGGTACGACTTCCATCCGTCTGGCACTTGTGTAGCTTGTCGGGTTCCGGTGATTATGGTGGTCATCAGCTTAGTTGTATTTGGGTATCATTTCGCTCTTCTAGAGCTGCGAAGAAGCCTAGCACGAACCTACAACAATAACCATCAAAAAAGGGAGGGGGTATACGGGGAAAGCCCCGTGCATTAAGGGGACAAATGAGAGTATAGAAGGTTATAAGAATTTCGAATAGACAATTAGAAGCCAAGGAAACGAGTAACAGGAAGACGGAAATAAGGAAATCGGGTATCCTCCACCACATCACCTCCGCGCACTGAATCATATTCGCGACGCCCGCGTTGAATAGATCAGGTCGGCTTATAGAGAAAAAAGAGACATCATAAGAAAGTGTGCCAGTCTAGGTAAGGTATCTAGTGAATCGCCCTGAGCCCCAATTCTAAATCATACTCCATTCCCGAGGAGTTGTTTGTGTGTACTTGCTTTCCGCTTTCTCTGATTTCCGTGTATGATCATAACGACATCTCGTGGTAGCCAGCTTCCGTAAAAATATGAGATTCAACAAGCGAATTTGGGGATGAGGAAAGAACAGACCATGGTTTGTGAGCACCTTAGGAACACCACATGGTTCAGTGAGCAAACTATGTTCATGAAGCTGTAAAAAGGGGAATAGGGGAGTAAATAAAGGAAAGATGTGGAGTGGGTGTAGTGATACCCATTCCAATCGAAGTCTCTCGACTAATCGACCGTGGTGGACGATCACTGATAATCGGCCACTCCAGCATTGTTGGCAGGCCAAGGACGAGGGGCAGATGTGACCTGGGCGTGCTCGTTGTGGCGACGCCCATTGTGTGGAGGTATTGGCGGCGTTTGCAGATTGGCAGAGTGTGAAGTTAACTTGGGAGCTTGGCATAACTTCGATTGTGGCTCGGTGGATGGCAGCGGTGCAGAGGCTGGATTGATGGTGCCGCCAATGATGGACATTGATCCTCTTATGCTTGCTCGAATTGGCTCTCTCCCGACGTCTGGGATAGGGAAGGTGTTTCCGCAATCGAGCTGTCCTGCATTTGACCTCCCAGTGGGCTAGAGATCTGCGGTTCGGCTTTACCTTTGATCATGCTTGATGGTCGCGTGTGACTGCTCCCCCTTCGTCGCTTTGGTGTCTCTTTGATCTTCGTGTGGGTATGACACTGTTCCAGAATAACTATTAGCAATAGGCACTCATTATGGAAGAGATAATTCTTGACATACCTTGTATGCGTGCCTGAACCAGGTGGTGCCCTTTTTCTTGTTGCTCACGAGCGCGACCCAGTCACGGCAGGTACCACAAAAGCCTTCCCATACTTCCGGGTTTCCTTCCATGCGCCTGATCTTTTGAGGTTCCTGGAAACGACATCCTGTCGGTGCACTAATGCCGTGTGTAAAACTCTTGTCGTACCAGTACGCTGAATTCTTGAGCACTAGCCAACGTCCTGGCTTGCAGATTCCGCACCATCCTTCCCTTTTGTTTCCGTGTCCACGTACCCATTTAGGGGTGTAAAGATCACCGTCGAACCTGAGCTCCTGCTCGTGGGGGACCATTTCGGGATCGTCGGGATTCATATCTTCGGGGGGAGGATCGAGTTGTTCCTCCTGAAGGGCAGCAAAGAGATCAGGCGGATCCGAAAGGTCTGCGTAGTGGTGATGCAGAGAGCTCGGGTCCGCATTGCTCGAAAGCATACGGAAGAATCCATGAGAAAGCAGCGGAGGCGGCTGCTCAAAGTGGTGCTGCACGGGGTGGAACCCATGCGATGGCAATTGCGACGGAAGAAGCATGCTACTATGCTGAAGTACTGGACCATTGCTCCCAAGCAGATAGGGGTTCTGCTGTACTGCCTGTAGGTTCCCAAAGCTGAGCGGTAGTTGAGGCTGAGCAACCGTTGGGGAGGAGTGGTGGGTCGGCATCCGCGGCTGAGAGTGGAAGGGTTCTTGCGATCCGTGATGATAGACAAAAGGCGAAGGTCTTCTGCTAGCAGCTGTACCGTAAGATCCCGTGGACCATCTCTTACTCCTGCCACCATCCACGCTGTATGGAGCAGCGCGCGCTCCAGGCCGGGGAGAAGGCGAGGCGCGGCCTCTGCTCTGTGTCCGTACGAGATCCGACCGTGTTTGAGGAGTCATACGTGGAGAAGCGACAGGTGAGAGATGTGTTGAAGACATGTATGAGTTCCTGTTTGAGGTCGGCCGGTAATCGGAGATTGACTGCGCGTCAGAGAACGTGGCGGAGAACTCGTCGTACGAAGGCATGTCGGAGAAGGCACCCGAAGTCGACAAGCTGAACGACGATCCAGACATTCTGCGCTGATTCACTCCGCCATCATAGTTCATCTGGTCGCCTTCCAACTGCTGATGTCCCTGATACTGAAGGTCCATGGGAACGACCTCGTCACTAGTGAATGCCTGACCGATTGCAAGATCCTCGTCCAAAGGTGGTATATCAACATGTTCTCCACAATGTCTCTGCCCCCATGCATCTAATGGAACGGTTAGCTCCTCCACATCATCTTGTTTCCTAGTAGTTTCGGTCGTCTCACCTGTCGTTTGCGGGTAGAACTCGTGAGGCATCGAGGTCGGCGGGAACATGGCGTCGCTTGGGGTGTGTTGCGCCTGCGGGATGTTCAATGAGGGTTGAGTCCACGCGGGTAAAGTTCCAAAGCCACCACCCATACTATATGCGAATCCTTCATGGATGGTAGCCGGTCGTGGCTTGATACTATGAGAGGTAGGGTTTGTCCACATTCCATGAGTAGGCGCCATCGCCTCCATCTCAGTCGTCAATTGGTTCCCAGGCATAGTGGATATGGTATCTTGGTGATGGAAAGACACTTCTTGTCTCTTTGAGAACCCAAAGGAAAAAGGCAGCCGTCTGCGGGATTGCTCCTGGTTTGCGTCCATGGCTATTCGATAGTTTCAAAAAGATCACTCGGGCCCACTGATTGTTGACCGGAAGCCACGGGCACAGCTGTGGATGTTAGCATGAACATACGTCCAGGGATCATGGTTGAACTTACGCAATGTATAACGGCGTTGAAGCTAGCTCAAGGTGGAAAGATGTCTTGACTGAGAAGGGATACAGGTAGCACTGCGAGCCTTTCTGCGTAGGTGAAGTGATCGGTGGTAAATGAGAGCGTTGATGGCTGGTTGATTGGTGGTACGAGCGGTTCGTGTATATCGATTGTTGTTAAGGATTGTTGGACCTCGTCTTTGAGGAATAACAGAATGACCAGAAAGGAAAGAGAAAAGAAAGTTGTGAAATTGCGGTTACCCAAAGTGAAAGGAATGTCAAGGATCCGAAGTGCTGGAAGGAAAGGAGTGGAATGAGTTGTACGAAGCCAACCCGTTAGACCATCACCCACACACTGGTATTCAAGAGGAAGAGAGCCTGCTCTAGGTGTATTATAAGCCAGCAAGCAATAGTAAGGACTGGTGGTAGTGAAAGAGGGTCGGGTAGCCAGTGAGAAATCGAGAATGAATGGACGGGAAGGTAGCAAAAGGAAGAGACCAGTGAGGGGACACTGACATGCCGTAGGTATAAAAGAAATCTATCATATACCAAGACACAAGCACCCCTGGACGGCTAATGGTCCAGCGAGGCCAGGTTAGGGACACCGGTAGCAGCTAAGCCGGATCTCTGATACATGGTACAGGCTTGCCTGCGTCTATGAACGTGGATAACAGGTGGTGCACGAGATGTCTGTATGGCCTGTTCCTTTGGGAAGAAGACAGGCGACAAGGGTAGACGCGGACAGGGTTGCGTGTACCCATCGAAGACGGGGCAGAAGGAGCCATGTATGAGATGATATTGTCCCAAGCAGGGACCAGGTGCCTAGCCTACAGATCAATGCTTTGTTTGGCAATAGATGATGAGGCTAAAACATTGGCAAGTCAGATTCCCAAAGTAAAAGTCTTGATGGCCAAATGGCCCGAAAAGCAATTTGGTTAAAAAGTAGTGAGGAAGCAACGTAGACCAAAGTGGCTACTAGCCCGATTACTAGCCAGGGGCTTGACCGGGACTCTCCCCTACCAGGAAGAGCCACCCATTCTGAGCAGCACAGGGCAAGGGGTTGTCAGAGAAGGCCTCTAAGCCCTTTTCGGTCAGGAGTGTGTATGGTTAGCAAAGTGAAGATGAGATGGGGGTCATCATCCATGTACCCAGAACTGTCTGTGTAGGGCGCGAAAAGATACCGATGGGTGGGTGGCTTGTTTCAGATCCATGCCTTCTTGTCGGTAATAGGTGGCAGCCAGGCCTAGTTTTCCGTGTCTTGGATGATCCGGATTCCAGGCCGATGGTGGTCTAAGCTTAAGAATTGGATGTTGAAAAGGATGCTTCGCGGGAGTAGGATGGTGTACGAGGCTGTAGAGGACTAGAATTTTCCGTCGTTTCCGTCCCTCTGGCGCCCGTTAAATGGAACGTAAGCAGACTGACTTCAGTTTTCAGTCCGGCTTGAAGCAATTAGATCGCTACCGTAAGGCATCAGGGCAAGCCAGGCCGGCCATGTACGAATGGAATAATATTTTGACAGGCGGGCATGGTGCTCAAAGGTTGTGATGACGATTTGCAAGCCTGCCCTTTGCCTCGAAGTCCAGGTTCAACAATCAAGCGTGACTGCCTGTGTATCCAACTTGATCGAATGTTGTTGTTTTGCGAGACAACAACATCGAAATAGCAGGTTGAGACCTAACCCAGCAAAGCAAGCCCCGGTCTCTCAGCATCGGAAGTGCAAAACCAGGACGGACATGGCGACGCGTGTGTGGGTTTCGTGATCGGCAACTCTTCCCAAGTTCGTGAATCTAGGGTTTCGCTACTCAGAAACTTGACACAAGCCATGATGAATTCGTCAGGTCGGCGCTAGAAGCTGAGGTTGCTCAGGGCGAGTCAGCTCGGGACTGGCTGAAGCCTGAGGGCCGAGATTGAAGAAGACAAAATTTGGAGTAAGGATTACGCTAGTGTTGAGAGCGGGTTAGCAGTCTCATTGCGGTCGGAACAAGGAGGTAGCGTAAGCCTCTTTTGGTTCAGTGGCTTGATGCTGGCTGGCCCAGTGTCTAGGGAGGTGTTGAGGGGAAGCAGGGCAGGAGGGCAAAAATAGCAAGTTCCAACATCAAAGGGAGGATGATCCGCGTCACCCGTGTCTTGATCCTCCTTGGGCTTCCTGATCGCTCGAGGCAGGCAGGGAGTACGGTTTCGATTTCGATCCTTTCAAGGGGTTTGGTGGGTTTTGTTCTTGCAAAATTCAATTGAGGAACTTGGGTGGACTCCAAGGACCGGCAGGGGAAACCCCGTCTTGCCGACTGCAGATTGTGGATGCGGGGATTCGGAGACGGCTGCGATTCGTTGGCCGGGCTGGTGGGTGTTGAGCCACAAGCCGACGTTGGAGAGGTTGTTGGAGAGGGAACGAATGACTGAGTCGAGAGAAGGAACAAGGAGATTGTGTGCGGGTTGGTAGGTTGGAAAGAGACTGACTGGTTGGAATTGGGCAAGCGGATGCCCCTGGATGGAAAAGCGAAAGGGCTGTTCAAGCTAATGACACCATGGACATGCCAGGCGTAAGGAAGGAGTGGGCCGGGGGAGCAACCGGGGCTCGCGGGGCAGGAACGTCTCAGATCTGTCGCAGGAGGCAGTCGCACACCACCCTACTTGCAGCACTCTAGCCCCGCATGCCCCGATGTCACCATTGGTACCTTTCTTGGCACGCACCAAAAGAGACGGGTTCACCTCAACCGCCTCCAGACCTCTTGCCTTCGTTGTGTAGGTAAGCGGGGTGAAGAACCTCGAGGCGCTCTTTTGCGCAATCATCCGCCCGCATTCCAAATTCTCCGTTGGATGAGTGACCTCCAACATCGATACCTACATACATGTTGTACAGTTGGTGATACTGTATCCATCCATCCATCTCTCGAGTTCGTATTTCTAGGTCTCACCTCACCTTGCGAATAGTCCACCACCAGCCGCCTCTAGCTCCAGAGAAGTGGAAGGACTCAACAGGAATTAGCGGTCCGAATGACCACTCCGGTCAAAAAAAACAAAACAGAGAAGCTGTTTGGAAGTCATGTCAGAGACAAGTAATCACCCCACGATCGTCAATTGGACCACATCTGGACCACAAAATGACAGCCGCCGATGGGGGGTTTTCTCTAGCGCGCCTCTCACCCACACTGCGCGTGCCCCGTCAATTTCCTCAAAGCAGTGAGAACACTACCCCATTTTGTTTCGTCCTGATTTCCTCTGCCATGGCACAGATCTAGACTATACTTCTTGGGGTCAACAAAACAACAACGGTCTGTCTGTGCGTTGCCTACGCATCACAAGCAATTTCCAAGAATAGCTTCAAGTTTCCCAATTTCTCAAAGTCGGAGGATCAAGGCTTCAAGGCTACAACTTCATCGCCCCGCTTGATCGCCAGTTGCTTCCCACCCTTTCTGCCGCTCGGACGCTAGTGTTTCTTCTAGAGACATTCCACGTCCTTGATCAGTGGAGCTTCTCAGAAAATCCGCTCCAACGCCAGCGCAGTTGTTCTTCCGCTTGGGCGCGCCACGCATAACAATGAGTGCTGTTTTGGGAAATTGTTTGCCGTCTAGCCATAAGGGAACTCGCTGTCTATAGCTCCGAGTTTATGTAAATCATGGCGGACAATATTTCACGCATGACGGCATCCTTCTGTCTCTCCGCCCATGCATGGCCCAGGTATCGACGAGTGTTCCTGTAGGGCAAATGCTCACCGCCAGGGATCACGATACGCGTCTCGCGGGATCACCGAGACCACCAAGACGAGAACCACTTCCGGCAAGATTCCACGTCGTTTTCGTGGCTCACGTCATGGCAATCACGGGTTGTGGTGAAAACGCATGTCTATGGCCGAAGAGTACAAAGAAAGACGCTCAAGCCAGAGCCTCGGACTATGAACGCAAACAGACGTATATTCCGCTTACTTAATGTCTTGACAGTATGTAAGGCTTGCTTCCCAACGCAGGAACCAGATGCTCGGATGACTCATTCGAGTGTCCCATGGCTCTCGCTCACGTTGATATACCTTGATCCGATTGGTCATGCTGGCGCAAGTGTAAAATCACAGTTCACCAATGACCCGACACTCGGTGTTTCCAGTACGAGAAAGCATCAAAACCATGTAAACAGTCTCCTGAAAAGGCAAATTGACCCATGAACAATCAACGGAATCGGTTGAACCGGCATCTCTATACAGTTAAGTGTCTACATACCTTCTAGACGACGGGATCCTAGCCTGGTTCGATCCATGTCCGGGCCTCTGCGCTCGAACATCAGCTCCCGTTCAGACGGATCTGATAAGATGAAGTACTTTTTCTCAAGGAAAAATTTGTTGAGGTCAGGGGCATGGGGATATACTCGCTGTTTTGGTTCAAGTGTCTGGAAACCTTCAGCACTTGATGTCGTTCACACTCTCGGGAGGCCGCCGTTAATACCACCATGAATTTCCATGCTTGTACCGAGCTTATGTAACGCCAGGGTCTTCTGTCATGGAAGTTAAGATAGTCCGTGGAAGGGGGCAGAGCGTGGATTACTGGTACACGCATTACCGTTACAGGTAGTAGTAATGCTGGAAACATGGAAGCGGAAACAAGAAGTGAGTATCGTAAACGTCCATGTGTTTACAATCAATAACAAAACTTCTTCTTACGAGACAGACCCAAAGAAATCATTTCTTCCTCCTCACAGATCACATCACTGTCATAGTGAATAGTACCTTATATCAGATCACTGAACACACAACGGTGACCTCCCATTTCGGGGCATAACGAAGCCATGATGAATTGGCTGGGGCAGCTATAAACAACACTCGCTCGTTGATGATCAGGCCAATGAGGTTAAACGTCCCTAAGCACAGTATACTCAGAATTGCGATTTCGAAGGCGAATATCACCAATTGTTTCGATAGACTGAATAAGAATTGCTGAGATACGTTATCCCGCCCCATCTATCCTCTTTTTTCAAAGATCCAGTGACTGGCCCCTGTTTAATTAGGAGTCATACAAATTGGATTCCAAAATTGAGGCGACTATGTTCAGGATTGAGGTTTGATTCCGTGAGATAAGCAAGTGATTTTATCTAAGCTGTCTCACAGGCTGCAAGCCATATTGTAGCCTCCGTTAGCGCTGGCACATAATTCGGATGATTTACCATTATCATGTTGAGTTATGTAGCCTCCGTCTGGGCAAGTGTGATGTTTCTTGGTATCTGCGTAAAAGAGCTAGCTCATGGAAGAAGCAAGAGGTAATATAGCCTTTACAAAGCTTTCACAAGCAAGACTCGAACGAGCATTTGATAAAGGCAAGCTGAATCATATGCTTATCTTGATGCAATGCCCTCCTATTACGATCCAGTTTCAGTTCAGTTGACCAGTTCCCAAGTGATGACTACCTATAGCTGGACACAAACCTCTCGACGGTGTAGATCTAGTTGCCATGCTGCCCTCCCGCCCATTCTTCATCCCAACTTTTCGACTGGGCCTGCGACCTAGAGGGCATAGCCCGTAACCTAGCACCTGCGGGAGGGTATATGTATCTTTTCCCCCGTCATCACTTCCGTGGCAAGCTGGTTGGATGGCGTAGCAGTTTCGGTTGTCGCCCGCTCCTTTACTTTCCTCCCTTCCGCTCCTCCTTCTTTCTCCCGAACCCGCGCGTTCAATCCACAGCTGTACAGCCACTCACTACTTTCCCGCCCTTTTTTTTTTTTTTTTTTTTTTTTTTTTTTTTTTTTTTTTTTTTTTTTTTTTTCTTTTTCTTCCCTCGTTGTAATTGCTCTGCATTTGCTTTTCTCTTTACACTCTCTTGTTATTGCTGTCTGTCATGCGTTGTCCCCAAATCGAATAAAAGTATGCGTTCAAGGACAGGGCTTTGGACATCGATGGTCACATGGATGCTGGAAGCAAATTCCGGGGCCACGGTTATTGTTCAACAATTATCAAGTCTTTCCAATTAGTCTTGTTGGCAACGATTGACATGAATTGGCCACGCCTTAAATTCCAGCCATTATGTCGAGTACCCAAATGCAATGATACACAACGAAGTGTTTTTCTTGGCCATTTTCCCTCATCACATTCCAAATCTCATGCCGCATGTGAACAGCAGAAGTTGTTATTTAATATGGAGGAATACTATTTCCCACTTCCTACCCATTAGAGAAAATTTCCATCTTTCGGTCTATCTTGAAACAACCAGGCCGACGAACATGTCATTCCAGTCCGAACACTCCCGACACCACACACCCTCACCTCAACAGACTCGAAACCTCCACTTTCCCCTTCTCCACCGAGTCACGGACACTACAATGTCCGGGCCCCCACCGAGTATTGTATGGCAGGCCCCATCCCTCATTACTTCTGGTTATTGATCCTCTTCCATACCTCACTCTCCGCCTCCGCCACCTTTGCCCCTGCATCCTGAATCCATTTCTTCGCCGAGTTCCAGACCCCTTCGTCGTCGTCATCGCCACCGTGACCGTGACCGTGACCGTGACCTCCTTGAGAAGCAGCATATTCGTGCGCTGCGCGCTGCGCCTGGTTCATATCCGACGCCATGGCGTCTTGTTGGTACCCGGGAGGATGAGAGAGGTCTCCTCCTCTGGATCCAGATCCAGCTCTAGGTCTGGGTCCAAGGCCAAGCTCAGCCGGGGAAGCACCAGCAGGGAGATAGGTCGGAAGGGTTCTCGTGGGAGGTGGTGGGATGGTGGTGGTAGACGTTCCGTGTTGGGAGTAGTTGTAGGAAGCGGTTGGTGGGGGGATGGACATTTGGTGCGGTGGACTGGTTATTGGGCCATGTGGTGCTGGTGCTGCCGGATTCCCTGGGTAGTATTGAGACGATGGTTGCGGGGGGAGATGGGCATATTCAACGTCTTGCCCTTGGGTGGCTGCTGTGCCAGTCCCCGCGGTTTGGGCGGGAAGACTCGGGACTGCCCCGGGCTGGGGAGGTGGAGGAGTCCGGTCGGAGGTGAGGTAGGTGGGCGTAGGCTGGTTGAGAGTGGCGGTCCCGGTGGGTTGGGGATCGGGGCCGGCGTTGGGAACTGTTCCTGAGCTTGACTGCCCCTCTGGAGTTGCGGTCTTGGTGTCCTGCGGATCAGACGCTTTTGCTGCGTTGATGGGGCTGTGGATGTGCAAGTTTATCGGAGGCATATTTTCAAGTGGCTTGATACCTAAGATCGTGAGGATGTAAACAGGATGTGCGGTCAATGGAGCCGAGTGAATCACTGGATTGTGTGAAAGTGTATCAGTTGCAGTGAGATGTTAGTACGTTAGATTCTTCGTGGGCGGGGTTATCCGAAGATATGAATAAACGCCAAATGTGTAACGTGGCCGTTCTAAGGTGAGTGTAGGTAATTGTCTCAGTTTGCTCTTTATTATCGTGTCGTTGCCTGCTGACTGGCCATTAATCTCACTTGCCAAAGGGACAGATGCGCTTGCGCGAGACACTCGCGATTCGCGAAACGGTCTGTTAAGCTGCTGTGAGCAATGCCGATCAGGAAACGACGTCATTGTCAGCTGGCAGGTCAAGGTTAATTGCCGGCCGCGAATGGATAACTGCCGTGCAAGGGCGCAGACTGCAGCTGGCCTTGATTTCCACTAGAGGTAGGCATTGAACGGCCTTTGTTTGTTCGAGACGAGCCTCAAAGCACAACGTGATTCAACATCGGTCTGTATGCGGTCTTGATGCACTGGCTGTAGGACGATCAACATGTGGACGTCAGCCTCAGCTTCTGAGTGCAGAGGTCGAGACTTGCCGTGATCTAGGTACATGTAGGCTCGGACATGCAAGCAAATTGTGTGAGCGAAAGGAGCGAAATTCAAGTGAACGCTGCAAGTGTGAATGCAGTCGAAAAAGTCGGTGCTGTCGAGGTGAACCTCACTCCGCGGTCGCAGCCCGGAATGGCACGAACAGCTCCATTGGAACCCCCCCTGCTCAGCCTTTCAAAGAAGCTAAACCTGGACGGCGTTAGCGCGGTACTGAAAGCCCCACGACGGACCAGGGACAACGGGGTACCTTAACTGGGGAGTGCATGTCTGGCCAGCCTCGCAGGACGAATAACGTTGTGGATGGTTTCCAAAACATTTGTCTATCGTGTAGTGTTGAGTGCACCGGCCGCCAAACTCAATCAACCCCAAATTTATCGGACTGACCCGTCCGAATCAAGGCGAACCAAGAGAACACAGACGAGGCCCACGTCCGCCGTCAGCATTCCCGGCCGGCCGACCGCACCGCCGCAACTCCCACTTTACCTCAACACCAAAACACGGAATCGGTACATCGACAGCATCACCAATATCACCACCTCCACCCCTCCACTTGGCGCGCACTTGCGGAAAACGTCCCGCTGCACCGTGACTGCCACCGCCTTAATCGATCAACAAAGCGCGTGATCTTTCGACTATAGGTTTACCGCGCATTTAGACCACTCGATTGGCACATCCAGGGAGGCATCAACATTCAATATGGTCGGGAAAGTCAGCGAACGCGTCCTCCTGCGGGAAGGTAGGTGCTCTCGCTCTTCAACCAATGTCTTTGTATGTTCAGTCACTAATAGCTACGGTCAGGGTTGGAGCGCACCGACAATGGCATGAAGCAGACAAGTTGGCCCGACGTCGTTCCCATCAACCAAAAGAACTATTACACGTACGGACCATACCCTCACGTCCTAATCCTCACCAACGAAAAAGTCCAGCATGCTGACAATGCCTTCGCAGTGATTACATGAAGCGAGATGACCAGATCCTTTCGCTCAGACTCCAGAGTGAACTCAACAGAGACCGGCTTGTACAAAGTGCCAAGGACCGCGATCGCGCCCTCAACTACACCAATGGCGAAGTGCCTCTCCCTCTCGACGAGCTACAGGGCGATGATGGGCCGACAGCCACAGCCTATGCCGACCCGTCCAAGGTCATCGTTATACACCCCGGAAGTCAAAACCTCAGAATCGGGTTCGCGAGCGACGCGCTTCCGAAAACCATCCCCATGGTCCTCGCGACAAAGTACCCCCAGACCGAGTCGGAGATGTACGAAGCGCTACCGAGGAGGCAGTTCGAAGCTAGGACGACCGAGCAGCAATACGGCGAAGACTGGTCCAAGAAGTACCAAAAAATGTGCAACGACCTCAAGACCGACATGCGCGCAAACAGGCGCAAGGTTCTCCCCAACTCAAAAGATCTGGTTCTCAACTTCAACCGCCGAACAGAGGCCGAAGTCATCTCTACCCACAATGACCCTCTTCAAGTAGACTGGACCGATGTCAAGACTCTGGAAGACCCGGATTCGAACGCTTCCGTGTTCATTGGACAACAGGCGTTACGCATTCCGGACGATTCCAACCCCAAATTCAAGCTATGGTGGCCGATACAGCACGGCTGGATGAATGAAGACGACTATCCCACAAAAGCCCATCTATTCAACGACATCGAGACCTTACTTGATCGTGCCTTACGGTATGATTTGGGTCTCAAGCGAAGTACCGAATGGAAGCAGTATAGCTGCGTCTTCGTCATCCCAGATTTGTACGACAAGAAGTATGTGGAGCAAATATTACACCTTTGCGTGGAGTGGTTCGAGTTCAGCAAGATTTCGTTCATACAAGAAAGCATGGCGGCTTCATTCGGTGCCGGCTACACACAGGCCTGTGTTGTAGACGTCGGCGCACAAAAAACGTCCATCACCTGTGTTGAGGATGGACTGTGCATCGAGGACTCTCGCATCAACCTGAAATTTGGCGGTTACGATGTCACCGAAACATTCATCAAGATGATGCTTTACGACAACTTCCCATACCAGGAAATCAATCTACGCCGAAGATACGACTTCTTGTTAGCCGAAGAGTTGAAGATCAAGTACTGCACGCTATCACAGGCCAACATATCTGTCCAGAACTCCGATTTCCACGTGCGCGCCCCCAACCAGCCCACTCGCAAATACCAGTTCAAATTCTACGATGAGGTTATCCTGGCCCCTATGGGATTTTATGACCCTTCCATCTTTGACAACAGCACCAAGCTTAGAGGCAGGAGGAAGCTCATCGAGAGGTCGTATAACGCCTACGATGTAGAAGTCCCCGATGACCCTACATCAGCTGCCCAGTTCGCCGTCCTATCTCACATCGCTCCCAGCCTTAATGCACACACCCTTGCGGGAGCGTTGAATGATCTTGCTACGCCTGGCAAGGAGAAGCCGCTGTCATTCAATTTCTTGGCGCGCGGCGACACCGCGGCTGGAACCCCTGGCACATCAAAGGCGCCATCGCCTGCTCCTGGAGAGGGCGCCAGCACTCCCGTTCCACCGCCGTTCGTCTTCGGAGCAGGCGGCGGTAGTCCCGCCCCCAGTGGACGGAATGGCACTACCCCAGTACCCACGAGTGGGGCCGCTGCGGCCCCCAATGGCACTGGCGCTGGCAGCAACACATTAGCCGTCCCCGGCATGCCAGCCGAGGCCGTTCAGCGCACTCCCAAGTCGATGGCCGCAGAGCGTGACGCCGTGCTGCCAGTAGTGCCTCTTGACATCGCCATCATGACCAGCATTCAGAACGCCGCCAAGGGTGATGAGAAGAAGGTCAGGGAGCTGATGGGAAGCATCATGGTTATTGGTGGTGGTGCCAAGATCCCGCACTTTGCGCCCTATCTTGAGGAGAAGCTCAAGGCACGTCGTCCGGACCTGTCAGAGCGGATCTTGGTGAGCAGGAGCGCGAGGGAGATGGACGAACAAGTTGTTGTTTGGAAGGGAGCGAGCGTCTTTGCGAAGCTGTCGACCAACGATTCGTGGATTACGAACTATGAGTACAAAATGCTGGGGTCCAGGGTCATCTACCACAAGGCGCTGTGGCAGTACTGATTGGTCTCTCTGTCATCATGTGATTCCTTGGGGTTTAGGCAGGGCTGGATAGAACATGTGTACATTTTGCGTTGTTTTGTTTTTCCTGGATGCAACAGATATGGATGGATGTTGTGCGAAACAGCTAGGTACTATGAAATGGAGTTTACGGGCGTTATAGACAGGTGATAAGAAGAGGTGGCACTGTATGGTCAAAGACCTGAAGATGGCTGTGGATTTTACAAAAATTTGCTCAGTCCCGAGTGTTAGAGACTGCACAGATGTTTTTCGAACCACGAACCTTGGAGCCATGGTGTTGACGTCTGTAAAACCTCAGAATGCCGACCGAGTTGTAGGAAGATCATTCCACAGACTCGGCTCAACAGCGGCCTCAAAGAAAGAGGCACAAGACAAGACGTGGCACCCCACTTGAGGAAAGCTTGATTGTATACCGACAGGGGGTCTTTTTTCAGGGGCTCCATTCCACCAAAAAACCCAACCGTGGATTGGCTGGCGCATCGTGAGGATGGGGGAGGCTTACCGTAGGTAATGTACCTTCTTAATGTACCTCTAGCGTTCGATGGCCGATGCAGAGTGCTTTTCCACTTTCCCAGCCACCATCAAAAAGCCAGCGGACGAAGAGAACGAATGCTGACAGAGCGGGCCGTCACTATCACGCCCGGGTACGTTTCTAGCAAGGAATGGGCCCAGACGTCTCGTATCGGTGCCGGTTTCTCGTCATGTTTTCTTGCTCGATGGGGAGAGCTTCTTTTTCATGTGCTTTTTTTTTTTTTTTTTTTTTTAATTGCTCAAGTACTCCTCCCTTTACTTCGCTACCTACTACCTAGACTAGCCGGTACGCTACACCGCAACGGCTGCTGCCTACGTGCTGCTATAGCTCCAAACAAACCGGCCAAAATGCACTGCAGTGCTGTAAGTGGCATCCATCGAAAATCGGGGGTCGGTATTCGGTAGCGAAAGGAGCGGGAAAGGAACAAAAAGCTTCGAACGTTGCTGTCGAAGGATTGGACAGGCTGGGGCTCAGCGCAGGGGTGTGTGTGACCGTGTGGGTTCCTCACCCAAGCAGCAGCCTTTCCATTTGGCTACCTCTCTTTCCTTAAGTTCTGTTACATTTTTCAACTTTGCTTAAACTCCCAAGAGTTTTTTTTCTTCTTTCGGTTGTGCAAACTTCCTTCCTGGGACGGTCGTAAGAGTATGTCGGGTGCCTTCGTCGCGGCCTAGGCATATATATTACGTTCAAGGTATCTTTCCGACGGAATTTACAAAGTCATCTCACGAGGATTTATACGATTTAAAGGTTATAGACGGGAACTGCATCGAACACCGCCATCACCACGACTACGAAGCTGACGAAGAAAGAGTTTACGAACGTACGACCTTATGAGACTGGACGACTTAAACTGAGACAAAAAGAGTATATGACACCGGCCGGCACGACTTGCGAGGGCACCGAACACATATACAAAAGACGAAACAGAAACACACGCTTTCGGGTTCGCCCAAGCTAAAGCAGCTTCATTGACACGCAAGGCTTATACCGGTTACGGCACCCATTCAGCTCACACGGCGGCTCGGTACCGAATTCGGGTTTCAGAAATCTTCATCATCACCAAGCCCCAGCTATTTATCGAGCCTTCTTCTTCTTCTTCTTCTTCTTCTTCGTAACACCAACGGCATTGAAACTCAAGGGGCAAGGATATCAATAAGACCAATCAGCCATGGATCAGTACCTGTTTCAGACGTATCTCGACCAGTGCTCATTTGTGGAGGAGACTACCTCATGGATAGAAATCTTCAATTATTCGGTAAGCAAAAAAAGGACGACAAGTTATTAGGATGGAATATCGTGGTCAGAGTGGGGGTAAAGGGGGAGAAAGGACGCGGCAGCGGTTCGGTGTGGTGTAACGGGATGGGAGAGAAGGCGAGAAGATGGGTATTTGTCTTGGTGGGGAGTTGATACGGTGAAAGGTATTGAGATCATGAGAGGAGATAAATGAGAAGGGTTGCAGGGCCCTTGGGCGGGTGAAGTTGAACGAGCTGTCTCTCTGATGTGTATTCGGCAACTGATCCGTGAGGAGGAAGATACGTTTCAAGAGTTGAGTTATAAACTCGAAAGACGGGAACTCGAGAGGGAACATGAGTAAAGTAAACATCTAACGTGGTTGGTCTCATAGGATGAAAGTCTCAACACCATTGAGGAGCATCGATTCGGGCCTGATGAGCGACGAGTCGAGTTTCATAATTTTTTGCGTCGGCGGGTAAGAAGCAATCCTGGATTTGGAGGGCTTTGATAGCAATAAGCTGACATTTCCGCTTTCCAGGGTGTCTTTGCTCCTAGAAAGTTGAAGGAAGGAGTACGACTTTTAAACGGAATTCGTCTAATGTGAGTATCATGGTGCAACTGAATTACATGAAACGCAACCGGACTGTCCTAACAAACTGTCCAGAGTACAAAAGGATGCGCAAGATAATGAAACTTTTGCACCTCTTCACATTTCTTTAAAGCCTGAGGACTACTCAAGCATGGTCGAGATCATGCGGTTACCTTACCGAGCCATAGAAGGAACCAGCGTCGTCGGCCCCTTTTTCTGGGCAGCTCTGGACCACGACGACAAAGATCCTCACTTGCGTATGTTCAACCCACCCTGTATCCCTCTCGTCCCTAGCCCTCACACACCATACCATCATACCACTCACGTTCTAACGAGCCGCCCGTTCCTTTGAATACAGAAATCATCTTCCGCAAATCCGACGTCCGGAAAAAGGGCAAAACCCGGGGCTGGGAACTGATGCTCTCGCACTCCTTCAACACGGGCCTCACCTCGGGTTTCGTCAAAGGCACGCCCTCCTCCGACATCAACGTTTCCATCAAGACCCTATTGGCCTGCGCCTCACAAGCCATGCACCCCTTTTTGCTCCCCATGATCGTTTTGTCTCACGACATCTCCATTAAGACGGACATGAAGCAGCGCGAAGCGCGCGAGTGGTTGCGCCGGCTCGAGCACGCCGTCAGCATGCGACAAGAAATCCTCGAGGAAGAGTCCAACTACATCAAAGACACCATGGTCAACCTGGACCAGATCAACCGCGACCTGGTGGAGTGCCACTCCCAAGTCCTCTGGAAACGCCCGCAAGCCTATCAAGAAATCGTCCGCAGTTTCGGCATCGCGCTCGATAGTTTCTGGTCTCTCGCTGAATCCCGCCCCGAAACCTACGGCAAAGAGGCTTTCAAAGCCCTGCACGAGAGCTTCGTCTCCCGCCTGGATTTCTTCCAAGCCAAACTCAAGGGGATCGAGAGCTACGCACACATCACGCTCGAGCGTCTGTCCATCCAGCGCGCGGCGCTGTACAACATCATCGCCCAGAAGGAGTCCAAGCTGGGTCTGCAAATGGCCGTCGACCAGCGCAAGCTGGCGCACGCCGCCAAGCGGGACGCAACCTCTATGAAATCCATTTCCCTCTTGGGCGCGGTATTTTTACCCGCCACACTACTGGCGTCCGTCTTTTCCATGACCTTTTTCAACTTCCAGAACCAGGATTCGGGGGATTCGTCGTCGTCCGCCGCTGGTGACACCAATCCAACCTCTTCTGGGGGCAGTGGAAGCGGTGGTTCAGTCTCCCCCACCATCTGGGTGTACTTTGCCATCACCATCCCTGTGACGCTCATCATCGTCGTGACCTGGCTCCTGTGGGACAAGAGGCGCGAAGCCGAGTACGCCAAGGTAGATGAAGATATCGAGAAGGGCATCGATGCGATGGAGAAGAAGATCATGGCAGAGATGAGGAAGAGGACGATGAGCACGGCTAGGACGTGGAATGTTGCCAAGAGTTGATGACAGTAGGAGGAGCGGGAGGCGGCTTGGGCATATAAGGCATATCACAACGAGTGACGATGATGTGACGAAAGAGAGATTCATGGAATAACAACCGTTGTGTCATTTTTGGATTGAAGAAAGGAAAGGGAGTTGTGGGAAGGATAACATATCAAGGACTGTGAATACCTTGACGTGATATGAGTTATGATACCTTCGGGCATTGGGGCGGCTACATAAGTTATGACTTACGTATACATACCATGGCTACTTTATTATAGATGATCAATGGCATCTTCCCGCGAAGCGCTTTTGCGGCTTTGTGAACTTATTCTTATATGTGTGTAAGTCGAGGTGGAGTGTATCAGGGACCATCATCGAGGCATCTCACCTCGGGATTCAATAAGGTTATTTCCACATGGCAGTTGAAGATCACCGCCATTGAAACCGCAAATAATCATGGGTGCAAATGTTATTTCTCTCCTTCTTTCATTTTCCCATCAGTGATAAGCCAAACACGGCCAAAATACTCCTCACTCTAATGTTGTCTGCCACTTGCCAGTCATTGCATCACTTGGACCATCAAACCCATTCCAGGGCGCCATCCGTATGATTTGTTTACACAAAAATAGGGGGACACAATAACAACCTGAAAACGTAAACGCAAGCAAAACTGGCCACCCCTTTTGCAGCACCCAGTTCCCGCCCAGACTCATCCTGCGTTGACTGTGCATATCCAAGGCAAAGAGTCCATTTCTTCCGTCTCATAACGCATGCTACACGTATCCACTGCTGCTGCTGCTGCTGCTGCTGCTGCTGCTATACTTCTGGCTTCGTATTGAGCTTTATACAAAAATGGCCACGGTTCGGAAATCCGCTGGTTTAACAAGCCCATTCATTAGTCTTGCCGATTCTCTGGCCTCTGCGTAGTTGATCGGCCATGTCGCAGTGCAGGTGATGGAGAATCGATTATACACCATTCGAGCCCACAGCCGTCGAGGCTCGAGCTGCTTAGAAGTCCGGGAACAAGTGACCGTACCTAGTCTGTGTTAGCATCCAGATACGGCATCACCATTTGGTACCAATAACTTACTCATCTGGCCCTCCTTGTCCATACCGCTCAGTCTCCTCAGGGTACCTGTCGAACTGGCTCGCGTCTCCTGCTCCGGCCTTGACTGGAGGAGTATACGGCGCGTCGATATCTTTCCTCGCCAGTCGGTCCCAAGTCACCTCGGCAAACCAAGGGTGTGACTTGACGTCTTGCGGTCCGCCGTACAGGTTTCCAAGACGCTTGCTCAGGTCTGCCGTGATCAACCGCTCCAACAAGTCCTGCGCGTCGGGGTTGACCCACTGAGGGTATCTGACCTTGCCCTTGAGAATGTTTTCGTAGATCTTCATGGGGGAGCTGCCGTCCCAGAAGGGCGTGTAACCGCAAAGCATTTCGTAAATCAAAATACCCAGGGACCACCTGCGCGGTACTCATGTAAGCAATTGGTGGAGCGTTGGAGAGGCTGCCGCATGAATGTACTTACCAATCTACCGACTTGTTGTAACCCTTGTTGGAAACAACCTCTGGTGCCAAGTAGTCTGGAGTACCACACAGTGTCCACGTCTTATCTGGAACCCGCTTGGCGAACCCGAAATCCGTAATTTTGAGGTGGCCGTGGCGGTCAAGAAGCAGGTTCTCGGGCTTCAGATCTCTGTAAATGATATCCCGCGAGTGCAGGTACTCCAGGGCCAAGGTGACTTCTGCAGCGTAGAACTTGGCAACGGGGTTAGGAAAGCGCTGTATAATCCGTGTCAGCCGCACATACTCCATGGGCCAACAAACCCATCTAACTTACTCCGGACTTCCTCAGCAACGAGAAGAGCTCGCCGCCCTCTACGAAATCCATCACCATGTAAAGATTCTTGGCATCCTGAAATGTTCCCCATAGCGTGATCAGGAAGGGGTGTTTGACCTCCGCTAGCATTCTTCTTTCGTCATTGGTGTGCTCGACCTGCTTCATCTTGACCACTTGGGCCTTCTTCAGTACCTTGACGGCATAGAAGCGCGAGTTATGCCGAGACTGGACCAGGTGGACTCTGCCGAAGCTACCGGTGCCGAGGGTTCTCAAAATCTCGAAGTCGGCGAGCGAATACTTGCCCTTGGTGGCCCTGGGCTGACTAGGCTGAGGCTGCAGTTGCAGTTGCTGTTGCTGTTGCTGCTGCTGCTGCTGTTGGGGTTGTTGTTGTTGCTGCTGCTGCTGCTGCTGCTGCTGAGCTTGAGACTGCTGATGGTGATTATGCGGCGGCTGCAGTGTTGCTTGCTGTGGTTGAGGCATGGACGGCTGGGGCGTGTGCGGCGCGGGCAGGCCGCCGTTAGCTGGGGATACAGATGGAACGTATCTAGACGACTGTTTGTAGGTGGCGGGTTGGTCGTATTGCGGTTGGTGTATGAGGTTGGAGATGGACGGGAGGTTCTGCTGCTCCGCTGCTCCAGGAGAGGGCGTGTGCTGAGGGGGATAGGCATGCTGTTGAACCGGGAGAGTATTCATGTTGACGGGGTTTTCGTGCGGCAGAAGAGTGGGCATATGGGTTGTATCGATGGTGGTAGTGCCGGTCGCGACTGACTGGGAAGTGGCCTGCGACGCACTCGAGTGCGACGAGATCCGGGCGATGCTGCTCTGGATGGAGTTGCGGTCGAGGCTCGAGGCCGAGGTAGGGGTGACTGGGCTGGTTGGGTGGCTAGTCGAAGAAGGGTCCGTATTGCCCTCCTTCGTCCGTTTCTTTTTGAGGAAACCGAGGCTAGGCAGAGGCATCAAATCCTATTTCCGGGTCGACAGCCGAGCGAGACCTGGGCCGTCTAATTGGGGAGCTGGAGACGGGAGCCGGAACCGACACGCGGAGGAGAGAATCGAGCAGGAGTGGTGCAGGCGGCGGCGGCGGCGGGCTGTCGCGACTGCAGGATGAATGCAAGGCAATCAGTAAACACGGAGCTTCAATATGGGAGAAAAGCCAATTGGCACATGCGGCTGCTGCAGCGCATGGGGAACGACCCGGCTCGCTCTGATCTTGAGGTTGGGTAACACCGGAAGAAGCAAGAGATAGAGAACGACAAGCTCGAGGAGTGCAAGGGCAAACGCTCTGATCAAGGCAGTCGCGGTGCAACTCCGGCTGCGGTATCGGTGCTTTCTATCTCCCACCAACACCTCATGACCTCATTAACCGTGGAGTGACATGTGCTTTCTTTGGTTGACATTTTGGATATCAGCTGGACACATACCAGACAACAACTTGCTACCTTTGACGGGACTACCCAGCGAGCGCTCGCGTGTAGCTGAGAGGATGGAAGGTCGAAATAAGCCAGAAAACGAATAGAGTAGTTGCGTATATGTTATGGTGAAGTGTGGTGTGGTGTGTGTGGTGTGGTAAAGACTAGCAAAAACGAGCAAGGCGGAGAGGTACGGCGACGTCAGGAATTGAAGCCGGAGGTAAGGTAGTGAAGTCACTCAGCGTTGCCCTACCTTGCAGGTTGCTTTTTCCTTGTAAGGCGGGACCGAGTGCAGTGTATGTAGTAAGACTGGGGTGAGATGTTGTGAACTGGAACCCTGTCCGTTGTCGAGAAACAAGCTGAGCTGTTGCTGTTGCGTGTTGTTGTACGGTCGAATTGGAGGAGCTGAGAAGAGGGATGTCGAGTCGAGATTGAGGGGCAACCAAAGACAACAGAAAACAAGAAGACGGTTGACAAAGAACGGGAACGGTCAGGACGACGTGTGCGCTCTCTTGGGATCGATCGCCTGTCCTATTGACATAGGGCGACGTCTCTCTGCCTTTGTACACTAGTAGAGCCACGCACGCCCCAATTGCGATTTGGTAGCTGAATCGGGGGCCCGAGGGGGGGAATGCTGTTCAAAGCTCTTTGCTTTCGTTCGTTGCCTTTGGCTTTTCTTGTTTGTCTCCCAAGTGGAGCGCGCCCCTGGTTAAGTTCCCCTTGCTGGAGACGATCCCGTCCCTAGAGAGACTGGTTACTTGGCCGAATCCAACCATCTCCTTTCGAAGACGTCAAAGAGAAGCGATACACCCAGAAACGAGATACCCCAGTTCACTCATGATACATATAAAGCCAAACGCCTCGGCTGCTCAGTCAAGTTAAACAAGCAGCGGACATGTCAAGTAAGTATCAAGCCCAGATGCCCGTCTGAGTCGTCTCTGGAACAAGCTGTGTAGGTGCGACTGCGGGGACACACTTCCAACTTCACAGCTGGAACTGAAGCAATGGTTGAAGTCACTGCGGGACCTCGTGGAATCCCAGTGACATTGGAGGGGCTTGAGGAGCCGCTGGTGATGGTGTAAAAGGTGGGGTTTCCTCTAACGTTTGGAAGGGATCGTCCCTGTTGGATAGACTTGTCGAGTTGCCCATCGCATCGTCATCGCCTTCGGGATCCAATCACGTCACGTTGGACTCGTGTCCAGGTCCAAATTTGGGGCGTCAGAAATGGCCCTCAACCCCGAGCTCCCAAAGTATAGAAATGTAACCGTCATGTCAATTTCTTTTTCCAATTTTTTTTATTTTTTTATTTTTTTTTACAACCGACCATTGGTATTCGGGGGAGGCTACACTACCTGGCCCCGTCATTATACCTACCGGTATACTGTGTAGGATCCCGCTTGTCGGCAGTTTTGAAAAAAACAAAAAGCAGAAACCCTGTGCGTCGGAGGACACAAATGTGGTTTTCTATAGTCACCTCCAGGATCAGGGCCTATATATCTCGGGGACAGGCAAGGGCAGAGATGTAAGAAAAGTCCCATTTTGACCGTCGCAATGAGTAAAGGGCAGTCGTCTCGGAATACCGCCTCTTCTGTAGAAGGGCAAGCTCGAAATACACCCAAAAACCAGGAAAAAAAAGAAAATAGACCGTCCGTGCCACCCGCGCCAATGCAGAAACTGTATGTGCGAATCCTCATCCTCTTTTTTTTCTCTTCTCCTCGATTGCGTATCGCGATTCACCACCACCGTCCCATCCCATCATGATCCCCACATGTCATACCCCTTAAAAGCGATGGCTGCGCTGCTGCTTCGTCCTGTACGCCGTGTATCCGACATAGGCGCCTCCCACCGCAAAGAAGAAGAAGAGCGTCTTCACCAGGAACCAGGTCCAGCTACCCTCAGCTTGCTGATCCGTCACCTTCTTGCCCTTGCCACTACCAGGGGTGGACTTGGTCGGCGGTGCGGTAGTGTAGAGGTTCCTGGCGTTGATGGAGATGATGTCGTGGTTGTCGCTAAGCTCGCCCGTCTCGGCCGTGAAGCCGAGGTAGGCCACGGGAGGAATCGTGGGCGGCTGGTTGGTCTCGAAGCAGAGGAGCCACTCGCCCTCGTTCTTGTACTGCAGCTCGAGCTTTAGGTACTTGTCCTGAAAGTGCGACAGCTTGAACTTGGTCGGCACGTTGGCGTGCCTGATACCGCGGGCCGAGCAGCCAGCCAGCTCCTGGTTCTTGCCATCCGTGTCCTTGTCGTAGGAGGTCCGTCCGTCGCCCACCATGGCCATGACGTAGGGGAAGACGACGCCGGGCCGGTTGTTCTTGTACGTGTCGAAGAAGATGCCGAGACCCTCGAACTTGTCCTGGTTGCCGAAAACAGGCCCCTCGCGCCCGCGCTCCTTGGTGAGCCACATGGCAAACCCATCGCCGTAGAGCTGGTTCTTTCCGGAAATCTTGAACTCGACCTCGATTTCCCAGTTGGTTGCTGTCAAGGGCACCTTGGACCAAAGGTTGCCCATCTGCGACGGCCGGTCGGATGTGAGACGAATGTACCTTGGGAAGAAGTACGGTTAGCGATGTCTTCCTTGGCGACGTTGGACGGCTTTGTGCGGGAGCGACTCACTGGTCTGTACGGATAATTGTGTCTCCTCCAAAGTCATACCACCGACTTTGCGTGTCTGAGTCCAGGTATGGCTGTAGGTTGTGAATAACACGGCGTTAGTCATGGTCAAGACAAGTCCCAAGTCCCTCGTGGGATGCGGAGAGATCATGTGCGCATACCTGGTTCAAGCTATGCGTCCTGAGCTGTTGGAAGAAAGCGTTAGTACCATGCGCAGAATGGCGCGAGGCAGAGCTTCCGGAACTCACTCCAATGCTCTTCACGTTGCCCTCTGCATCTTGCTGCACAGCACCGTGTGCCGCCGTGGCCAGCCACAAGGCCGACAGTGCCGACGTCAACAACATCATGATGCCCAGAAACCTAACCTAACGATGCGGCGGATCTGCTTTGGGAGGAGGAGGCAAGAAGGGGGAGGGGAGGAAGAAGAAAAAGAAGAAGGGGGAAGAAGAAGAAAGGAGGAAGAGGAGGCGTAGCGATAGTGTTGTTGTTGATTGAAGCCCGCAAGGGGAAAAATGCAGAAGAGATGGGACTGAAGAAAACGAAGGAACTGAATTGTTGGAAAAGGGGAGGGGGGGAAATGAATGAGCGTGCAGAAGGTATTCAGATAATGTCGTTTCGGAACTTGAGCCGAAGTGGTGTCGCTTCGTGCCGCTGGTTTGTGGTTCTTGATGCGGTTGTTGAACCAACCACGAACTGTTAAACCTCAGGTTAGCTGGCCTTTTCGAAACCCAGGCCGGAAACAGAGGGGGGCCACCACGAGACCGTGCAGCGTCTGAGAGCAGAAATCCGGGGCAACTTGGCAGTGAGCATGCGACACATCGCCTAGGTACCTACCTCTAACGATGCAACGAAGGCTGGCAGTGGGAGGAGGTAATTAGTATCAGTGTTGATAACCGTACAGTACCGTACATTCCCTTCCATTCCTGGCCGTTTTGTTTATCAAGAAATGGGTTGAAACAACAATGTAATTGTATACTTATTATTACAAAGTTAACGATCTTTTACCCTTGCTCGGCTAGATTCCAACAGAAGCTTTGCTGGACCCTTCGGCTTCTACGACAGGGATCTTGGGGGCTTGCAACCAGTGGATGATGATGAGTTACGGATTTAACATTGACACTCAGCAAAGGGGACCTCGCAACCTCGAGCTCCTGGAAACTTGTCTAAACTAAAGGCGGTTTGCCGGCCGGGAAAAGGAACACCATGCGAATGATCGATAAACGATAAGCGATCCGTGGCTGGTGCCGTGACCCACTTATTCTTCACTTTAGTGCCTGTAAGTCGGTGCACTGCACTGCAGTGTAGTGTAGTCGCCGCCACTCGAATCATCCCCAGGACAACCAACCTTCTCTTTCTGAATTATTCCACTAATTGTATTCAAATTGGCCAATTGGCAATCTACCAAACAAATTCATCATGGTGGGCTTCTCCTTTGGACTGAAAAAGGCTGCCGCCTCCTCGAAACCAGCGCCGGCCAAGAGGAAGCCCACGACCTTCGGCGGCGATGACGATGACGAAAACACGACGGCCGGTGATGGCCAGCCCAAGCCCATCGCCGCCGTTGAAATCACCGAACTGGACGGTTTCGACGACAACACGAGCACACCCCTAGAGGCAGTAGACGAGGGCCGCAAATCAAAAAAGAAATCAAAGGGACTACCACAACCACCACCGCCTATATCGGCAACAACATCACCATCATCATCATCAAACAAAAAAGCACCTCCTCCCGTCGCCGCCGCCGCTCAATTTGGCGACCTCTCCTCCGCCCTCGAATCGCGTAAATACGCTCAAGCTGCCGCCACCGCCGACCCCTCCATCTACGACTACGACGCCGTCTACGACTCCCTCAAGGCGCCCAAGAAGCAAGAGAAAGAAGCCGACAGCAAGGAAGGCAAGCGGCCGCGCTACTTTGATGCTTTACAAAAGGCCGCCGAGATGCGCGAGCGCGACCGGGCCATCGCCGAAGAAAAAAGACTAAAACGGGAGCGCGAGGCCGAGGGGGACGCGTTTGCCGATAAAGAAAAATTCGTCACAGAGGCGTACAAGCGCCAGCAGGAAGAAAACCGACGACTGGAGGAAGAAGAAAAGAAGAGGGAGGAGGAAGAGGCCAAGAAAAACAAGAACAAGGGCTTAACGGACTTTTATAAGCAGATGCTGGAGAAAGAGGAGCAGGAGCATGCGGCCAAGATGAAGGCTGTTGAGGAGCGGGTTAAGGCTGGGCCTGGAGAAGCAACACAGCAGAAGAATGAGGGAGAAGAAGACCCGGACGCGGAAAAGTCGGCGACAGAAAGGGCAAAGGAGATTAACGCCATGGGCGGAAATGTGATTATCAATGATGACGGTGAGGTGGTCGACAAACGACAGCTGCTCAAGGGTGGTTTAAACGTGGCGCCCAAGAAGAAGGTGGAACACCAACAAGAGAAGGCTCGACAGGCCGCAAAGCCTGCTGGGGCAAGCGGACCAGCTAAGGGCGTGTTCCAGGGTGGCAGCAAGCAGGCAATGCGGGAAAGGCAGACGCGCATGCTGGAGGCTCAGCTTGAGGAGAGGCTTAAGCGGGCGAGAGAGGAGGAAGAAGAAGAGAGGAAGAAGGTTGAGCTGGTATCCAAGAGTAGGAAGACGGAGGCGGATATCTCGAGCGCGAAGGAGCGGTACCTGGCGAGAAAGAGGGCGGCTGAGGAGGCGAAGAAGAAGGGGCTGGAGGAGGGTGGTGCGCCGTAGTTCTATTTTTAACAGCTCGGTTTTGTTATCTTTCGAGTTGTTCATTTTCAGTAGTAGTTGTTGTTGACATGAGATACCCCCTTCTTTTTGGAAACCTGGTCAGATCACATCAGTTCCCACTGCAGTAAAAGCATATGCCAGGAGACGGAAAAATAAATGCCACTTTTCCAACGTCTATAAAAAGCACTGTGCCCCGTTCCTTTCCCTGTCTACCTATACCATTCCCTTGACCGTGATTGCGCTGATGTTGATACACACGTACACATACGGTACGGAAAACGATGTCACCTCCATCTCCCTAACCAAACAGCCGCCGCTCGCTGATTTTCCCTCCTTGCGTTCTTCCTTGCTTTGCGCTTCTCCAGCCTCCAGCATCTTTACATTTCCAACCGTCAGCCGTGACCGGACCCTGTGCCAATGCCCAATGCAATGGTCTTGACACCACTGCCGCCATCCAGAACCCTTGATATCTTCCATAATGTCCTTCAAAGAAAGGTCGTGTTTGAACCCGATCTGTTCGTGTACGATACGGTATCGGCCTTTCAAACAGTCATCGCATGCCAATCGGTAGTCGCGGCAGCAGTCGGAGTCGGAGTCGGAGTCGCAGTCGTAGTCGCACTTGATCGAAGTCGCATATTTTTTTTTCTCCCTGCCCCCCACCCTCCATGATGCTTTTTCGTCTTCCCCCCCCAAGACCCCAAGAAGCAACTCATGTGCCTCCTAGGTACTACTCCTCTACTGGTTGCCCATCTCCTGCTGTATCCTCCGCAGATAAGTCGTGTTGACCACGTTCCACGCCGCCATGTACTTCTCGGTGCACTGCGTCACGCACGTCTTCTCGCTGTTGGAGAGGGAGGAGCCGGGCTTGGGGACGCACGAGGTAAAGCAGTTTTCGCCGATTTTCTGTTTTTTCGTTGGAGGCCCGGTTAGTTGGCGGTTGGATTGCATATTTTTTTTTTTTTTTTTTTTTTTTTTTTTTTTTGGGGGGGGGGGGGGGGGGGGGGGGGGAGAAGCTGGCTTGGGAGAGAGAGAGTGGAAGGGTGTATAGGAAATCTAGATATGTGAGGATTGGAGGGGAGGGTAGGAGACAGGAAAGAGGAGAGAGAGCAAAAGAGAGAAAACGGAAAGAGAGAGAGAGAGGTACGTACCTCCATCAAAGTCCGCGCATTGGCGCTCTGGGACTCGATGAGAACCTGCTTGATGATGGCCTTCTTGACGGTCTCGGAGGTTGAGTCGGACATGGTTGCGATTTTTTTGTATAGAGTTTTGGAGTTTGAGTTTGGATTTGGGTGTGGTGGTGGTGGTGGTGGTGGTTGGTTATTAAATCAGTCGCGAAGTTGCCGGAGCTAAGATCTTGGTGACGGCTTCGATAAAGTGGCAATGATAGGTAACTTGACTGCGAACGAAAGCTCCAGACGAATGCCGCAGCAAGCCAGGATCCCAGTCAGTTCGAAATGTTTATTATGTATGCATGGAGGTGTGGCGTAAGTGGTGATTGCTGAGCAGTGATAAGATGAGGCTGGTGCAAGTCGGTCATTCCCGGCAGGCAAAGTCCTGAAATGGTAGGAATAGGGGGACCCCTTTTGAGAAACAACAATAACAACAATGGTTTGTTGGTGTTGATGGCGTATGCAACGTAGTTTTTTATACCACCTTCGACAGTTAGACCAATTGTCACAAGAAATATCAATGACATGACCAAGATCACGCTTAACGCTCCATGCTATATACGCCTCATGTGCTTTTAACTCCCCCACTTCCTTCACTCCCACAAACCACAGCGAAACAAGCCACCGCACCGCACCGCACAGCAAGCAAGTTACAGCCTCAACTTCTTGCTTATCTTCACCAAAACAGCCCCATCACTCTCCATCCCCTTCGCATCTAAAAGATGCACAAACCGATACCCTTCCCTCAACCGATCCAGCCTCACACACGCCCACGCCGCCAACGAATCCCTTCCAATCTCATCATCCAGCACCAAGAACCTCACGAATGAGAGCTCCGGGACTACACCAGGGATATTCTCAAATTTCAGTTCTGTCTGGGCACCGAACTTCCCCTCCCAATCCGGATCGCATCCTCCCTTCACAGATTTGGTCTTGGCCTTGTACTCGCCCCCTTTTTCTTTGCCGTCCTTTGGCAGCTCGTCGGTGCCATGTCGCTCTCCAGGCTCTTCCACGTGTAGTTCGACTTTCAGGTAAGGGCGGAAGGAGTCGATGTTGTCGTCTCCGGGGGGAAGGGGGAGCGATTGAGCAGCGAGAACATTGATGGTTAGATCCATGGTGTAGTGCTGGACGGCGTCGGCTTGGGTGTCGGAGGCCGAGGGGGAGGGGGAGGGGGACGGATCAGAGTCGGTGAGTTTGGCGCAGCGGTAGCCTAGGTAGGGTCTTGTTAGCGTTTTTGTCTTACTTAAAGAGGAGTGGACTAAAGGGACGTACCAGCAGGTTTGAGCACATAACCGCCCGTCCCAGCAAACATGCCCTCATTCAGCATCATGCCCTCATCCCAATTCTGCCAATTCAGCGCCACGATCTGGATCCCCTTTCTCCAAAACACAACCGGATCCAAGTTCGATGACAAGATACGCATACCAGACGGGTACGCCCGCATCAGATAGTGCTTGTTATGCTCGAAGAGCGCGCTACGACTCTCCTTGTGAACATCCATCACGCCACTCTCCGACAGCGAAAAGATGTGCGTCGGCATGTTGGCCTCGGGCTGCATCAGGCTTTTGAACGACACGCCGCGCGTGTAGATGCCCATCTTGCTCAAACTCCAGATAATCTTCGACGGTTTCTTCGCCCGCTGCTTCGGTTGGCCCGCTTCTTCTGGTAGTCCTCCAGAAGCCGCGGCGGCGGTGTTGTCCAGCTCCTCCGGGGTCGTCGAGCCCGTCGAGCCCCCTTCATTGTTGGGTGGAGCGTACTTGACCTTCACGAGGATTTTTCCGCGCAGCTCTTCGGGAGTGGGAAGATATTTGGCATCCTCCTCCGGCTCAGGAAGAAGCAGGTCTCCCCAGATCTGCCTCATAATGTCAACCATCCTCTCCTGCTGCTCAGCGCTGCAGTGCACCTCGAGACTGACGATCAGGGGCAAGTCGGTTGTGGCAAAACCGTAGTCCTTGATAGCCTCGCACACGTCTCGAAAGGTGATGTCTTTAGTTAGCGTGTACCCGTGCAGGACTCGCGGCTCTTTGGTGCTCTTCCTACTGAGAGTTTGGAATAAAGAGGCAGAGCCGCCGCTCTTGCTCCTCTCCAAGGGGTTCGTTTCGGCTGATAGTCCTACCGGGGCGGCCTCAGTGGTTGTTGCTGCTGCCGGCGGCGGCGGCGGCGTTGTTGTGGTGGGCTCCGGAACTTTCTTGTCCTTGGGCTTCTTCCTTCCACCAAGAAAGCTAGGCAGCTTACTCTTCGCTTTCCTCTTTAACTTGCTCGCTGTTCCCTCCTCACCACTGCCATAGGCATCATCGCTGGAGCTGGAACTGCTCGAAGTCACAGACTCGGCGTCACCATCGTCATCCTCCGACTCGGAGTCCGAGCCATCCCAGACGTCCACCTCGATGCAGCGGCACCCGCGCAACAAAACGTTCCTGTAGGCATCGACGCTCGACTCGCTGGAGAGCTGATTACCTGTCAAATAAGTGTTGTGGCTGGAACTGATAAAGTAGCTTGAGAGCGGGTAACTGAGGTCCTGGGAACGCGGAGGCGCAATCGAGTTGGCGGCTGAAGAAGTGATGTACTGAAAAAAGCTCTCGTAGTCCCAGTCCTGATGAAGCGGGAAGTCTCGAGCCAGCTCGGCCTCGTCGTCGCCTTGACAGCACCTAAGCCAGACGGAAACGTCCTCCTGGCGCCAGGCCTTGGTCACGGTGTCGGCGTGTGCGCTGTAGATGCGTTGCAAATGAGCCGCAACGCCGGGGCTCAGTGTCTTTATCTTCTGCTCGGCGCCAGATAAGCCACCGCCTCCTTGGTGAGCTCCATCGGGGAGATATGGCGTGCCACGGACAGCTGCTGGCATGTTGAATACAAGACGATGCGCAAAATGTGAGCCCGGGACAACGAGCGAGGGGAAAGGGTGTAAAGGCTGTGTCTGTACGATGATACAAGCAAGAAGAGGTGATACAAGAGACAGCCAAAGAGCCAACAAACAGGCTAGACCTAGCTCACAATTCAGGGGACTCGGCGACCCCACTTGAAGCTGTTGATGGCTGGTAAAGTTGATATTTGGCGTTTGATGGTGTCTGACCGCTTAAATATCCGAAGTTCGGGACTGGAGATGGGTATTGAGTTCTCTTTGGGATTGAGAACACAGGGATGAGAAAGAGGATTAGAGGTGGTGGTTGGGTATGAATGACGCTCAACAGCTTGCTCTTCGGGCTCCGGTTCATCACGATCCATCAACACATTGCTACATAGGTGCTGGCTGCGCCTTCTCCCGTCTCCCGTTGCCGTGGAAGCTCTTGGACCCTTGGCTGTGTTTCGTCACCCCACAGGAGAGGACAGGACCCTTCCGTCTGATTGACCAGTGGGGACATCCCCTAGCCGTCAGATCGAACAACGACACAGCGTTAGTGGTCTAGGTCAGGGGTGTTTGGACACGGACCTCTGTTTCGTCTCAACTTGGCGTGGAAACTTGGTTTGGAGTAAGACAGACAAAGGAACGATGTTTGTCGAGTCCCCCAAATAAAGACCAAGTACTATGAATGCTTACTTTCCCTTCTAGTACCTCCAGGTTTCCGTCCGTTTCTGGTGTGCCTTAAGACGCTTGCACTCCAGACAATAGTTTAGATCTAGGTACATCAATCAGACATCATATGATACAGATACAATTGAGGCGATAGTCCAATGGACTCTTAATCTTACAATTCCCATCATGGTGTTTATACACCGGCCTTCTAAACAAGGGCCTGACCCATAAACATACTCTCCTTAACCTCAGCAACGACATCCCTCCTATCATCCTTACCTACCAACACGATACCCCTACCACGACGGTTCATGCGACCAGCGCGGCCCAGCCTGTGGATGAAGTCGATAGTCGTATGCGGCACATCGTACAACACCACATAGCGCACGGCGAGGGTATCGATACCTCTAGACGCCAGATCCGTCGCCACAATGACCTTGGTATTCGGCAGATGCCTCCTGGTAGGGCTGCTGCTCACGGCACCACCGGCTTTGCCTCCTTCAGCAGCAGCGGCAGCATCCTCAGCAGGCCTGCTGATCTTCATTGGCTCGTTCGACGTAAAAGAAGCCAGCATCTCCGACTTGCGGTGCTCCTCCGTGTCACGGTGAAGAGCGATGGCGTCGATGCCCTTGGACACAAGGTAATCGGCCACCTGCTGGGTGGTCTCGCGCTCGTTGACAAAGACCATGATGCGCTTAACGTCGATCTCGCTCCTGGGGCCCTCGTGCTTGGCGGCCTCCTTGCCGATGGACCAGATGGCGTCGGCGCAGGCGAGCATCTTGTTGTTGCGGTACGGGTCCTTGGACACGTCGATCACGCCGAGCTGGACACGGCGGGGAATGGCGTGCAAGTTGGGAGTGGTGATGCGGTTGATGTAGGGGAATTGCTCCTCCATGTAGGTGTCCAGGCGGCGAGGGATGGTGGCCGAGCAGAGGATGAGCTGCTTGAGCGAGGGCATGGCGCGGTCCACGATGCTGGTGGTGTCGCCCGAGAAACTGCGGTCGAGCAGGGAGTCGGCCTCATCAATGACGAGGTGGCTCACGCGGGACAAAACGTTGGGATCCGACTTGGCGATGGTGGCGAGCAGGTGAGGGGTCGAAACGATCATGTCCACGCCGATGGGGCTGTACAGGTTGCGCTGGTTCCTGAGCGGGCTGATGCTGGCGGACAGAGGTCGTACCTTGAATTTGGTGTAGTGAGCGAGCTTCTTGGCAACGCTGGTGACCTGGTCGACCAGCTCGGCCGTAGGCACCAGGACAACCACACGAGGCCGAGCTGTGTTGGGGTGAGGCTCGAACTTCTCAATCCACTCGGACACCGGGGCCCCTCCACGTCGTTCCTTCTCAGCCGCCAGACGCTCGTTGTATGAGGCGACCAACTCATCATCAGCATCGCCCTTCTTTATAGCGTTGACCGCGGGAACCAGATATGCCAACGTCTTGCCAGATCCCGTCTCGGCAGCCAAAAGGAACTCCTCCCTGCCGTTGTCCGATTTTGGTCGCCTTGGCTTCCTTCCCATCGGCTGCCCTAGCAGAGCCGGGATAGCCAATCTCTGTACGGGCGTGGGCTTGATCTCCGTCATGCCTTTGAGTGCCTCCTGCGCAATAGCCTCCTTCACCACCGGCAGCAGGTCGAACTGGTCAAAAGCCTGGATTTCCTGCATCCGTTCCTTGATGCTTGTTCTTTGTCCGTAGCTGATGGTTGCGAGCGCGCGTTGCATCTTCAGTGCCTTTTGTCCCTTGGTATTCTTGTCCCTTTTGTCTCTCCTGCTGTCCTCCTCTACCGGTTTCGGTTTGGGTGCTTTGCGCGGGTCGATGTTTGCAACTCGTCGGTTCATGCCCGCCCAGGGCCCATCAGGTTTGTTCCGAGGCTTCTTGTTGCCCTCGCCGGGGCCCCGTACTGGCGGTGGTCGGGCAACACGATCGGACAACACCATGCGCGAAGGGCGCTGCTCGCGCCGTGTCGAAAACGTTCTCTGGCCGGCCCATGGTTCGAGGCTTGCTCTTGCTGATGTCGATGTGGTTGTCGTTGCGGCCGAGCGGCAGATGAGGCACACCGAGTCCCTCGCTGTCTTCCACATTATGTTGAGATTCCCGTACGCCGACGGGGTGTGGTGTCGAGAGATGCTGTTCCGTCGTCGTCAAATTTTTTGGCAGGCGAATTTCGTCATGTGTTCGCCCCGACCTTCTCCAAAAGTTGATAGAGTGAGGGGCAAGCGCTAACAAACCGGTGGTGCTTATCGGCAATCTCAGGACTGCTGGAATGTTCTGCCACTGTTCACCACCTGTAGGGGTCTCTGCTTAGCGTTGTGCTTCAGGGGCCTCTTCGCCACCATGTCCCTGTAAAACTCCATGCCATTGTATACTACGTGTACACCAAATTTATGATGGGGATGCACTCACTCTCGAGGAAGCATGGAATCACATCACAAATTCATGACAAGGAACTCAAGAGCTGAGTACTACTTATTGTATGGATATTGACTATAGGGAATAACAAAACTTAACAATGTACTAGGTCGTCCTCTTCCTTCTTCTTTTCTTTCTTTTTTTTTTTGGTTTTTCTTTTCGTTCAAAACAATCTCAAGAGGCCTTGTCGTGTCTCTGCCAACACAACTAGAACTCCGAGTACCATAGCTAATGGCATACTGTATCCATGTCTCATGTTCTTCGTAACCCATATGCACCCAATAACACCTCCCTGCATAAAACACATGGCTAATTCATTCAATAGCAGCGCTTCTAGCTGCATTGGCCTTGATCCTCCACCATCCAACCCCCATGGCGACGGCGGCGGTGCCTGCTGCTAACAGCCTAAAGCAACACAGAGTCAATCGATAATCTGAAGAAAGGTTATCGTCTGAGCCCAGTGTATGCCTTACGTCTGTCTTTTGCGGTTGCCCGCAATTCGGCTCAGGATACCGCCGATGAAGTCCACAATGATCAACTTGCAGAAGGTGGTGAACCATCCGCTCTTGGGGTCCTGCTTGATGACTGGAGCATCGCTGGGCGGCGGCGAGCTGGCCTGTGTTCCCTGTCCACCTCTCTTTCTGACCGTGTTGGCGTTGTCAGTGTCTGCGCCTGTTGCTGTCGCCGATACCTCGGCCTCGCTACGGACATCAGCACCGGTAGCATCTGAGGCGGCAACGGGCTCATCGGTGCTCTGTTGAGCATCGGGTTGAGATGGCTTCGAGCGTTCGGTGGTTTCCGCGACAACCTCTGGGCTGGGAAGGAGGCCGTTCGTGGGCTTGGAGTCCTTGGATGCTTGTTCTTCCTGGGCGATAGGTTCAACAGGCGCCTCGACCGAGACAGTATGTGCTGAGACTTCAGGGATATCAAGTGCTTGAGGCTCCAGCGTCTTGGTGGTCAGATCTTCGGTGTGCTCTGTCTTCTTCGGCGAGTCAGGGCTTAGAGAGATTCCTTCATCCTCAACAACCGCCCGAGGTGTAGCCTCCCTAGGTGTAGTTTCGTTTGACGCCGCGGTCTTGTGGGGAGGCGAAAGCTGAACCGCTGAGGTTTCCTCTTCTTTGCTGTTGGTCGGCTCATCGCTCTCAGAAATCGATTGCAGCGACAAGGCCGACGACTGAGCCGAGCTGACGGAGACGCGAGGTGAATGGGGGACTTCTAACCTCTTCGCGGCGCGGGGAATTACGCTTGCTCCGAGAGCGGCGTCGTGAGACACTTCCGATTCCCTTCGTGAATTGGAAGAGCCGATGATAGGTGATGGGGCGTCCTCGATAATAACCTGGTCCTCCTCGAGACCAGTCTCAAGCTTCCGAACAGTATCGATGATCTCGTCGCGGTTGGATGGGAAGCGTTCTAGGGTGGGATCGTTAATATCGATATTCTCCTCGTCAAGCGGTATTTCCTTTCGGATCTCGTTGTCCTTGTCCATGTCCTCGGATACAATCGTGATCGAAGGTTCTTCGCCGTACATACCGGCGCACTCATGTGAGAACAGAGCTGGATTATGGGAGCCGTCCTCGGCGGGTGTAGGAATTTCAGACTTGTCAGTCTCCGTGGCCTGTTTGTGGCGTTAGCTCACTGTGAATCATGCAAAGCATTACGAGACCATTCTCACCTCAGTGTCCAGATATTTCGCGCTATCAGCGACTTCCGCAGCAGTGTCCGCAACTTCGGTAATGGGCGTGGCAGACAGGCGACGGAAACCAGTCTTTCCGGCCTCTTCATCGGAGACACGATCCTCAGGTGTTCCTTCGTCAAGGAGTGCAGCAGAATCAGCGACTTCCGCCGCAGTCCTGGCAAAGTTTGGCGTGGCAGCACCAGACTGCGACTCGGTAACAGGTTCGGAGCGGGCAAGGATCTCCTTGGCCGCATTAGCGACAGGCTCGGACTGCTCAGCAGGCATGTTGGCCGCCTCCTCTTCTACAGTAGCGGCCTCTTCAGTAGGTGCAGTCTCATCAACAGTAGTCTCCTCGACAGGCTCAGTCTTCTCAGCATGGGCGGGCTCCTCAGCATCGGTCGCCTGGGCGACCTCAGCATAGGTAGCCTGGACGGGTTCAGCCTCCTTGGCGGGAGTTACCTCCTCAACTGCAGCGGTCTCAGCAGGGGCAGCATCGAGAGCAGGAGCAGTTTCTTCGGTAGAAGCGGCCTTTTCAGCAGGGAGCTCTTCAGAGACAGGGGCGGCCTCCAGAGGAGCCTCCTTGACAGGAGCATCCTCAGAGGCATGAGTAGACTCCTCAACAGGCGCAGCCTCCTCAACATGGGTAGCCTCAGTGACAGGAGTAGTCTCTTCGGCGGGGGTAGCCTCGGCAGCAAGAGCGGCTTCTTCGACGACATCAGCAGGGATCTCAGAGGGAGCAGCTTCTTCAGCAGAGTTGGTTGCATCGACGGAAGCATTCTCCTCAGATGGAGAAGTAGCCTTCTCAACCGGAGCGTCGTCCTCGACTGGGGCGGCCTTCTCAACGGGAGCAACATCGACAGCAGGAGAAGTCTCTTCAGCAGGAGCAGCTTCGGTCGCCGGAGCAGTCTCCTCGGCCTGAGGAGCCTCAGCTTCCGGAGCAGCCTCAGTAACCTCTGGAGAAGTCTCGGCTTCTAGAGCTTCGTGAGCCACAGCTGCGTAGGTCTTGGCATGAGTCTCATCCTCATCAGCCTTCTCCGGCGCAACCTCCTCTGAAGTGGCCTCACCGGTTGCTGTTGTCTGCTCGGGAGCAGATTCCTTGGTAGGCTGTTCCTCTTGAGCAGTCTCATCAACGGCATGTTCCTCCGCATCCTCCTTCTGAGTGGGCTCCTCCTCCTTGGACGCCTCCATTGGATGAGTCTCGTCCTTGAGATCGGTCTCGTGAGGAGTGGTGTCAGCCTTCACGTCGACTTCGTCCTTGGTAGCAGCAACTTCAGGGGCATCCTCAGTGACATCCTCTTGGGTCGTCTGCTGAGTAGATTCCTCAGGGGTTGTCTGTTGGGTGATCTCTTCCTGAGTAGTCTGTTGAGTGACCTCATCGTCGGTTTGGGTATCTTGGTGAGCGGTTTCCTCCTGGGTGGCCTTGTCTCTGGTATCGTCCTCGTGGGCAGGCTCTTCCGAAGTCTCTTTGGTGGCCTTCTCTTCGGGGGCCTTTTCCGGACTCGTGTCTTTGTGAACAGTCTCCTCCTCAGCAGGCTTCTCTTCCGAAGGCTGTTCCTCGGTGGTCTTCAAGGTGTCCTCCTGAACTTTAGCCTCATGAGTGAGGGGCGCGAGGTCCTCCTTCTCCACTTCCGCCAGAGAGGCCTCATCCTTCGATACGGTCTCATTTTTTGAAAGGTGGTCTTCACTCTCGTTCACCTCCTCCTTAGACTCGGCGGTCTCTTGCAAGTCGGATTCCTTGGCAAGAGTATCCTCCTTCAGGGTTGTCTCAGCCTCGGAGGTGGTCTCAGCCTCGGGAACAGCGGAAACAGCCTCCTCAGCTGGAGCGGCTTCCTCTCGTGTCTCGACTTGCGAGGTGCTCTCCTCCTGAACATCAGTCTTCTCAACGGGTAATTCCGCGTCGACCTCAGCTTCCTCCTTGTGCTCAGCGTCTACAATGGTAGTCTCCTCGGGCTTAGACTCTTCCTTTTCAACGGCAGGCTCGGCAGAGGTTTCCTCCTCTGTGGAAAGGGACTCCTTGGGCGCCGACTCGGCCTCTGGAGCAGTCTCGTGGGCGGGGACCTCCTCCGTCGGGACCGCCTCATTTTGTTGAGAGTCCTCAGGCTTCGAGCTGGTCTCCTCAACACCGGTTGCTGTCTCGACCTTGGTCTCCTCTGGGGTGGCCTCCTCCTCCTTGGAAGGTATCTCAGTGGATGAAGTTTCAACGGGCGCAACGTTGCTCTCCGTGGAATCTTTTGTCTTGGTCTTGTCCTCTTGCTCTGAGAGAGCTTCATCCTTCAAGGTAGCCTCAGTAGTTGAAGGGGCTTCAGCCTTGGTTTCAGTGTGAGCCTCCGACGTGGTCTCGTCTTTTGCCGTAGTGTCGTCCTTCACGGCAACATCATCACTGGAGGAAGTATCTTTTGCGGCAGAGATGTCGACAGTGGATTCATCTTCAACCTTGAGAACAACATCGTGCGGCGGGTCACTGTTTGTCTCGGAGACCACGGTAACTTTTGTAGCAGTGTCGGTTTCTTGGGGAGCTTCAACCTCGGGAGCAGTCTCCGCCTTCAAAGCGTCCTTGATCTCCGAAGCATCCGCATGATGTTGGGTAGTTCCATTTGTCTGAGGCGCATTCTCCTCTGAGGTCGCCTCGTCCGTGGGGAGGTCGGGCTTGGGTTCCTCCCTGGATACGGTTTACAGGTTAGTAGCTGATGCTAACGACCAAGAACATGATGGTCTTCCACTTACTTTGGCGGGTGTTGGAACTCCAACTCGTTGTTTCTGAAACCAGAACTGTCCGTGACGGTAGGCGCGCCTTCGTCAAGGACCCACCAATCGCCCAAGCCGATGCGGAACTTGTAGACCACCTTGGATCCGGGTTCGCCCGAGATTTCCTTGGTGAAGACATGCTCTCCGTCAGCACCAGTGGTGCAGACCATCTCCTGGGGTTGCCATTCTGGCTCAGAGAAAGAACCAGCAATGAAGAGTGGCGGCTGAGTGCCGGGTGACCGGAATGTAATGGTCGTAGACACCTTGGTGGAAGCCATGGTTTAGACTTTGTGGTTTCGGTAGGTAGAAAGTGTGGGGAGTTAAAGTGTAAGATGAGACTATTGGGTCATTGGCCCGGACGCCCAAATGCTGTGCACCGATGAAAAAATAAAGTGATAGCTCGTGAAAGAGCGCTCTAGGGTAGCTTTGTAGGTTGGCGGTGATGCGACGTTAGCTGCTGGTTCGTAGCTTGAGTCGCACAGGCAGCTGCTCGAATCACGGTGATCAGTAACGCGCGTCTAGTTATTGTGCTTGTCGCGTTCTAGGCTCTTGATCGCTTACGGCAACCATGTAGACAAGTGAAGCCAAGGAGTGGATCTTGAACAGTGGAGAGAGAGTGGTGACGGGAATGGATTGGAAGCGAAGTGGAAGGTGGCCGCAACACACTCGGAAGAACAGAAGCTCGAACGAAGCTCTCTCCCTCCTCCATGTTGGTTGCTTAGGTGGGCTGGAGATTGACGGGATGTGCTTGTGTGCTGGAGTGAGGTGCGGGGTTTGGGGTTCTGGGTACCTTGAGTTAACTTGGTTGTCTCTCTTCAGAGTGTCTGTCGTAAGCTCAGCCTCGACCAGAAATTGTGACGGCTAGAAAAGCAAAGAGTCAGATACAGCGAGCGATACGCGACGGCAAGACGATGGCAGCGTCGAGCAGTGGTTTGCAGAAAGATGTGGGATGGATGTTTGCCAGCGAAATTGTGCAGGTCGAGCAGCTGCTGCTGGTTGGGAAAAATGGAGGGGGTGAAGAAATCGGACGGACAACTCACCACTGGAGCCGATCTCGAGGCAGTCGGGGTTATTTAGGCAGGCAGACCGGATCCAAGATAAGGGCCTGAATTTCTTGGGTGGTATTGGTTGTGGATAGGAGGAATGGAAACCGTTGTTTTGTATGGATACTTACCTGCCTGGTGGTGTGTGTGTGCTGTGCTCGACTGCGGTGCGTGCTTGGATGCAGGAAGTGGTGGTGCAGTCTTTTGGTGCAGTGGGTGGTGGTGTTCAAGTGCAGTGCCCTACTGTGAAGCCCCTCACTCGCAGCCCAGGATCATGACACGCGGGGAATCAGATGGAATGCCCGCCTGGTCGAGGCAGGTGGATGGGAGACTTGACCTTGGGAGGCAGGGTTGGGCTGCAAACTAGGTAGGTAACCAGAGAAGTGGAAATTGCCCTCTTCAAGTCTGTTAGTTTTACCTTAGCTCATACGAGTCTGTGATATGGCTCAATGGCCCGGGATGATTTTCAGTCACTTGTTTATTCTCAAGGTAGGAACTAACTGTCGCAGGGGTGCAACCTACTATCACGCGATTCATCTACGAAAATAGCAGCATCCCATGGATTCGATGGTTGTTTATCAACTAACCTCTACCTACCTCGACCACGAACAGACGGGAGGGAATGGAGGTTCCCGCCTTGACCGGTGCAGACGGGCAAGGGAAGGCGGCTAGGTAGGTAACGGAAATACGGCAGTGGCAGCTTCACAGATCACTAGACATATAGTACATACTGCACTGCTAGCGCCGCGCCGTACAACTGTCCCAAAGTGCAGATCCAGAAAAGAATGAAAAGAAAAACAAACAACCACCTTCCCGTCGTCGGTCTCTTGTCAACGGTTCATCGTCGTCCCCAAATCATACAATGTCGTAATCAAGACCGCAACCGTCCTGACATGGATGTGTGCCCTGCTTCAGCTGCATTATACATGCCGATGCAGAGGTACCCTTGCTTCCAGTTGTGAACGCTGCCACCAAAGATAAACGAACTGAAAGCGCGAAGCTGCAGCCTTTTTGCAGTGTAGCGTGTGTAGTGTACCTACTACACACAGCACAACCTTCCTCTCCTCGGGCTTGCGGTTCAAGGTGGCAATTGGTGGTGCCACAATATTCACGCGAACGAGGACGGGTAGGGTCAGAAACACCTACCGAATTGCAATTGGTTTGCACCTGACTCTTTGCACGATTGATAGGCTGATGAAATTCTTGGTTGAAGGGCACACCGCAAGATGGCTTTCAAAATTATCTTCAACAACCTCACATTTAGCTGCACTCGAGCCGCACTGCCGCACGGATTCCTTGCCTGCAGCTCTTCACGTCTCGTGATTTGCCGAATGGTGATGCAGAAATGCAAAGAAAGACGCTATGAAAAGTCCAGATGCTCAACTGACAAAAGCAAGAGCTCTTGGCTTGTCACAACGTCAACCGCGGTACCGGGCGCTAAACGCACGGGCTTTCGAGGTGCAGATCCCCCGCATTGAAGGTGGATCCGACCTTTGCCTGGCTGGCGTCATGGACCTCACCTTAAGTGGTCGACTAGGGCATATAGGGCGGTGAGAGCTGGCGCAAAGCGCTGTGCCCGTGATGACCGCCTTTGCTCTGACGCCTCCTCGATTCACATGCCACCCTTGTTGTGAACTATTCTTATCGCAGCGAGGTTGTTCACTGATAAGAACCATAATTCTGATCGAATCTCAAGCCTTCACCAGGACTCGGCATCAAGGTCCACGGACGCAGAGGACCCCATCATTAGGTATTTTCCAACTGCCAATTCACGTACAAGTGGATTGCCTTTCCTAACCTTTCCATTCCTGCGACCAGTACTTATCAACTTTGCAACCAGATCGTCTGACAAATCAACCACCCGGCGACGAACATTTCGAAAATATCGAACCCCCCAATTCGAAAATCAAATAACAAATAACTTGCCCGAGATCACCTACTGAATCTGTCACTCACCTTGACGCGGTCCATTCGCAACGACATCGACGGCGCACTCAACAACCAACACCCAACAATTGACTTGTAACCACGCTTTTGGTCGACATGTCGGTTTTCCTACCCCCCGAGACCATCACGGTCAAGCGGCGCAAGCGTGGCGCCGAAGATGCGCCTGTCGACTTCCTGAGTTAGCCGTCCCCGACAAGTTCTTGCCAATTCCTGGTTGCAATGCTAACAATTGGAATCAGGGGTCGAGGGCAGCAAGCGTTCGCGAAATGGAGAAGGCAGCTGGGTGTACCGGCTCAAACAAGCAACGGACATCGTAGCCCCGCAGCCAACCGTACCGACCATTCAGACAACGAAAGAAGGCGATGAGAAGAGACGCATCATCAAGCCTCTTCCCCGTCCGAGATCGCAGAGGATGACACCCCAGCCCGGCGCCTCGCCAATCATCGAGCCAACATCTACGTCCCAGACAACCAAAGCGACCGAGCCTACTCTTCGACGATTCCACCTCTCCAAAACCATTGTATCGCAAGCCTCAACATCAGGGCCCGTCTCCAAGAAGCGCGCCAGCACCGTCATCTTCGTCGAGCGCAATTCGAAGCGAAAGTCTCTCCACGAGAACCAGACTCTTGAGCAGTCGAGATCAGTGAACGCCCACAATGGCCCTGCCGCTGTTCAGCCCAAGCCGTCGACCGGCTACACCTACCAGGAGCCTCCTCCAGCCGATCCCAACGACACCGGGGTGAAGCGATCATACAAGCGACCCGGTACGAGACGCTTTCAGCCCTCGGCCGAGTCGAAGCCTGGATCAACCCACCCTGCTCTCCCCCCCTCGCTGGTCAATCGCAATGTCAACGTCGACATGGATCAGCTCGCCCAGGAAATGGACGCCTACACACTCAGTGCAATCACTAGCCATCTGAGCAAGTTGGATGAGGCAAGTGCCAAGGCTGCGGAGAGGAAAGCCAAGTTCAAGCCCAAGGCTCCCGCGCTGAGATACGCACAACGACACCCGGAGGCTGCGGCTGCGGCTGCTCGCACTAAGGAGGTGGCCCCTCAGGCTACTGCTGCTGCTGCTGCTGCTGCGGCGCCAATGGACGATGATATGGACATTGAGATGCTCGACACCTCCGACGATGATGACTACGTCGTTGAGGAATACTACCGCGTGCCCGCCAGCCGGCTCAACGAGGAAGAGGTGGCGGCCACCCAGGTCGGTCTGTTGGTGTTCGATTCCGAGCCCGACAAGATTGACTTCTTCTTTGGTGCGGAGGAGGATGACGAGTTCGAGTTTCCGGAGGATGAAGACGATGAGAACCGTATGTTATGCTTTTTTCCTCCTTCCCTGCTTTCCCCCCCTCTCTCTCTGTTCGGTAAAGGAAACTAACACCAACCACAAACAGATGAAAACTACTACGCAGCCGACTATCCCGACGAAGATCTCGAATGGGACGACGAACTTGACCGCAACCCGTACGAGTACGTGACAGGTAACGCCTCCGACAGGGAGGAGTTTGATGCGGAGCTGGATGACAACGATGACGACGACTTTGTCAACGCAGACGAGAGGTTCATGGATCATGTCTGGCAGACGAGTAATGAGATGGCGGATATGGTTGCATATGCGAGAGGGTATGACGGTGATAGACCGGAGCCTGCGGTGGCTGGGTTCCCGAGGGGGTTTCCTTATGAATAGGATTGATAGGGAGAATGGCTCTTGGGGAGTTGGGCAGTGGGTTAAGGACACCGGGGTAGAGGGGAGAGCGGAGGTGGGATATAAATTGGCAGTCATCGCTATGAGCTTGTATACCTGCTGAAGTGGATTACATGATTATAGTTAGTTATTATACCCCATAGTCTCAAGGACCGTCGCACAACAAGACGGACTGGGCTGGGTGGTAGTTGTGTCATGAGAGCACAGCACAGCGCAGCAAAGTAGATAGAGTCAGCTTCTTCAAAGTTCTCTTCCTATTACTTTATAGTTATGGTACAGAGTACTTCCTTTGCTCTGACTTCGGATCTGATGTGAAGTGATTATGTGCATTGATCAACAAGAGTGATTAAATGGAACAGGACGGACGCCTTTGAGTAAAATTAAAACTTGTCAAATAACTACAAGAATAGCATTCGAAGTTTAATCTCTACACTCCCTTCTTTCGCTATGGGCTCTTGGCACTTGGTCTACAACTCCCCGAGTTGTCTTTTTTTTCTTGTTGTTCATATTAACACAGTCCACTCACGCAGAAGAGTTTAGACGATAATATCTCCATGTAAAAACTAAAGAACAAAAAAAATATAACAAGCGCAAGTGTAGCGTAGCTTGACAAGTATGCTCATGATGAGAAGAATCATAATTGATTAAGCAGAAGAAGAAACTAAACAAGAACGCCATCTTTTCTAACAACCCAAAATACTTGATGTCTTCAAGGTTGATGATATGCAATATGGATATGATGATGATGATAAAGTGTGTTGTTTCGGTATCATGAACAATGAAGAAAAGAACAACCGCCACCAACCGCTCTTCTCCCTCGTTCTTTCCCCCTACCCCCCAAATGTCTCTGCTGGCAACACACGCTCAAAACACTCGCTCACAACCATATGGCTCGAGTCCCCAGTCGTAACAGAATTGCTTTTCCATTCATCCATGCCACTTTTCCTTCTCTCCTCCCACTTCCGATTTCCATTTTTTTCCCCCTTCCCATCTCGTCAACCCGCACACAGAAAGTTGCCTTCTTCCAGACCACTAGTCATCCGCCATGGCACACCAAGGATGCGCCAAAACCTCCTCGATCGTCGACCGCTGCGAGACATCGCGATCGAGCATCTTCCGAATCAAGTCAATACTCTCGTCGCTAATGACGTAAGGAACGCGCAGGTCGCGGTCCATGATCTCGTCGATGCTGTAGAAGGGGTTCTCCTTGTAGATAATGGTATACAGCAAGATACCGAGGGCCCAGACATCCTGTTCCTTGCCGCCGTAGGGCTTGCCAGCGAGGACTTCGGGGGCAGCGTAATCTTGAAGTGGGTAGGGTTCGGTTAGTTTTATCAAGGACACCTCGACTAAAAGAGATGAGAAGATCAAGACTTACCAATTGTACCCACAAACACATCAAAGGGTCCGCTCTTGATGTACGCCGCGCTTCCAAAGTCAATTAGCTTGATCCGGCCCTCCCCGTCCAAAATAACGTTCTCATCCTTGATGTCGCGGTGGACGACGAGTGCCTTGGTGTGCAGATGGTGGATGGCGCGTGCAACCTGTACGAAAATGCTGCGACTCTCTTGCTCGTCCATGTTGGTGCGAAGCTCAATATAGTCGAAAAGATCCATGCCGGGCAGGCCATGCGGTACCATCTCGATGTAGTAGTTGACGCTGTCCTCGAAGAAGTCCTCCATCTCAACGATATTGGGATGCCTAAATCCTTCCCTCCGCAGAAAATCGAGAACGTGGATTTCCAGAGGCACGGTGCCGAGTCTCCTGTCGCGTGTCCAGGTGTCGACGAGAATGCGTTTCTTGGTGACGTACTTCAGCACGCACTTCTTGCCGCTGTTCTTGTACCGAGCTAGCTTCACCTGACCATATGCACCCTGGCCCATGTCTTCCAGAATGACAAAGTCGTCGATTGTTTTCTTCTTTGGAGTCTCCACCGTCTTGGGCGTCTGAATGTCTTCCGTCTTGGGCTCGGCGGCCTTTGGTGTGCCCGTGAGCTTGGCGGCAGCTGTCATGGCGACTTCCTTGAGCTGGCGGGTGATGAGAGAGGTTGTGGATTCCCTTCGCTGACTTGGAGTTTCGCATTCTGATTCTGAGCTGGAGTCAGAATCCATTTTCGGAGGGGTGTGGGCGGGGGTTTGTCCAGGTGAAGGTTGATGCAGTGGAGTTGCTGTTCCAGATAACAAGGGCGATGCAAAACCAGGATTACTTTTGGTTGCGTGAAGGTGCCGTGAATATGTGATCCACAGAGCATAAACAAGTTCGGACTGAGAGACGGTGAAACTGTCCGTCATGTCCGCGCCGGACACTGATTCTTCATCCTCGCTTTCTTCGGCGATTGCTTGATCCGATATCTGTGTTTGCTTTTCGCTCTTAACAACCCGCATTTGAATGTCGATCTTGAGCTCAGACCCATCACGATGCTTCGCAGGCAGGCCTTCGGGGCGCAATAGACTTGTTGCAGCATCCGGGCGTCCTTCTTTCAATGCGAGGAACGCTGCAGCCTTTCGGAAGGAGTGTTCGGGTATGACGATACCGTCTACCAGGTCAATACCGTCTTCGTCTTTCAGAATGCGTATCACACCTGCAAAGTCCGGAACGAGATGGCTGATAGGCAACCCATCGGGCTTTTCGTGGCCGAAGAGTGCACCGCAGAAGACCGAATTAGAGCTCTTGATGGTAAAGGTCTGAGGACAGACAACCACAATACCGGCGATATGCGGGAAACTTGCTACTCGCAATTCGGACTGACCCCTGACTTGGTCGATTGTTGCTGGAATATTGATTCGGTCAGAGTTGCGGCAAGTATAGTATCTTCGCTTCGCAATCTGTGCGTAATCGATCTCTCCAGTGCGTGGGTCAAACCCTTGACGGGGAATGCGAGGTATTAGTTTGCCAACATCCATGCCAGGCTTCAAGTTCTCATCGCCCCAAATTGGACCGAGAGCTCCAGAAAGCTTGAGGACGACACCCTCCTCATCCAGCGTCAAATACGCAACGTCCTCGTGGATCTCTTCAAGAACCCAAATGAGACCGACTTTTTTCTCCTTGACCCAAAAGCTGGCCGATCCCGTCGCGCCATTGCGTTTCTGTACATCTGGTTAGCGCTAAACTTCCGGTAACTTTGCATAATGCCAAAACTCACCTGGATTGGAACCACGTCGCCGCACAGCAGTACGCCTCTTGATTGGGTGGCAGGGTGGTGTCCTTGTCCTGGCTTTGGTGGTTTCGGGTCGCCGTTATGAATCGTCGCTGCTCTTCTACCGGCGTTGCTCTTTGGGGGTTGGTTTCGGGAGTTAGGCTTGCTCAACAGCTTTGCGGTTATTCCTCCGCCACGAGATCCTAGGATACTTGACATGGGCGGATTTGAGACTGGCTTAGCGATCTCACTCTCCGATCCGTCACCGGCATCGTCGGATGATCCCTGGAGCAGCTTTCGTTCCAGCCATGCCCTCCTTTCCTCCTGCACAACTTCCAGAATTCCCATCTTCCTAACTTCGGCCTTGGTGACTCCAAACAGAAGGCACGCAAGATCGTTGGCAGCGAGAATCGTCCAAGGGGGCTTTGATTCTGTAGTAAAGATGGCCTGGGCAGCGGGTGCCCACCTTGTTGAGTGACCATGGACGGCGGATGAAACTGCAGGTGGCTGACTCGAAACGCTCGAGAATGACTGTCGGGCGGGGGAAGGCAGGTGGTCTTGTGGGCCAGAGTCAACGGCCAGAAAAGGTGTCGCCATGACATCCATGAGCTTCTGCTGCATCTGCGCATGCTCCGTATCAGTCATGGTTCGCTTCAAGAAGCCTGGACGTAGAGAGGTTGAGGGCGATGTCTGCGCAGTAGTCCCGCTCTCGTTGGTCGTACTCCTGGATGAGTGTTCGGAGTCGTTGCCGAGGCTGAACTTTGCTGGTCGAGATGTGTCGGTTTCCTTTTGGGGTTTTGTCGCCCCAATGGTCTTCTGTGAGGCCGGTGATTCTGGCGCTATACTTTCGTCGTCCTCGAGTGGCTCTGGACTTGCGCTCCTGGGTACCATAAACTGTTTGTCGAATATGTTCTCTCCTGACAGCTCGGCCGGTCCGGTAAGAGGCCCCATAGACAAAGTCACATCACCATTAGGGAGACTCCCAGCTCCCACCAACTGTGCCCGTGCCAACAAGTCCAACACGTTTTGTGTCTCAACGTCGCCTGTTATCCGTGCTTGCACACTCGCAAGCGCCGCATTGGCGGTATTAGATGCCACTGACCAACCCATCCGATCCTTCATAAACTCGATAGACCTCTTTAAGACGTTCTGGCGGTTGTGTATCAAGTCTTCAGACTGGTGGGCGAAGGAGAAGGAGTGAAGGGATTCGGAGGGAAAGCGGCTGAGGTCTTCGGTGAAGGCTATGCTTGGCGAATTGGGGACCGATGATAAGGGTATCGAGTTGCTGTGCACATCCAGCATAGTTGTGAGGGAGGCAGATCTGGTAATGGCCGACCCAAAGGAAGGTTTCCGACTGCCGGGTGCTGATGGCAGAGTGCCGGTACGGAGGGGAAGTGGTTGCTGTCGGATGCGTCGCAAACCGGAGAGGCCCAGACCGTGGTCGTGGTCGGTCATGACAGAACTTCTAAGGAAGGGAGAGGAAGTCAGCAGCTAGGCTTGCAGGATGCGAGATATAGACGGGCGGTGGGGGGCCGAGTCAGATTGTGCGACTGTGCATCCGCAAACCGGTGAATGTGAGACAAGCAGAAGGGCTTCCAGGTCCGGAGCAGCCTTGCGGCCTTGGGAACCTTATGTTGACTCCCTTGCAACCATGTAGTAAACATATGCTAACCTTGCCATGGCATCGTACTCAACGGCAGCCGGGCCGGCATCGAAGGAGAAGCGCAGACGCGCCTTTTCGGAACTGTCATTTGTTACGCTAAGGTTCCCGGTACTCTTGTTTTTGGGCAGATGCAGGGCGGGCGACACTGACAGAGAGGCTGACCGGGCTTGCCCCTCCGCATCGTGTCGTTGTCTTTCTTCGCCTGCGATCAATGGCACGACATGTGTCAGTACAGTTTGCGCTGCAAATCAATTATCGAGAGTAGAAGCAGTGGTTGGCTGAATGTGATGTCCGGGCAGGGCCGTACGGGGATCAGACCGAAGGATGACGGGCACATGCATGATGATGATGGGACGGAAAGTAGTTCGCGGGGAGGGGGGGGGGCAGAGCCAGAACCCACCATTCTCTGGGTTTCCACCATATATCCCGAGCATAATTGAGCAACACGCTTGTGAACCGGGGGTACGCCAAGTTCAAGCTAGACGATGCGGCG